CTGCGCCGTGGGCGAAATCTGTCTGGAATGGGTCTTGGGTCTCGAAAGCCCCCTCCAGCCACCCCCAATGCCCCCTCCACGCTCACCTGCCACTGCGTCGGTACTTTAGCGGGGGTCTCCTCTGGTGGCTTTGATGGCTTTTTTCTTTGCTTGTTTGTGAAAAGGGGGCCGAGGATTGTTTGCGAAAAATACTCCGTTATCTGTGTGTGCGTGCGTGGTCTCCTTTCGCCTCACCGCCACTGTGTCTCACGGTAGGGCAATTCTGAGGAACCGTTGCTTTATTCATGTATTCGTGACAACAACAAATAAACTTGTGAAAAGATGAACGTCCTCCCTGGGGTATGGCCCTCACATAGTTGCAGCTAATTATGGGTAAGGTGAAGTACATTCCTGTACGTACAGCACATTTACGATGGTGCTATCATGTTTTAATATTGTTGAGTATATCTATTCGAGAACATGAACGGAAATTAGTGCTGCTGTTTATGTTTCTTGTAGACACGATTTGGAATTGGACGTCTTAAACAATTTTTTTTAATCGTAGATACCAACTCATTAAATTCAGAAAGCAGCTTCTGTGCGCTTCATCCTTTCCAAGGTGCTGCTCGAATTCTGCGCCTTGGTCACCGCCTTTATCTCTCGCTGAGCTTTGTCTTCATTCTCCGCTGCTCTCCCGTATTACCTGTAATCTGATCACTCACGTGGGGGCTTCGCAGGAATGCATGGAGGCCCAGCCGACAGATGAAGCTTGTCAGAGGTAAAAAAAAAAAAGATAGAGGCTGCGCCTAAGGATGCATCTTTGTCAGATGCGCAATTGCAAGGTCCCATGAGGACACGACGCGAATCCCACGAACTAAATAAGTCGCCGTCTTCGTGAGAGGTGTGCTCGGTGATGCTCTCAAAGCCCACGCGACTCGAGGACTTGTGTAACACTTGTGTCAAAGAAAGGAGGCTTGTGAGAGAGACGTATGGGTTTTTTGTGTTGTTGTTGAGTGACAGTACTGGCCATACTCGTCGGATGAGTTGTGTTGATCGACCGTGGTTATTTCCCGACCCGTTCGCCTTTTTCCTGGGCTCATTTTTCCGCGAGTGTCAAACACTTTTTAAATCCTTTATATTAAGTTCGCTTGCTTGCTTGCTTGCGTGCTTGCTTACGACCGTGCAAATCTTTTGGTCGTTTTTTAACCCACTTCCCGTGATCCAATCGAGCTGACATTTTCCACACAGACTCGTTGTGCGTGACAATTAATGTTCGTGAATTTTTTTTTCAAAATTGTACACTTTTTAGGACAAAAATATTATATTTAATTACCAATTGCTTAATGGTGCCATGCAATCATCTGACCCATAGGTGGCAGCCATCTCAAGACAGAGGACGAGAGGACTCTAGCTGCCACGCATATAAAGGATTTATAGTGAAAAACTTTGTTTTTACGGGTTATACTTGTTCCTGGGCTCATTTTTCCGCGAGTGTCAAACACTTTCTTCTATTGCACTGTGTGGGTGGACTACGTGTGCGCGTGTGTGCGTGCGTGCTTGTCATGCATGGTCTATGCGTAGACAGATTCGTTTTAATCGCATCGTACGGACTGCTGTGGTGGAAGGGTTACGGAAACGTTTAACGACAAAACTGAATCCATACTTTGTTATTCCTTCGCGGTGAGTCAGTCTATGACCACGTGGCCTTTATTATTTCATTCCATAAATTCTTGGTTCGTTATGCGCGAGATGAGGTTTGGTGACAGGATTTTTCAAACAGCGCTCGTGATTTATGTCAAGAATGTAAATGGACCGCAGGTCTAAATGCGAGTCGGAAATGGGAGTGTGTTTAGTGTTGATGTTGTACAATTACACCACTACCATTTAGGGGGTTCTTTTCGAGAGTTTAAGGAGGGAGGGAAAATCGTTTCTTAAGAAGTTAAATGTATTAATTAAAAAAATCTCAATTTAGGTTTCCTCAAAAAAGTGATTTTTCAACATTTCAATTGCCAGCGGTATTTTTTGACCCATAAGAATGCACACTTTTCAAACTGAGCCTTAATGAGAATATTTAAATAACCCCCCCCCCCGCCAGCCTCAAAGTACATCAGCTCCAGGACTGTTTTTATTGCGCAACTGCTGGCGCTGCCGTGGGTCGAGGAGGAGGAGGAGAAGCGGCGGCGGCGGCGGCGGCTTCGTGCGCCGGGGATGTTTGTGCTCCTCTTTAGTGCAGCCCGGCAGGATCTCTTAAGCCCCGGCGCATTCCTCAGATGCTCGGGGCCGATAAGGTCGTGCACCAGCGTGCAGCGGTTCCGCGGTGTACAGTAACAGACGGGCGAGAGAGGCAGGGAGAGAGGCAGGGAGGGAGAGCGAGCGGCGTGCGTCTGGACACGAGGCCCCTGGCTGGCTGGCTGCTGTCTGAGCGAGCGAGCGAGCGGGCGAGGCGACGCGTCTCTCTCTCTACCCGTCGCTATGCCCGTCGCGAGCGCTGGCTCCTTGTCGCGCCCCTGATCGTTTTGTCACGACTACCTTTTTGGGAGTATTTTTTTTTTGGAAAGTAAGTCGTTGCTCAAACAAACAAAACAACGGTTACAAGCAAGGTTGCTGGCATTGCAAGGTGCTTCTTGATAAAGACGCAGAGTGTTCAGGTAAGGTTATTATTCATTTAGGGATGTTGGGAGTGGGATTTTAAGCTTTTGAGGACGAATATCCAATTCGTTGTTGATATATCACAATGTAGAGTATCAGCGCGGTATTTTGTAATGCGACGTTGAAAAAATGCACCTGTACAGATATTTCCATTAAAAGTGTCTCTGATGCACTTGGATTTAATGTTACGATGTCATTGTTGTGGTCCGTGCATACTCGGTGCATGGATAAAATAGTGAATCTGTGTTAACGGTGTAATTATTAAATTATATATGAAATACATTATCTGAATGTTACGACGTATAAACAGCTAATACAATCGCATTCAAAATTTTCATTATGGAACATTTTTTTTGTGTTACCGCGGCAGGGTTTTATTTAGAACACTGACGGGCATTGAAATAATCTCACTGGGAAATGTAGAACTGTGGACCCATTGGATCCTGACCAGGAATCCCCTTGCAGAGGGCATCAGACTCCTGTGGGGTTCATACTCTTAGTTATTTCGGTAAAGTCACGTAGGTAAAATGAATAAAAATAAAACAATAAAAATCACGACGTTTCGGAGGCAACACAAGCATCCGTCTTCAGGTGTGGGGTTGGCATAACTCCCAGCGGGAGGACCAGTCGGCTTCTCTTGAGATGGTGACCCCCACGGGGGGTCAAAGTGCCCTGTTTTATTTTCGTTTTATTGCCTTGGCATCTGATGTGTAGTTACATATAAAACACAATTGCAAACGTGGAGTTGGGATTCTCTGCTGAAAATACTGTGTGTAATTTCACAGGGAGATTTTGTCTTGTAATCGACCGAAATATGTTTTGAAATTATAGGGCGTGAAATATTTTAAAACTGCAAATCGGTGGAGTTTGAGCACTTTCACCCTTTTCAAATGCAGCACTTCTTACATTTCTTACTTCATGTGTGGCTGAATTGTTCTCAGTTGAAGTCACTACCTTTGAATCTGTTTGCAGAGGTCTAAAATTTGTATTGTACTTGTGGCACTGTTTGCACGCATATATTGTTCTATAATTCCCTTGATATGCCAGCCGGCTTGGGAAGTTGAAAATTATTTATAGGGCAAATTATTTGACAAACGTGGTGCTTCGCGCCTGGAGGTGTCTTTCTTTAATATTTGAGAAAGTCTGTTGAGCGCGGAGCATTCTTCCTGTAATCTTTGTCCTGAATGCCCATCCCCATAAGCCTCTCTACTTACACAGCCATAACTCGTTTTCACGGTTGTCAAAAGTGCAAAGTAACTCGAAAACATGTATGTTTTGTTTGTTTTAATAAGAGTGACAAGTTAATTCAACATTATGGTTCTCTCACCTCAATATGGGAATCACCGTTGTCACCGTTTATAGCGAAAAATAATCGAGCGCTTTTCTTAAAAGTGGTAGAGGAAGTGGCATTGTAACCCAGGCATGCGCGAGTCAATAGATGTGAAGATGTGGCACATTGCCTAGACTTGTGTTGGTGACATGCCTGCTCGACCACAACAGCTGCAAGCCCACGGGGGCGAGGCATGGAGCTCAGGCTAGGTATCCGTGGCGTGCAGTGGGCCCATGTCCCTAGGGCAGCGATTACAAGTCCGCTCCACAGCCACACATGGACATGGGGAGCTCACTAGGGTGTCCACATAGGCCAGAGTGTTAGCCAAAACAAACCGTGATTACTGTCTTTTAAGGTAATACGTATTATTAGGCATGCGTGGAGAAGCGTGGAACGCAAAATACTCTCTGTGTTGAGAGTGTTGATGTGAGGGCATCTCTTTATATGTTGTGATAAAGCGGTGCTTTCTATCGCTGACAATGCCACCCTCCCCTTGATTGCAAAAACCCTGATGAGATTTGTGACGGGATAATGACATCTGTGTGATTGTTGCGTACGTTTTTATCACAATATTAGATGGTCAATATTTCAAACCACGTGGACATTCAAAGAGTTTTGCGGAGTGATTTTGAGACGTGCATACTCACTTATTGGTCGGCCTGGTATGGAATAATTTAGATGGCTCACATCGTAAAATAAGCACAAATTTTTGTATTACAAAAATACTTCTCATATTACCATAATAAAAAATGCACATGTATTTGTTTGTGCGAGCCATACGGCGTGCACGTTATTTTTGAATGCGTATTCTACCAACATTTCCTGCGGTTTCGGGTTTGGAATTTAGAAAATTGCAGCGTTTAATATTTGCAAATTACCGTGCCATTTGGTTCTCGAAAATTCTCTAAAGAAATGTACAAAAGCGTTTTGTTTTAGCGGACACACGCGGCCCGTGCCGTTTGTTGCTCGTTACTGTCACGTCCGAACGTTGTAGCCACGGTGGCCGCTGGAACTCACCATTGACATCGCGTCTCTGTTTCAGGTGGCAGGTCCGTGCGCCGCTCCGGTCAACTACGAGTTGGTGAGTAACGACGCCGCCACCATCACGGTGCCCTCGTCCTTGACGTCAACAAACAAACAAACCCACGTCGTCTTGAACTTTGACATCCTGTGACTTTTGATAAATGTTACACCGCGTTCCTTTGTGCTGGAAAAAACCCCCAGGTCTGTTGACTTTTGAGGTGACCTTTTCAGTAACCATTGTGGCTGAAGTAACTGCAATGTGGCTTTCAATCTGTACTTAATGATTTTTTTAATGGCATTGTTGTTTTATTACTTATTTGCTAGCGCCTATTCGCTCATTATACTTTCTTGTAATGTTTGACTCATAAACACGCTCCAGAATTTTAGTTTTTATGTTGTAGTCCCATGGCCATTCATCATCATCATTATCATCAGCTATGGTCAATTCACTGTTGGATGAAAGACATCCCCTAGCTCTCACCATCTTTCATGATCCTGCAATGTTAAAATCCACCAATTAGCAAAAATAGATCCATTGCTTCATCTCCGCAGTGGATGTAGCATCAGAGGCGTTCAATTCCTTGGCTGCCACTCCGTAGTTAGTCTTGAGCATGAGCCATCGTCCCGTCTCGCGACGCGTCCTACACAAGGCCACATACTTGTCACGATATTGATGCAATCTCAGATATCTGTTGGTGAGGAACTATTCACACCCCCCAGCGATACAAGATACAGGGCTCCGATTCCATCCTAAAACCTCCTGTGTTTTATTTAAACACTGCGCTAAATGATAGTGCCTCCAACGGCTGGCTTCAGAGGCGACATGAACCAATTGCGTACGAAACATACAAGTTGATTCCCAAACACACCATTCGATGCATGCACTTTGAGCTTCGGCTTGGTCACCGTTACATAACTTCTGTTAAATCCCCGTTGCGGATAGCTGGGCCATTATTTGGGCTGCGTACACTGGAGCGTAAAGTACGGTTTCACATAATATGGGCTACCTGTGTGTCTGCGCCAACGGGCAGGGTAGAATTCGGTTTTCATCGGGGAAACTGGATTGAGGTCTCATGCGCGCGCCTACAACCATTCACCCTTATTATTATTATTTTTATTATTATTTTTTCTCCACGGTTGTGGCCTTATTGTAAAGCAGAACCACTGGTATTTGTTTTGGCTTTAAAGAAGAAAAGGCGCTAATTCTCTCGTGCTGTTTCACTGTTGTTTTTTAATACTGCAAATTGTTGATTTTCTGGGCTGCACGTCCTGGCACAAAGGCACAATGTGCAAGAGGAAGAAGCAAAAGCAAACATTAATTTGCGGTCATATTCACCCTACTACGGTTGGATCGTGTTCTAGTTTTCAGTAGCCGCCTTCTCCGTGCACACAAGATGAATGGGGTTGCCGCACAGCCTCTTGTCACCGCCTAATCCCATTCAGTGGACACCTCTGGTGACCTGAACTGGATTGAACACCGCTTTGTTTAAGACCGCCAGGTGGCTTAGCAGGAAAGAGAGAGAGATAGAGAGGGCGGCTCACAACTTACAATCCTGGTTGCGGTTTCAATCAGACCATCATCCCTCCCTCCGGTGTGAAGACAAGAAATGCAACTTTTTGGGGAAGTCAATAGAGGTTGTTCTAAGCATAGACTCCCCCCCGCCATAGGAATGTGGAATTGACACTGCTGGCTCATGGGAGGTGAGCACCACCGCAATGCTCATTTGGGCACCTTTCACTTGGACTGGATTGAGCACCACTTTCAATTTACAGAATGCAGACGGGTGCTGCTGGAATTTGAACCTGCGACCACTGCATTGCAAGTCCGTTGCGCGCTATAACCATTGCGCTGCCGCGGCATCTATTGTTGCTGTTGTTTAGTGTTGTTGTCCTTCCCCCGCACCTCCGATTGGCTATGTACGGTGCAAAAGAAGTTCAACAGGTATACATACATAGACGCATGTTTTTGTTGTTGCTGTTGGTTTGGTATCTAAACGAGTGAATAACTACTCTCACCACCTCATTTGCTGTTCAGTGCCCACAGTGTCGGTGTAATTAGCATTGTGTATTTAATTAAAAAATCCATGGAGTGCAATACAATACAGCATTTAATTTATTACCTTCAAAGTGCGCCGACTTTGTCGTGCAGATGTTTACAAATTATGAAATATTTTGATTGCGACGGCCTTTCACGGAATGACCGCACGAGTACAACCGCACTGAGGTTTGAACAGCTGCCCACAAATCGCAGCGATGACTTCTGGTATGCTGTTTAGGCGCCAGTGCGGTGAGCGTGAGATTATGTACAGTACCTGTCTAGCAGCCCCCCCCCCCCCAAACACCTCCTCCCATGACCACCGCATGGCGTGTCACACGGCATACTCCTGTCCTGGAGGTTTCAGCGACTCTAAAACATTCCTTGGTGAGAAAAAAAGAGAAATGCCGCTCGCTGGCAGGTGTCACGATCGTCGTGTGTGCCGTGAAAGGGGGCTTCTTCACTCGAACGCAACGAGGGGGGGCTTGTTTTCTGGCAGACAAAGCAAGTTTATTTGTTTAAATTTGTTTAAAGCGATGACCTCAATTGTGGGGGGCTAGCATCGTTTACTTACGAAACAATGCACCGACCGTTGTAACATCGTGTTGGATGGGGAGGGGGGGCATGGTCTGACGTTGCTTAATGTTGTTGATTGACTCTTTGGACGAATGTGAAGCTTTCGTGATCCACAAGTGTATAAAATGCGTCTGCCGCTTCGGCTATTGGCTCGTAGCCTGATTCCAACGGTAAATTATTTCCACGGGTAGGCATTGGAAATAATCCGGGGTTGTTGGCATGAATATTCCCATTGAAATTCCATCTTGTTATAGAAACACAGCCGATCAGATAACAAATGTATCCCGTACGCACACAACCGCCCTTGCTACTCTTCCTGAAAAGAAAAAAAACCCCGTGTGAATGATTGTGGTAATGAGTGCACCTAAGTTTAGACGTTTGTTTATACAAAAATTGTATTATCCATTATCTTGCTGACTTTGGATAATTAAAGCTCTACTAATGGATAGCACATGTACTCTTGGTGCACCAGATGTAAAGCATCTTACTGGCTGCTGCTGCTGTGGTGTGGTATGTGGGACTACCTACAAGCTTGTGTCAGCAGATGCCTCATGAGAAACCAGCGCATATCAAACGGAATTCATATCCTGCAATTTAGTTTAATAATAACGCAATAATCTGTCGTCGTGATTTTTTGTATCTTTCTTTTGACCACTTTGTCTGAATTCCGAAATGACTATCCACCAATTTTGTTTTTTGACACATTGCCAAATGGCTGCACCAACTTCGGCGTTCAACCTTCGAAAATGACGAACACATTGTAGGGATCCATGCCCGCCTGTTACCCTCGGCACATGCGGTCTTCAAAAACACATCGATAGCGCATTCGAGTAAACAAAGCCATTGCCAGGACCTCATCGACTATGGACGCTTAAACAGCGTTAGACTTGTACCTCGTTATTAAAGATTAATGACATAAACAAAGCGATCATTTTTTTCCCGGCAACATTTAAAGCTGTAAACTGTGATATTTTCTACTATTTGTAGCCTCGCTGAAACGGGCATTTGGGTACAATAAAACAGGTGAAAGGAAATAGGTTTACTGCATTTTCTGAAAAGTAAATGGCAACTGGTAAAAAGGAACATGATTTAATAATGCTATTTAAACCATGCCTTTTTACGTGTACATGCTTGTGTTTTAATAGAGTAATACGGCATTACAAAACGCATATGGACATTTAAAACGTATTGCGCCAATTTAAAAATGCTATTTATATATGCATCGAACGTAATCAGCAGTTGGTGTGTAACAACATCACGGTTTTGAGCAATAATTACGGGTGACCTCCCATTGAAGGTTTTTTCACGGCTCGTCGACGAAACAAAAAGATTCAGCGATGCCACAGACGTGGGACCAGCTCACGCCACGAAAACGTGGGAAGAGACCCCCCCCACCTGCCCACCCACCTGCTCCCCCACCTACCCCCCCCACCTGCCCCCCCAACTGCCCCCCACCCCCCAGTGCTTGGTATGCACAGCCAAGGCCATTGCTCTGAACGGTATCTGATGAGGCTTCCGCCGCGATGCCTGGGAATTTGGTTTGGAGTCTGTTCAAAGTGATGCTGGTAGACGGGACTGAGACACTCCAGGCCCCCGAGTGAAAGTACAATTAGGAAGGCATTTAGTTTAATTGTCCTCACAATTAAGCCTTTGGGGCTGGCCTGTGGCAGTAAATCAACGCAGAAATGGCCCAACCTGCTGAGCAACGCTGCGGGCGCTACCTCGAGACTGTTCTGCTGATGCGTACATTTGCGTCGCAAGAATAATGTCCTCAGCATCTTTTTTACAGAGCTTACCATACTTATGATTTAAATTTAATTTAATCATAACTTCAATTACGGACATGCCTTTGTCGATTCACTGATGGATGAAGGCCTCGCCTTGCCAAGTCAGTCCTAGGGGTGGTGTTTGAGCCCACGTCACCATGCTGGTCAATGGGGATTGGTGGAGGGTTAAGCCCTGACCAGAAATTGAACTTTGACCACCAGGTTCATAGCGCGTGTGTGATCTCCTATCTCTGCCATTCTATCATCAGTCTTGTCCTGAAAATGCATCTCTTCACGATTATAGCTAGTGTCCGTGTTTACGAGCTATCAATGTGCACTGATTGAAATGCGTTGGAAACCCAAATTACCAATTTGAGCCTTCAAAAAGCACTCCATCCTCCGACTACCATCTCCTTATTTCCAACTCTAATGAATTGTTCTTGTCTAGAGTATAAGTCGAACTGTTAGAACCTGCAACATAGTTCTAAAGAGCACTTTGTTACTGAAAGGTCAAATGGATCGATAGTTTTGTTTGCCTTCTTACACTGTGACACGGCGCTCATAAATCATCGGTCATCGTGCAAAGAGACAGTCTTGGTGGATGTCGATGCCTGATACGGTGGCGAGGCGGGAGGGGGGGTTCTGCGACCAGTTTCATATCGTTTTTAGAAGCGAGAGAGCGTCACTTAAAAATCATCGTGATTTTAAATTGGGGTCGTTTGAGGTGTTGCTGGTTGAGATTGGGAGTGGTTTGATTATTATTTTTGCGTGCGTTGGCACCCGCTCAGTCGAACTGCCATTTGAATGTCGGTAACCCTCCACTCAGGGGGAGGGTGGTTACATTCAGAGCTTTCATTTCTAGATAGGATACCTTGGCCCCAACGTACTGTGCCAAGGTTTGCTCAGGTGTTTACCGAACACAAATGTGTCTTGCCAGAGGGACAGGCAGCATCCAGATACTTTTTTAATGGAATCTATTTATATGCCATCATCATCATCATCGGCCACGATGTATCCACTGCTGGATGGAGGCCTCTCAAAAACCCTCTCACGGTCTTACGAGGCAGATATCGATACGTGAATGCGTGCAACCAGACCTCACAGAACAGCCCTGCTTGTGCGGCAGATCTGATCACTTTTCGAGTTGGTTGCGAGTCATTTGGCTGATCGTGTTGGATTTTAAAGACTGTTGTTTGATTATATTTGGTGAGACGTTGAGGACGTTTCTGCCGTGGAAAATTGTTGAGTAAATAGCTAATTCTGAGAAAGCTGCCGGTCAGAGCGGGGATTTTTCGCAACAGCGGCCTCAGCAGGAGTTGTGTTTGAGAGATGATATCGGGTGAATGTTTATAATTGTGTGTGCCAGGTAGCAGTCGGCGAGGTCTCAAGTTAGCTTGGTCACGTTGCCAGGTATAAATTGTTACAGCTGGTTTGGATTGATATTTTGATTTCGCATGCACATATAAATCTATGGTAATTAAAAACGAATGTGAACATTGCCTCAACAATGTCGTGAAAAAAAGAATGAGATTAAAATTCCAATTTGCGGTTTGCATGTGCGCGGAATTAACCGCCATTGTTTTCGTCAACCATTGTATTGTAGATAGCAGCACGCAGTCCTTCATCACCTCGCGATAATTGTCTCGAGACGTGCTCTGGGTCATTTCACCTCCTCTCGCGTTTGCATCTCTCACGGGGGGGGGTAGGGGGTGTTGAAACCATCCCTAGCCAATACCAAGCTGCCCAGCAGGAGCCCCCCCCCCCTCCACACACACCCAGGCCTCCTCCCCTCCCTCCCAAACTCTCCCTCTCTCTCTCTCCCACCCTCTGAGCATCGTGAAAATGTGCGCGATTTCCCTGCGCCGCCCTGCGAAGCGCAACGCTGCCGTGTCTGCGCGCGTGAGAGGGCGCCGGCTTGCGGCTCGGTTGCGACTGGGGGCCGCTGTGACCCCTCGTGCCGTGAGAGGGGGGGGGGGGGCGTTCACTGTTGATTGTGACCGCTTCGGCAAACTTCCTCGGCTCACTGCGCAAGGTACAGCCGTGTACAGGTGCGTGCTGGCTAAGGGTCACGGGCGAACCCTTGCGCTGTTTTTGTCTCGTTTCCGACTTGCTTCTGCCATGCGTCTAAAGACAATAAATTGCGCGGTAAGGACGCGCTCGAGAACGCGTGCTGCGTATGAACGGTTGTAAACCTTGACGCGTGCGGTTGCACGATGGCTCACAGCAGCTTCTGTTTCATGAGCTTCTGCGCGTTGCCTCCCCGTCGCTCGTAAAGTCGTTTCTCTAACAATGCTGCGTTGGCCGTGTTGTGGCAGGAGGTGGAGAATCAAATCACAACTTCACACTCGCCACACTTCTTCACGTGTGCGCCTTGCGGTGCCGCTTGACGCCCGAATCTGCTATTCAGCACCGGTCGTGTCTCTCTCGCGCGCTGGGCTTTTCAATTGAATTTGCGAGGCTGTTCTCGCCGATTTGGGAAATGATGGAACAAATTGTTGAAACGGGACGTGCTTTCGTTAGCCCCTTCAGGCCAGTGAATGAGCGTTAGGCCACTGGGGCAGGAAGACATTAATATTTCGAGGTAGTGCTTGTTGACATCTGGTTCACATCGTCTCTTGTTTCTCCTCTCTTTCCTGCTCCCCCTCCTTAGCCAAGCAGCCAGGACATCCCCTCGAAGCATGTAAACTCGACAGTAAGTGCCTGCAGCAGTACAATAACCCTGTTCCATCCTTGAATTAATATGTTTTACATGTGGAATTCATAGCGGTGTTCCTTGTGTAAGCTGGCATATGCTTTCCTTAGTCTTTTTTTCTCGGTGCTGAAGATATTTACACTGAAAAATGTGGAGGGTGTTATTTATATATAAGAAATATTTAATTCTTTTATAGTCAGGAACACCCTTTTTTAACCAAAAACTCAACACATTCGCCAATAACGCTGTGACCCTTAAATTGGGGAGAAAATATATATTGTGTGACGTCTCAGACAATGACCCTTTTGCATAGTGCTATGGCCATTATTCTTATGAACCACTGGCAGCACAGCATAAGCAAAGTTTTTTTTTTTTCTTAAAAGTGTGCAACCCTCGCGTTTTATCTGCCAAATTCCGGCAATGGGAAACCGCAGAATTTGCCGTAGTGGGATGACCTGGTCGGCTTGTGAAGCGAGCGAGCGAGCGCTGCTGCACTGCGAGCCCGGAGGCCACTGCCGGCGTTCGAACACTCCTCATCTCTCGCCAAATCTCTCAAGGCGCCCCCCCCCCCACCTCTGTTTGTTTTCCGTCGGAGATAATGAGCTCCCTACACGGATCTTGATTAATGTGGCCATGGTCGTGAAGGGGGCGGGAAGGCCGTCGCCGCGGTTTGACACGCGCGCAGACCCAAAGGGCGACTCCATTCGAGCTGGACGACTGCGCACGCACCTTGAGACGTTCGTGGGAGGCGACTTACAGACAAATGTAAATGAGAATTAGAATTTCAGTCCGAGGGCTTCCACTTCACCTCTACACGAGTGGAGCAGAAAACGAGGACCTTTAATCAAGCAATATCCATTGCACGCTGATGTGCTACCATTGGTGTGGAATTATTTTTTAAAAATTGTAAAGTTTACAAAGTGAGTTTAATCATGTTGGAATGTGGTAAATTAATGCTGAAATAAACACGAGGAAAGTTCTCGTAACAAGGGCTACGTTTCTTTTCGCAGGCGTTGGTGACATCTAACCCTGAAGGTTTTTCTAACGTCAGGCGTAAACCAAGCCAGTAAGTGAGTTTTTTTAAATCAGTGCCTTTATGGCTTTCAGTGGGATCCACGTGACATAAATCTGGATTCTGCAGAGTACAAAAACAGCCGTTCAATTACCATGTTTTTACATAACTATGTGCTGATTTCCCTTTAAACGTTCCATTCTCTTTCACCTTATCTTGTCTGTTTGATGTTCAAAATAACATCCGAATAGTTATGATTATCAGGCAGGATACATCTCAACAGGAAAGCAAAGTGTGCATCTATGACGCTTTCTTGTGAAATTTGCTGTCTTGACGAAAACATATTTTGGAGAAACATTGCTAAAAACATAACATCTTAAGATTAAAAGACTTTTTATCTCAAAGGGATGCGTGTATTTTACAGACAACACACCTCACTCGTAATACATTCGGCCGTGTGCTTTTGTTTATATCACCTTGGCATTTCCACGAGCGCCATCTGTTCCCATCTTGTTCCGTCTGCAAAGAGCGTGTCGTAAAGCGCGCGGTGACGCACGGGGCGAGGCGCGACCGCCGCGCCGGCGTTCTCTCCGCGTGACGCTTTGTGCCGTGGCTTCCCGCAGGCCGTGCAGCTGGAGCGTGGAGCTGAGCATGGAGCCCGGCCAGGAGCTGGATCTCACCTACATCACCGAGCGAATCATCTCCGTGTCTTACCCGCCCGGCGGCTCCCAGCTGACGTACCATCAGCAGCTTCGCGAGGTGGCGCGCATGCTCAAATCTAAGCATGCGGACAACTACCTGGTGAGCGCACCAACGTCGCGCTCCACGCGTCCGTACAATTCCGGTGAATCACCTGAGCCTGATGAGGCTGGTTGTAATCACCAGCGAAGCGCCGTACTTAATTAGTAAATGTTCGTGGGTTTACTCTCCATCACACCGATGTGCTGAAGTAGTAACCAATATGGCACGTTTTGTTTACATGACAAACCTTACTAATTGGCTGTGTCGGGTGGTGGTGTGTTAACGACACATTTATAGTCACGCACTCGAAGCCCAAAAAACCACAGCTTTATTCTGGATAATATTGGTCGCGAAAGCCTCGGCGTTAAAACGTCCATAGAGATGGACTGGGTTGGTGTATGTGAGCTTCAGACGTCATCGGGACAGCCAAGGACACTTCGTGATGTTCCGTCTTTCATTTGGCAGAGTCGATCACAATGTTTATATGCTCATGTTGAAATGCGTGAGCCAGTAGACAGATGCAGGAGCAACCTGGTAAATATCTGAAATGCTGCTGGCGAATGATGTCAGTCGCACTGTTGGCTATTCTTAATATTCCATCGGTGTAGAAGGCAGCTAGCTGCATCTGCCATGCGATGTTTTTATGCAATTCAGTGTAGACGATTGTTTGCGGGATAAATTGAATCCAAGAGAATCTCCTGCGGATGACTTGATGTCCTATGATATTCTACATAGAGCTGGGGCCACAGTAGGAATATTGATGCGAGGCTACGTGGTATCTAGCCTGGCATTTAGCACAAAGTCTCTAAGTTTGGATCTCAGTGGGTCAAAGACTTCAACTGTGGCCTAGGTCGTCGCGTTTGGCTGGGGTGTGTGTGCACAGTTGAGACGTCTGTCAGTGAATCATCTCCACCGCCTGTGAGATACCACTCTTCCGGTTGAAATTCTAAGTTCTTTGCACTTAAGTAGCTTCGGCCCTCTTGTCGAATGTGTGCTACAAGAAGAAACCCCTCAGAATACAGGCCCTATGGCATGAGGTTCGATCTAAAATTGCTCATTTTGGTCTTGTGGCGGTGGAATTATCAAAAATAATGGCTCGTGCTACTCTTTATATGATGAATACTTCTTAATCCACCTATGGACGAAGGCCTCCCTCACCTTTTTGTAGAAAATGGGTTGCTTAGTTTTTTGACCATACTTCACCACGCTGGTCATTGTGGATCGCGGTCACAGTGGCCCCTCCACACGTAAGCAATTTACACGCAGGTATTGATTTATTTTGCGGCAAGTTTACGCTTGTATCACGAACGAGTGCAAATATTTTTTTTGTTTTTTTTTAGATTCTCAACCTTTCTGAAAGAAGGCACGACATTGAAAAGCTCAATCCGCAAGTGAGTACCTCGCTATCGTAAATACCACGTTCAGCACATCACAAATATCTCTGTTCGTTGTGGCTTACAACCTGCTCCAAAGGTCAGCATTTGCAACTTGCTTTCGGAGAAATTGTGGCAACAGAGGAAGTCAAACAAACATCAGCCTACTGTCACCACCTAAGAGAGACCCTGTTCCACCTCAAGCCATTGTTTTGAACTTTCTCGTGAGAGTTAAACTATGCTGGCATTACACGCTTGAGAGAAAAAAAACTCCCATCGCGCCACATGGATTATTCAACATAAAATAATGGATTTGTTAATAAAATCAACAACGGTGCACCGCTAAACGTGTGCCTGCTGTTTAAATTGACGTTCGATCGTTTATCGTTTGTTTCTCAGTCCGCTTGTCCCGGCGAGGGTCGCTGCAACAGCGTGCTGAGTAGAGCGGTCCAGACCTCCCTTTCCCTGGCGACAGACTCTAGCTCTTCCTGGGGAATTCCCAGGGGTTCCCAGGCCAGCTGAGCGGCGTAGTCCCGCCAGCGTGTCCTGGGCCGGCCCCAGGTTCTGGTTAAAGGGAATTGGAGTCAAGGCAGTGCCCTCCGTGTGCAAACGGACAACGTGCGGGGGGGGGGGGGGGGCGGCAGTCATCTTCACCGACAGCTCTCGAGCCAGTGCCGTGAATCCCTCATTCCTATGGCAGGGGTCGCCCTCTACAAAGCACGACCCCTGTTCGTTTCCCAGAGCGTGGTACTCATTTTGTTGACGTTCAAGGGATGATAGACGGGGGTTGACCCCCTTGATCACGAGTGGGACTTGAAGCGTTTTGGTTGCGAGTCGCGTGCACTCTAACCACGTCGGCATCTTGCCAGATAACGATTTGATTCCAGAAAGTACTTTCTGCAGCCCATCTGCTCGCAATAGGGTGTGGAATTGTAGTACGCCACAAGATAATTCATGGTCTGCTGCTGTGAAGCAGCATGGAGGGTGCAGCAGCTGGGTTACGTAATCGCCCGGGACACATTTCCACTCGGAGTGTTTACAGCAATGAATAGTTTTCTGGTATCTCTCGAATAATTTTCAGTTTTTATGTATGTATGTATGTTGAACTTCTTTCGCACTGTACGTAGCCAAACGTTCTTATCGGAGGTGTGGGGGAAGGACAACGAACTAAACGCAAAATGGAGTTTTAAATAAATGAGTTTTCAATCTTGATTTAAAAGTGTAGAGCTCCAGTGTAAATGCTGCCAGGCAGAAATAAAGGTTAAGAGCTCCTACCCTGGGTGTTGTTAATGCTCGGAAAACCGTGGCGTGGCAGGTGAAGGACTTTGGATGGCCCGACCTGCACGCCCCTCCGCTGGACATCCTCTGCAGCCTGTGCAAGGCCATGGACTCGTGGCTCAACGCGGACCCGCAACACGTCGTCGTCATACACTGCAAGGTGCCTGCTGTGCGCGTCGGTGAAGTGTCACCGCCTGTGAAACCTGGGAACTCAAAGGAGCTTGAAATACGATCCCTTTCACGGGCTTTGTTAACCGCACAATCAGTGTCTGTGGTTTGCTGTAAATTTTGAGGTCTGCAGGAGGACACCTAAAATAGGAATAGATTTATTGTCACTTTCATTTTGAACCTTGCAATGTCTTCAAATATTCACATGGGAGAAAAAAAACACTTACGTTACTTTATATTGCTTTGTCACGAATTGAGCGATGGTAAACAAACCATATTTTGTGTGCTTAATCAAACATATCCTTACCGTATACCATTGAATCTGTGTTACCTCTGCAGGGCAACAAAGGTCGAACTGGTGTGGTGGTGGCCTCCTACATGTACTACAACAGCATCTGTGCCAGGTACAGTGACAGCTTCTGAGACGAGCCCCCTGAATATGAAACATCGCAGCTTGCGTTGAGATCGCAAATCCTTGGTCTCCCAGGTTTCTTGCTGTGGTTTCCCACCTGATGATGATTGCTTGTGTTGCGATCGATTTTGGATTTTGCCCACGCTACCACTGAAACACTGCACCTTACTCCACTTGTAGAACTTGGCTCGAGCCAAGTAGTAGAGTCCTCTACTTTTGTTTTCTTAGGTGCCCCTTTCAAAGAGAAATGTGTCTTTTCATCGCGTTTTCACCGCCTTATAAATAACCCATTCGACAGACGGATGACCCAAATGCCATGTTTTTCATGTCACAAAGGAATTTACATTGATGAAATGTCCTTTGTGTTATGATCTCGCAGCGCTCACCAGGCCCTGGACAGATATGCAATGAAGAAATTTTACGATGACAAAGTCGCAGCTGTGTCGCAGCCCTCGCAGAAGAGGTGTGGAATTCTTCACCTGACATGCGCTCACTTGTTTGGTCGTTGTTGCATTTATTTGCATTTCCTTCAGCTCGTCTTATCTGACGTCGGTGATTTTGTGGCTTTTGCAGGTATGTCACCTATTTCAGCGAGCTCCTTTCTGGAAAAACCAAGGTGAACAACATGCCCCTCTTTCTACACCACATTGTGGTGCAGGGCCTGCCCAACTTTGAGGCCAATGGAGGTAAGCTACAGATGGAAGTGTTCACTGGGTTATTTAAAAACAAAAAAATATGCGTTCTGTTCAGTTTTTTTTACGTTTTATTGTATGATCAAGTTCTACCAACGTTAACGTCACTTCGAGGTCACTTGGAGTTTTGTCAAATCAAAGCTGTTTGTGTAAATGTTGTCTGCCCATGCGGCTCAGCAGTGGAGAAAGCACCTCGCAATCGGAGAGTCGCGTTTTCAAATCCTGGGTTGAGACTTAGCCCATCCTCTGTTGGGGTTCGATAAAATAAGTACCGGTTTGTGGGCAAGTCCAACGGTGGTTGTCCTTTGGATAGATTTGCTTCCATCACAGGAATCTGGAATTTCCACCGCTGGCTCGGGGCTGTTAACAGGAAATGGTCACCGCCCGGTGCTCAATTGGGAGAGAGCGGTCACTTTGAGTTTTTACTTTGTTAAAATTTACCAGCTTCCAAAAAACCCCACAATTGTAAATAATGGTCCGCCACTGTAAGCTAGTCAATCTTTGTTCCCTCTCTCATTGCCTGAATCATCAGCCCACTGTATATGTTTTGTCCATGAAAAGGCAGTGGTGAGTGTTTTTTTTGTTGTTTAATTATGGCTTTGCTATCATGCCAAACCTCATCCATAAATCAATACTCTGGTTTTGTAAACATGAAGGTTTGACAGGAATTTACATGTCTTATTATCAGTTTATTTTTGTATTGGCCATAAAGCCGGCACTGGTACAATGATGTACACTATCCGTGTCATGTCGGGACATCCTGCTGGCTTGATGGGGCCATATTTATCGTGTAAACACGGGGCAGAGTTCACAACCTTAGTAAACTTGTCCGAAAAAAATATATTTTTTCACTGGTAAAAACGATCGTAAATTGTGACTTTTGTGTAAAAGTAAATCTTGTGCCATGTTTTACCCATTACGGACAAAAACAAATGGGTGTAAATAGTTTCTTAATGTTGCAGTCATGCCCAAACTGCCCCGAAACATTTAACCTTATTTGCTTTGGAAGTGTCTGCTGGTAGAACTTGGCTGGAGCCATTAACGTGCTCCCCTGTTACAAATATCCCATATTGTTAGTGAGTTCCTGTTTACCGTCGCAGGTTGCAGGCCATTTCTCAAAATATACCAAGCCATGCAGCCTCTCTATACCTCTGGCGTCTAGTGAGTATGGCTAACTGCACGCATATTCCGTTTATTAAAATAACTCACGGCAGTGAGTCATGTGTCAAAAGTGATTCATATTTCCCTTGAGGAATTGTAAATGTCTGTTTAAAAAAAGAAACCGTCCTTTTTTTCTTGTTTTTTTGCAGCAACATCACAACCGAACATTCCAACAGTTTCTGTATTACAATCGAACCCGGGCTGCCCCTGAAGGGTGACATCTTGGTAAGTAGCACATTAATTTAAATTCTCTTCATTATTGATTTGGTCGGCAGATGAAAGAAAATAAAATCCGTCGTTGGGGATTTTAGTTTGTGTCGGCGAGAAACAAGAAATCTCTAATGAAACCCATTTTGTGGGCGCCAAGGAAATCGTGAAAACTTTAGGTTGAAAAGGTTCATGGAACCTGAGAAAATGGAAGACACCTCCAAGGGGTAATCTGAGTGGAGATCTGCCCCATGTCTAGGGGCCCCGTCACCATCCCAGCCGCGAGCCGGTAGCCCGACCCAGCCAGTCGCGCCACGGCAGGGCACGCGGCGATGGCGACATTGATAACGAAAGCCCCCCCGACACGATTTCCCCCCACCCCACCCGCCGTTATCCTGTCTGTCTGTGGCTGTGTCGCCAGTGCCTCTGTCACGCAACAGCAGGTAAAAGTGGCTCCCTATGCTCTACGCCGACTCCTTGCCTCATTGCCGGCATACTTTCATGTACAGTTCCGTATAGGTTTTCACGATTGAAAATCTGAAATGAAAGGGGCTTGTTCTGTGTGAAAACCACGTGTTTGAAATTTACAACTTGATTTACTTTTGTCGTCAACTAAACCATTGTGCAAGGGGCCGCAAAATTAATGCAACGCATGTGAAAATGACCCGGCCAACCGGCGCAGAGTCACAATTTAAGCATTTGTTTTGGATTATTTTCCCGAGGGCCTGTAAGCGGACCGCTGCGGCGTGTTCGCGTCCCGCTGCACCTGACCCTGAGCGAGTGCCGAGGAAGAGCGCAGGGGGAGAGAGATAGTCGAGGAATGTCAGGGCCTCCGACGTGTCGCTTCCATCATCGGCGAGGGAGATGGGGACAAGCGGCATTAGTGAAGCGATGCTCTCCGTGGCTCTCGTTTCCTGCTCTGGTCGCAGAGTCCGCGCTATGGGCCGGATCGGGTTACAGATAATGGAGCAAATGTCAGGAACGTCTGTGCTGGTTCACCAAATGAAGGACACGTTAGGAGATTGAGGCCTGTTTTACATGTGGGGTGATGACATGCAAGATCTGTGTTAACAAAGACTGCCTTGAAGGTGTTCACGTACACGTGTGACACTTTCAACATATTTTGCGTTCATCCATGTTTTACTTATATGTATGTGATGTAATTAACATATCTCAAAAAAATAATCTTCATTGGTTCAGCAATATCATGGAGTTCAACATATCAATATATTGCTACGAGTAAAATATATTACAGCAGAATGTTAAATACATCTGCAGCCACCGCATTTGTCTTTTTCCCCATGGCCAGAGGATGCTCCCAACAAACTTGTACGCAGGGCAAAAAATACTACGGCATTAATTTGGCTCGGTTACTTAGGTCAGAATAAATACTAGGGAGGGAAGTGCTGTTAGAGGCGCTCAATGCGGATGCGCGTGGATGTTGTGAGAGGGTCGGTATGGGGCCCTTATCCAGCCCATGAGCCATGGGAGGAGCAGTCGCGGGAGCGCCGTGCTTACACGCCGAGTAACAGCGCGCAGCTCATGAAAGGACACAGTGGCTTCATCTAAAGTCATGTAAGAGGAAACCTTTGCTTTTTTACAAACACAAGTGACAGATTTGAAGAGCCAAGATTGATCAGCACTTTCCCCCGGCCCTCTGCAGTCCTGAAGAGCTTTTGAAGTGACAGCTTGTGGAGTTACGGTGACATGCACCTGTACCCATGAGTAGTCCCGTTGAATTTCCCTCTATATCCATCACTCTTCTCGGGATTCCTGGTCCCATTTCGCATTACTCAGATTTTTTTTTTCGGGTCGACATTTAACAAAGAGCATGTTTATATTCTCAGCCGGCAAAGGTAATGATATATATTTTTGGTTTCTTTGTAACAAAAACAAATTGACTTCAGTATCATGGCAGTATAAGAACCGCCACTTGGTAATATGGTCAGAGAAAAAAAACACAAAGTGGCTAAGGAAAAAAAAAGTGTTGTGGTTTGAATCTCGCAAAAAAACATTCTTTCAACTATCTTGTTGGTACACCCCGAAAAATGTGGCTGTGACAGATGTAGCCTTTAGCCTCGCATTCCCTTCAGAAGTACTGTACGTTCAGCATGTGGCCTGCACGCTAGTGAAAAACACGTGTGTGGTGGTGGTGCAGCAGCGGCAGCAGCAACAACAGAAAACACCCCACAGCACCGGTGGTGCGAACAGCAATCAGAGCAGTTCCGATTGCTGTGGATTTGGAAAACGCTTGCGCCTTGGGTTGCCACCTGTCCTGGTTTGCCTCTTGCTAATGGAGCCAGAGCAAAATCTGTAAGTCTTCCGAGTGAATAAATAATCTCCTGGATAATTGTCAGCTGCGTAATTATACCACTGCAGCGATCAAGATGATGGTGGTTCAAGTGGCTCAGCGGTAAAGCGAGCGGCGTGCAATTGGAAGGTTGTGAATTTCAAATCCTGATTGAGGATCGACTCGGCTCATCATCCTACTGGGTTCGATAAAATGAGTGCCACTTCATGGGGAAGTAAACAGTTGTTGTTTTAAGGATAGACTCACCCCCGTCATAGGAATGTGGAATTTCCACCTGCTGGCTGAAGGCTGTAAACTGGAGGTGAGCACCGCCTCAATGCCCGTTTCAGCAGGAAATAAAACTTTTACTTTAACGGTGCATTCACAAGTGCTTACTCTTTGGTTTTTTCGGTAAAGTCACGTAGGTAAAAAATTAAAATAACGTCGTGAGTTAATTTATTTTATTTTTTCACCTACGTGACTTTACCGAAAAAAACAAAGAGTATGGATCCTTGCAGTCACGAAAACTTCAAATCACAAGTGCTTCTCTATTCTTCTTCCCATGATGCCCCTGTTTTTTTTAATTGTACCTCAGAGGTGGCAACTGCTACCTCTCGCCCCCTCCTCTAACGCGAAGTGGAAACAAAACAACAAAAAAAACGTGCCCCCCTTTTTTTCCTCCCCGCCCCCTCCCCCCCCGAACGTTCACGTGCGAAGGTCAAGTGCTACCACAAGAAGTACCGCTCGGCCACGCGGGACGAGGTGTTCCGCGCGCAGTTCCACACGTGCGTGGTGCAGGACTTCAGCCCGCTCGCGCTCGGCAAGGAGGAGCTGGACGCCGCCTGCCGCGGTGACGATCGCACGGCGAGCGCGCCGCCACTCGCGAACAAAACACCTCGCCGCCGTCGCGCCGCCGATCTGATACTGCTGCGTGGCAGTACAAAGGGACGCGAGGCGATGCCAAGTTTGCGTCGCGACCCTGCATGTCTTCTTGAAACTGATGGCGACGACGCGACGCACGTGGAGTTTGGCTGACCTGCGGAGGATAAATCTGCCACGGACCACTTTCCTGTGTTTTGTGCTCAATTCGCTCGCTAATTGCGTGGGTGTGTCTGTGTAGTGTCGCGGGTAGCGCTACACTGCGCTACGCTGCGCTACGAACCCAGCCACCCGAGTTAAATTCCCGCTCATGGCCAACACCGGTGATGATTATCTGATCCGATCCTCGGCCTCCCCTAGGTCGACTCAGCCACAAATGAGTACTAGGTGCGGTGTGGGGTAAACATCGCCACTAGGGAGACAAAGTTGGCCAGGCGTGGTGCTTGCCACCCACGTGTACCGTCCCGGCCTTCATAGGTGCTCGCTAACAGCATTTGCCCCAACAATGTGTTAAGGCTATACGGGGGATTTTTTGTCGTTATCTCTGTAAGCTTAAAAGTGTTCTATTTCCCAGTGCCGAGAATCGTGTGACGTGTAATTCGCTACGTATAAACCGATCGGCGAGCTCGCTTTGCCGTTCTGATTGTGTTGGGTACCATATTACGCAACAGCTCGCACAGCTTTTGTCACGGACACGTCTGTCCGCTAAGTTGGCGCCGATTCAGCGAGGGATTTTACGTCTGGCCCCCCTTTATTGTTGCTGTAGGTGCCTCCGTGCACAGTGGCAAGCGAGATCGTAATCACCGCCGTTCATTCACAACGGCTATTGTAGTTGCAAGTTTACACATAACTCTGCGGCAGAGACCAATACGGGCTAGCCAGTCCCCTGGAATGTAGCAAGCCGAGACGCGTGCAACATCATTCAAATGTGATGAGAAACCACGTGAAAGTTTTGACCAAATGCTTTTGTTGCAGATGAAAGATTTCCTGAAAATGGGAAGGTTGAGTTTATCTTCTCGCCGGGTCCAGAGAAGCCCCCAGGTAGGACATTGTTTTTTCACGTTTTTTTTACGGAACAGATAACTGCGGACAATGGATAAGGCGGGAGGGTAGTGCAGTGGTTAATGCTTTGCGCGATGATCCCAGCAACCTGAGTTTGATTTAAAGCCACAGCTGGCTTGAGGAGTGGACTCATTTGGTGCTGCCTGCGTCACTGGCCGGTAAGGTTGGGGGGGTCTGCTAAAACAACTCCGATGTTTGGCACCGCGTGAGGATGGGGAGGCCTTCATTCAGAAGTCTATTGACAGCAGGCTGTAAATTGTTAATGTATGTAAGTAAGCAAATCACCTTACTCGGTAACTAGTTATGATGATAGTGAACTGATCACATGATAAACCTGAGAAGTAGACTCAAGCATGTGGTCCATTTGGCTGATATGTATGAAAGAGCAAGCACATTAGACTTGCGTAGTGTGTGCGTATGTTGAACCTATTTCGCACCGTACGTAGCCAACTGTGCTAATCAGAGGTGTGCGGGAAGGACAACAAACAAAACACGAAAAGGAGTTCTAAAGAAATGAATTGTCAATCTAGAGAACGAGTTTTTAATCTAGAATGAAGGATAAGGCATTCAAACTCGGTCTCTCAAACTCAGCACAACACATTTTAGATTTCATCTTTAAAAAAATATTTGTATTCAGATTGCATGGCAAAGGCCACAAGTCGCTCCGATACAAAACTGTGACGGCTGCCATACAGCACCACAGCACGGCTGTGTTCATCCGTTCCCCACCCCGACAGTGAAAGAATGGCTTTTCTCTTTCAGGCAGCGACATGTATCAGAACGATCCCGAATTAAGTGTCGATTACAACACCTCGGATCCCCTCATCCGCTGGGATTCTTACGAAACCTTTAACGTGCACCGTGAGGACAGCGTTGAAGGTATTGAATGTTTCTTTTTTCTATCGCACGCATTCGTCGTAAGGAATTTGTCGGTATTTAAAAATAACACATTGGCTCTAGCAGTTTCACACTGCTACCTGCCCGCCACACCGCACAAGGAACTACATACATGCTGCAAAAGGCTGCGCATACATTGAATGATAAACCAACACAAGATGCTTGATGTGTTGAAGAGCAAAGGACATTTTTGCTGAAGTCTACGAGATCCAACGGAGATGTTGCTGCTCAGAGGCTCAACAAATGTTTGCTCTGGGTTGGTGCCCCCGAGGTTGCTGGCAGGCTGGTGGGTAAACGCCGACAAAGATTTTCCCCGTTCAACTGACCTGGCCCCTGCGCTGGGCCCCAGGAGGGAAAAGAAAGATATTTGTCGAGAAGTTCGCAGCTTTGCAGGATATGTACATTTTTCGTGCTTTTGCCTTCGTGGCCCGCAAGCTCCGGCCTAGGATAGTGCCTGACGGTGGCCTCTTTTCTCCGTTGTCTATGCTATTGATCCAGCGTTGATATCTTGAGCCGTAGGTATGCACAGTCTAAACTGCTTTTACTCGTCGCGTTCCCTTTCCGAGTGGAGCGCATTGTGTTGCTTGCGGCGGTCTCCCACGGACACAGGCGTTGTTGGCGGGCGAGTTTGCTGAAGTAGATGGCCGTAAATCTTTATTTTATTGAAACCGTACAATCGCCATATGACCCGCAGCCTGACTGCGTCCACTACTGCCTGGTGGACAGATTGGCAGTGGCCGTGCCACATGTTGCTCCATAAAGCTCTCGCACGCGATCCGCGTGCAGCCTGAAACTAAACTTTTTATTTTACCAGGTAAGGCTCATAGAGCTTTTGCTCTTTTTCAGAAGTGACCTGGCCACAAATGATAGCTCAACGAAGTGGCTTTTCGAGCGGACATTTCCAGCGGCCAAATTACTCTTAAGCGCATATTGATTCTAAATGTGGAGGGAAAACCCAGAGGACTTGCAGAAAAATCCACGTGGCCACAGGGATAACAGACACACTTCAGATCATTCAGGCGTCAGGGTCGGGGTCGGGATCGGGATCAAACCCACAACCACCTGTTTACCAGGTGAGGTAGTTAACATCTCGCCAAACGTGGCAGTCCTAGGTACGGCCAACCTTAAAAACAATCCCAATCTTCAGTGCCATTTGTGAGACCGACACCCTTAGCCAGGAGAGGTTTTGGTAAAAGTTAAAATTAACGTTCGTACTTTTTGAAGTTGTCCTTGATAGTTTCCACCTTTGTGTTTTCCTGCAAGCACAGCGTGGAGGCAGAGGAGGTGCTCATGTTGTGGAACGGCTAGCGTGTTTGTGGTTACTGGTGACCTGCTGTTGAAGTGTCATTTGTCATGGTCGTGTCGCGTAGCTCTCTGTGAGGTGTGTATTGTGGGGTCGATTGTGTCCCGCAGAGAGGGAAACGGCTTCGTTCTGTCGGATGTTCAATGTTTTGCGTGCGCCGCAGAGATGTGAAACAAAAGTCACGAGGTTGTGCCGTAACGTTTCTGAAAGTCAAAACATTTGCGTAACCAACGGAAGGTGGACCGCTGGACTTGTTAAACGTTTGAACGGTGATTTTTTAGTTTTTGTGGATATTTTTTTTCTACAGTGAATAGTGTCGTGTTATGTAACACAAATAGTATTTTTTTTACAGCTATGACTCAAAATAAACCTCGATGCTCTCTTGCGTAGCGCTACAGGACATAGCGATTCATAATCATACCGCACGGTAACTGTTTGTTTCTATCGAAGCCTCGCGGTAGGCACAACAACTGCTAACTCGGTAGTAACCGTGGGGATTATACTCTCGGAATTTGCAAGCTCCGACAGAATCAACTTAGGTTGTTAATGCTGATCTTATTTGGAAGCAAAAGATTACAAACGCATCATCGCTTGATTTAAAAGAATCGGGTTCATTCCACGTCTCTGGGCGTGATTCTGCCGAGGCGCTTGTCGGGTTTGCTGTGCGGCTGCCCTCTACCAGGAGACGTAATCAAACGTGCAGCTCTGGGCGAGGGGGGAAGGCTCCCCTGGGCCAGCTAATGCCACCGGCAGCTCTGAAGTGACGACCGCTCGGCACAGCAGGACGCCGCGGCGGCGGCAGTAGCTGAGCCCCCGCCTGAGCATTGTCAGGGGACGATTGCGCACGAGCGGACCAGCGCCCGTCTGGCCCCTCTGCTGCATCGGGGACTCCCGTCCTCCTCCCACGGCCATGCGTTTGTGGCGCGATGTCGCGGTGCAAAGAGAGGCCCCCTTTCAAATCCACGTCTTTGTTTTTCGAGCACGTCTACGAGGAGGAGGAGGACGCGCGTGAAGGCAGGAATCTTCCTGTCGCGAACACCGAACGTTGGTAAAATGTTTAGAAACGCTCCACTTTGTATTTTCTTAACGAGCGAGATGGAGAAATGGAGAGATTGTTGAACCGCCTCCTCCACCCCCCCCCCAGAAAATTCTTCACTTTGTTTTTTCCCCTCTTCTCTCACCTCGAGTACAGTACACGACTGTACCTCTGCCAAATACTTGAGAGCTGTGCGAGAGCCGCTGTGCCTCATATTTCCCGAATTCCATTCTTAATCCGTTTAGTATGTTGAGCAGAACTCGGAGATTTAAAGCCTCACACGTACGCACTTGTGGCAGCACACGCACCTTGCCATCTCGGCGGGGCCCATCGCCGCCTTGCTCGTTGAACGTTTCCATGCAGCAGGCGAAGGTAAGTGCGTGGGAGAGAAGGACATTGTTAATGTTTGGCCGGTTTGCTTGAAGCTCATTTGTGGATGATCGAGTCAATGTCCACGGTCAACACGACGGCTGAAAACGTTGGCTTTTGTCAGATGTCTTACTTGGCGAGGTAATCTGCAGGAAGGTGCCTCCTAATCCTATAAAAGTTTGGAAAGCAGCTTTGAAAAAGTACATTTAAAGATGTGTCGTTTTGTCGACTCACTCTTGTGTAAAAAAAATAGTAAAAATAAATACTGTTCTTATGCAAGACGTGCCAGTTGTTTACATTTGGATAACCCCAAGTAAAAACATTACCCAAAGTAAAAAAAAAGTTCGGAGCTCTCTTGATGTTGCATAAGATGAATAAATAACATTTGATGGGAGTTTTAAGTTATTGGGAATTAAAGTTTATTTTGTTAACATGTTAACGGACTCCTAGACAAGCTTGCTGTGCTCTACACTCCACTGGTACCAAACCGCTACAAACGCCCCACCCCATTTAGTGCCTCTCGTCTCGTCGAACACGCAAATACACCGACGACGTGAAACCCGTTAACGCGCCATCGACGTGTCCCCATTCCTGCACAGAAGTGCCCCACACGGAGGGCCCCGTGGATGGCAGCCTGTACGCAAGGGTGAAGAAGAAAGGCTCCACGGACAGCGTGCCGGCCGCCGGCAACGGTCTCTCGGTGCCGACCAGCGGCGCCGCGCAGCACAACCGCTCCATGAGCACCGACTCGGGCAACTCCACCGCGTCCACCAAGACGGAGCGCACGGACGACCCCCACAGCCACCTCCACGGCGCCGCGGCGGGGGGAGCGGCTGCCGGGGCGGGTGGGGCCGGAGAGCCGGCAAAGCGGCCGGCGCGTAACGGCGGTGGCGGCGGCGGCAGGGAAGAGTCGTCGTGTGGGACGGCGCAGGCGAGCGCGGCGCTGCGTGTGGTCCCCGTCCAGGTGCACGTCAACGGCGGCTCGGCGGGGTCGGAGCGCGAGACGGATATTCTGGACGATGACGATCTGGCGAGCGGCGGCGCGGGCGGCTCCGGCAAGGCGGGCGAGGGCGCAGTCGGCGCCAGCGCCGAAGATCGCGTCGCCGCGAGAAACCGCATCGTCGACGTTCAGCCGGCCCTCGTGAACGGGTATGCTCACGACCGCAGGGCTGGAAATATCCCAGGAGAAACGGTTGTGATGAATGCGGTGAACCGAAGTTACAGCGCTGCACCGGTGAGGAATGCTCATGGTAACAGTGGAATGGGACTCTATCAAGAGCAGACAATGAAGTCCTCAATACTAATAAGAAGCCCTGAGCCTGTTCCAAATCAAACGGTGGCATTTGACCAGAACAGTGCCTACCAGCACGTCGGGCCTGCCTTCCAGCAGCAGCAGCCTTCTGTAAATCATCAACAGTCGATGGCTGAACGAGGGGGCTTTTACGGACACCCGGCGGCTGCGGAGGTGACGGGGGACAGAATGGGAGCAGCCGGCTCCACAGAGAACGCCGCAGATCCCGGCACGCAGCATGAGCAGCAGGATGGCGGTGCAGCGTACCGTGAGCAGCTGGCAGAGCCGCTCGCGACCGCTCACGCGGCAGCAGTCCGACGTCACCTACGACCGTCCAGCTCCAGGTAAGGCCTACGAGCAGGAGCTGCCTCCTGGCCAGGTGCTGGCGCTCGGCTTTCCGGATCTTCAGGCGCAGGCCGACTTTGAGAAGTCTTTGCTGGAGCTCAACAAGCTCATCCAGGAGTTGGACCCAACCTTCAAACCACTGGGACCGCCTCCGGATGGCAACTGTGCGATCGTCAATCGGTCAACGACAGAAAGCACCAGCGGCCATCGTTCACCCTCCAATAAGTCCATCGTATACAACCAGGCTGTTAATGGGAATGGATATGTCCAGAAACCAGTGGAAGAATACACGGAAAATATGAGGCCCTCTGAGGACGTAATTGTTCAGCACACTCAAACATTAGCGTTTGCATCGCCAACGGGGAGCAGTGCACCGGAGCAAGGAAAGACACAAGAGGTCGTGCACAACGGCCGGGTTGCCTACGCCGGCGGATTGTGTGCAGCACAGCAGCCAGGTCAGTGCGGCATCGATTGACGAACACTTTCCTTTTGCTGCAGTAAAGTCACGCCATTACATTCCTGTGCATGTTTTCAACAAAATGATGTGTACGTACGTTGAACTTCTGTCGCGCTGTACGTAGCCTAACCGCGCTAAATCGTAGGTGCGGGAAGTTAGCGTCCTTGTTAAAATTTTATTTTCATTGTTTCATAATGCGATTGCATAACACGTCTTTTTTTGTCGGGATAACAACTTCTTACGCACAGAGAAATGTGGCATTCATGGAGGCTTTCCAAGCTACCCGTTAACCGGCTGTTTGCTTCTTGACTTTTCTTGAATGCAACAAAAGGAGCTCCTCCTCCGCCACAGCCTCACCAGGCAGAGCAGCAGGCGGGGCGCACGATGGCTCAGCGAGCCGCGCGGGACGAGAAGGAGGGCTCCGAGGGAGCTCGCACCCCGCGCAGCAACTCCAGCCTCAGCTACTCGCTGTCGCCCTGCTCCTCTCCCGAGCCCAACAGCCCAACTCCCACGGCGGCGACGTCCTCTCGTACGGCGACGGTGAGCGTGGGCATCGGATGATCGTAATAATGATAACGTACAATCCTTCGTTCGTGATCCACTTCTAGGTAAAGGGATTTCTATTTAAAGCTTTCGTGACTGCAGGGATTCATCTTCTTGGTTCTTTCGGTAAAGTCACGTAGAAGAGAAATAATAAAATAATAACGGACGGCTGATTGCGTTGTGGCCAAAACGTCGTGAGAATAGTATTTTATTATGTTTTATTTTTATTATTTTACTATTTCCCTTCTACGTGACTTTACCGAAAGAACCAAGAAGAAGGGATTTCTCTTACACTCACGACGCTGGTCAGTGCCACTGGGTGCTACGCACTTTTAAACCTAGATTAAATAGCTCATTTCTTTAGAACGGCTTTTTGTGCTTAGTTTGTTGTCCTTCTCCCCCGCCGCACATCCGATTAGCACGGTTGGCTACGTACGGTGCGAAAGAAGTTCAACATACTTACGTATGAGTAGCCACGCGGGACCGCTTCAGATCTCAATCACCGCTGATGTTAGCCATTGCCGGGAATTTAACTCAGACTGCCGGGGTTTACAAAGCAGTGCGATAGCTACTGCGCCACCGGTCTCGCGAGTATCGGGGAGAAAAATATGATTATGCTGTAGCATAACTTTCGCTACGTATGTGTCACTTGACACCCTGGACACACAAGATGTTACATCTCTGGGGATTAGCCAGAAAAAACATTCAACTGAATAAATTGTGTTTTATAGGCAACCATACACATCACCGAATAATGTACAACATCTAAAACAGAGTAACGCAGAGGCATTAATTCTGCAACCATGTATAAAATAGTTAATGTTTATTTTTTATTGAGCATTTTAAATATTGCATTATTTTTCGCTGGCTTTTTCATCACCGGCCATGCTCAATCCACTGCTGAATGAAGACCTCCACCAGCCGCCGCCGCCATATCTCACAATCGCGCGACGCAACAATCGACCCGGCGGTTACGCGCGAGCCGATGTCACCGCTCCCCACCCCGGCGGCGCTCGCTGCCGTTGCCATCGTCCATTTTTCTTTCTCAACCGCAGCACTCGGAGGGGCACGCCGGCGGGGGGCCGAGGTCGGAACGTGCCGAGGTGGGGAGCGGCGGCGGGACCCCGGTGCCGGGCGGGCGCGAGGAGAGCGTGCCGCCCACTCCGGCGTTCCCCGTGTGCCCACCCACGCCGTACGTGAACCAGGGTGGGTCCAGCGAGCGGCGGGGATGAGCACGGCACCCCCTCCCCCACACCGCTCGGACGTCAAGGTGACGGCTGCTGCGTGTTTTTGACCTCGCCCGATTGTTCCCCCTGGTAATTGGTGGACTCGTTGTGTGCCGCAGGTCGCTGCACGCCGGGGATGTACGGGAGCCCCTTTAGTCCCGGACTGCACTCGTACAGCCCCCCTGAGGGGGGCTACGGCGCGAGCCCCAGCCTGGGTGAGACTCCTGCCCCTTCCCCCGTCGATTCGTGCCCAGCAAAAACCGGCTTTGTTATCCCGCTGTACATCACCCCGCGCATTCTTACACTGCAGTCTTATCGCTCCGTGTACCCGTGGTGTGTTTATTAATCCAGCCGGGTGGCGCCGGGGTGTCGTTCGTGCTTGGCTCGCCCATTTGGGTGGCTGCAAAACTCTGCCCATCATCCCTTTTGGGGGTTGATAAAATAGGTACCGCTTTGTGGGAAATTTACAGCAGTTGTCCTATGGGGAGAATGGCCTTTGTCATGGGAATGTGAAATTTCCACCATAGGCTCAGAGATGCCAGTGGAAATTAGCTCCGTCCCGAGTTTCTTGTTTGAGCAGCATTAATCGTAAAAACAAGTCTTACACCTACAATTTGATGCATTTGTCGCGAGTTTAAGTATAAATGTTAATTGATGCATTCTTGCACCACTGAACGATACGTACGTAGATGTTGCGGTTTATAAATCGGATTTAGTTTCGGATGAAGCAAATTTAGTGAAAGAAACTCACACTTTTTCTTGATTGTCATTCTACTTGACGCATATGCCGACAACTTTGTCTCAATGGGTCTCCTACGTAAGTTATACATGCCCGTAATATTCTTGCATTGTCCCCGTGGGGTTTTTCCGTCACGTTGCTTTGTCAAATAACCCTATCAGGCCTGCAAGTTATTAGCAGTGTGTATTTTAAAAAAACCCAGTGTAGGAGCGTCCACACACGAATAAAATGAAGAAAAAAACAATTACGCAGCACATTAGTTACAGGCTGCCAACACATGTCAAACGACGCGTCTGCCGCTTAAAATTATTGGGGAAAAAAAACCATCTCAAATTCGGCGTTGGTCTAACATTCTGAGCTATCAATCTGCATTCCACAGCAACCGCCAGCCAAGCCGGCCCCAGGGTGAGCGTAGAAGCGGCAGGGCAAGACTGGAAGCACTTTTGTCACGCACATTATGCTATCACCATTTTGCCCTCTGGGTGTTAGCAATTATTTTGAACGTGTTGGCCAGACACAGAGTGGAGTCGGGCCATATGACCACGCCACTTTGGTATGTGTTGACAAGATCACGCCAAATAACATCCAATCTTCTCCCACGCAGCAAATCAGTTTGGCAAACGATGTGAAGGACTATTTTGTAAAACGACTTTGAAGGATGGCGTTACATTGCCTCATGACTGTTATCAAATCTGCAAGAAATAATTTAATTCCGCTCCTGGAGCCGTAGCTTGTGGTTGTGTCATAACTTCCCCGCAGACTGTTATTCTTGAGAGACGGCTGATCTCTCGGCTTCTGCGTGTCGTTGCCTGGAGGCTTCCCACGCACCAGTCAAGCACCGTCCTCTACTGTTGTGCAGCAGCCTGTGGCATTTCTAGGAATCAAAGCGAGGCAGACCCCCCCCACCCAACCCCCGTCCCTCATGGATAGCAGATTTCCGGGGCCAGGTGTGAACAATGGCAGCGGTTTGAAGAGAGAATTGATCTGCCGCACGATGGCGAGAGCGCGAATGTGAGGGCGGTATTACTGGCGGACTTTCTTCTTGAGCTCGCTTGGCCGGAACGCTTCTGGCGCTTCGAACTTTCTCTCGGTGGATACAACCTCATAGCGCCAGGGGCTGCGCTCCGCCGATTTAGTTCAAACCACTCTGCTTAAAATTGTTATTTCATAATAGTGCTTCCCCGGCACATTAAAGCATTGACGTATTTATGGACCCTTTTTGCCAGTATTGTATTAAGATGACAAATATATTAAAAAAGAGCCTTTACCCTTCCTGGCTTGACTTCCGATTAGCACGGTTGGTTATGTACGGCGTGAAAGAAGTTCAACATGCAACTTATGTACGTAAGTGACGTGTGTTTGCTTACATTTTTTTTTTTATTTTTTTAGGGTCCAGACTGGGGATGGGCGCAGGAGGCCGGCCGCACTTGAGAAATGGCAGCGAGGCGCCTCTGCAGAAATCGAACAGCGTCGGGGCCCAATCGCACAACTCCCAATCTTACAACTCTCCCGGCAACGCGTCCTCGCCTGCCGCAGGCCTCACGAGCCCCCAAGGTCTCGCTGTGAGCAGCCAGCCGAGGACCTTCGGCAAGGCCCCCCAAGCCCAGGCCCCCCAAGCCCAGGCCCCCGGCTCGGCACCCAACGCCGGTGGCTTCCTCCTGCAGCACCACGGCTCTCCGACATCAAACGCAGACGGCCAGGTTCACCACGGCGCGGAAGCCTTCGGTCACCCGCAACAGAATTGGCAGTACCGCGGGTCTCCCGTTCAACACCTCTGGACACCTCCCACGAATTCCGCCGTCCTCGGTGGCAACGGCCAACAGCAGGAATCGTCCAATCACCCGGTTCAGCAGGGCAGCGTGGAGGGAGCCCTGCAGCAGCAGCAGCAGCCTGCCCTGCCGGAGAAGAGGTACCCCCCGGGGGGAGACTGGGTGGTGAACTCGCCGCACTACTCGCTGGTGAATCGGGAATCGCCGTCGCCGCTCTCCAGTGGAATGCCCACCATGAGCTGCTTCTCACCGTCCTCCACGCTGCCCGGGACCCTGCACCCCAACTTCTCGAGGCAGTCCAGCGTCACCTCGCTCCCCAGCGGTGCGTAATGTCGTGCGTGTAAAATGTGTTCCCGGTCAACTACGGTGTAGCTGGGGGGGGGGGGGGGGGGGACCATGAGAGCTCAATTGAGATGATGCTGTCGTGGTTTTATTGGTAGCCCGCAGTTGCGTGGCGTTTGTGTGCTGTTTGCTCAAGGCCACGATGAACGAGGGAAATTCCTGAGCAATTGCGAGCGCATACATTTTAGGGCAATCATTCGTATATGTTATGTTATCATTATTATATGACCTTAAGAGTACTTTTCCCACCAGTATATACTGTAACATGGGGTATCTTATATATACATATGTATATTCAATTTCACCCCTTTTAATTTCAGATGTAAGTGCCGAAACTCGAGCATATGTGAAGTTTGTCCAAGACACCACAAAGTACTGGTACAAAAAGGACATTTCAAGAGACCAAGGTACGTCCAGTTACATCACCATCCACAATACAGAGCAGGACGTGACGCTCGTAGATTAGGCAGACCACCACCAGTCTCCTCACCACCACCACAGTCTCCTCACCACCACCACAGTCTCCTCACACCACCACCACTCTCCTCAGAGTCCTCACAAATGTAAACACTCATTCATTGGCCAATAAACGCGTGTCTCTCTGTGGCTCCTCACGCCTCAGAGAGCGAGTGAACACTGTGCGATGCGTGGCAAATAGAAATTGTCATTATACAGGTAGGAACAACAGGTTCCACACTGCCCACCAGGGATTATTTGTCTGTCTGTCGTGCATATTTGTCTGTCGTGCACGAATGCGCTGTCCAACCAAGTTCCTACCTGCCCACTCCGAAGGAACGCGTTTGTCATAATTGCGGCGGGATGAGGTTTGCTCACGTGACGGCTCCTCTTGTCGCAGCGATTGCCGTGCTCAAGGACTCGGAGCCAGGCTCGTTCATCATCAGGGACAGCCACTCTTTCCGCGGGGCCTACGGTTTGGCCGTTAAGGTGGCAATGCCCCCCCCGAGCGTCCTCCAGCAAACCAAAAAAGGTAAATTATACGTTAATTTATCACTCTCCTAGAGTAGATTTTGCAGTTGTTGCGGTTATATAAATTCTTACATTTTTTTTTGGACATCATCATTTAGTTTTTGATATGGAGTTATGTTTTGCATACCGTGTTCTCAACGTTTCGTGTCACGTTTAATCATTGCATTTCGAATTTCCTTCGTAGGAGACCTGGCCAACGAATTGGTGCGGCACTATTTGATTGAATCGACTCCGAAGGGCGTGAGGTTAAAGGGATGTCCCAACGAGCCCTTCTTCGGTGAGGCCACCAGAGAAACCGCTCGCCCACCGCACCCATCACTTGTACATCTAGTGTGAAAACGCATTTCTTTAGAACAAATTTTTGTGTTTAGTTTGTTGTCCTTCCCCCACACCTCCGATGAGCATGGCTGGCTACGTATGGTGTGTGAAAGAAGTTCAACATGCATACGTTTATATAAACACACACACACACACACACGTCACACCGTGCTGCAGACCCAGCGCGGAGCTGCTCACCGCAACGCTGCAACGCCCACGTGGCCGCTTGTGCTGAGTGCGCCGTTTGTGTTTGTGCACAGGGAGTCTGTCCGCTCTGGTCTACCAGCACTCCATCACCCCACTGGCGCTGCCCTGTCAGCTCATTATCCCCGATAAAGGTGACAACCACACCAATCTGTCCTTGTCAGAACAACATTATGACTCCTCTCGGGGTGCAATTACTTACAGACGATAAACCACAGGCAGCTGTGCAGCTTAACATTTAAAGCACGGTTTCTTTTTGAAAACTATTCAAGTAATGATTTCCAGGATTTTTAAAACTGATGGACCACTTGTGAAATTACCCTCGGTCAGAACTTCATAATTGTTAACTCGGAGTAAAAGTGTTTTGCTTTTGAATGTTCCTCCCACCTTGTGCGCTCCAAATACTGTTGGCAAGATTCTCTCTTCAACAGCAGTGGCACTGAATCGCTGGGTCGTCATTTACCCGATGCTTTCCTCCTGTTTTAGATCCGATGGAGTGCTCCGAAACGGACAGCAGTGAAGCCAACACGGCGAATTCGGCATCAGAATTACTGAAGCAAGGAGCCGGTAGGTGGCCACTCCACCGTGTAGCCAACTACAAGGCCACGCTTTCACAGAAAGCGCGCAACTGCATTGGAGGAGCAGTCTCACACACACACACATATATATAAATGTTGGTTTTAAAATACAACACAAACTTTTTTATCGTCTAGCAGGCGTTGTGAATTATAGAGCATAAAGGAATGTCCAGCCCTTATGTCAATTCACTTCTGGGTGAAGGCCTACACATGCCACGTTGGTCTTGAGAATCGTTTGACTATACTTCACTACGCTGGGTCGGTGTGGGGGAGGGACCACGACTGCTCCAGATATGTCTCATCGTGGATGTCACCGTGTCCAGATATTGACCTCAGGATGCCGGGTTAACAGTGCGCTAACCACTGTGCCATAGCTCCTTCTAGAGGGAGGGCATTTACTTAAACGTGTAATCATTTACAATCTGTCTCAAGAGAATGAGCTCTTAGCATGCATTCCTCTCCCCCCCTCCTCTTCTTCCTCCAGCATGCAACGTGCTGTTCTTGGGCTCGGTGGAAATGGAGTCTCTGACGGGGCCACAGGCCATCGCCAAGGCCGTCGGGGAGGTGCTGGAGGCCAGCGCCGCTACACCGGCCGCCACCGCGGTGCACTTCAAGGTGTCGGCGCAGGGAATCACCCTGACCGACAATCAGCGCAAGTAAGCTGCTATTTCCCGAGCGTTTGGTCGAAAAACATGAATCCGGACAAAACCATTGCGAGTCCTAAGCACGGAGCGGCGAGGTAGTGCCGGTGGTAGCACTTGCACCCCATGGCAAGAAGGGACCTGGGTTCGATTTCTCACTCGAGTGCCTTTTTGCGTGAAGTTTGTTTCGTCCTTCCCATGTTCTGCATTGGTTTCTGTCCATGTCCTCCGGTTTCAACCCATAGCTACCCCCCCCCCCCATACAATGTAAGTGGACTTGGCTAAAGAGCCAAATGCTGGCAAATAACCTATTACACATTGCGATTACACAAAGCAACATTGCCACCTATTGCGAAAACTTGGCTCTTTAAAAAGTCCGGAGACTCACTTCCTGGGTAAACAAGGTAAAAATAATTATAGATTACAGGACACAGCACGCGATCTGATGAAACGCAGCACAAGCTCTGCCGAGTATACCGCATACGTTGAGAAGTTCCTCGTACCTTGCATGATTACAATCAGCTGGGTTTTATCTCGCAGGGCGGTATGAAGTGGCCCACGCTACTTAACTTTGTTGCAGGAAATCAGCGATGCTGCATTGTTGTGTTTATCACTGGTGATTTGCAGCGGCTAATGCGTGTTGCTTTGTGTTCCTGCAGGCTATTTTTCAGGAGGCACTACCCATCCATCACAGTGACCTTCTGTGACCTGGACCCTCAAGAAAGAAAGTACGTTCGCTCGTTGTTTGCTTGTAATACAGGTGTGAATATATCTAGACTGCATTTCAGCTTGTGTGTTTCCTCTAGTGGTTTAACATAAATCAAATAGGAAATTATCATTAAGAGAAAAACAACTGCTTTATTTATTCACTTGAACCACAGTATTGGTACGAAGTGATTCTGGTGTTGTTGAGCGTTATCCCTTTAATGTAGAGACGGCCGAAGCCTCCACGTTATAGGTGTTAGCCGGCAGGTTAGCGCTAAAAGCTCGGTCGCACGAGTGACTGTTTATTTTTGGTACAAAAACATTTTGTTCTTGTTAATAGGATCTCATGCAGCTGTGCTTTCCGTCTTTGAATACGAGCAAAATTAAACGTATTTAAAACAAAACTAAACATATGTCTCTCCACATGGCACTTCGTTTGGACTCGGTGTTTATTTGCCAAATAATTATATCGACGTTTTTCTCTCTCGCCTCTAGGTGGCAGAACAATGGAAGCAACTCTGCAAAGTACGTAACATTGCGCGAACGCCTTCCAAGATTGTTCACCTAAAGGGCATCCTGATTTAACGACTTACAGTATATTGACAAATGTGACAGTATCCATTATCAATGTGTGCTGGATGTTATTGGTTATTTCAGCGGTTTGTTTTTAATTTTGGTTTGGATTTGCCATGCATGTGTTGTTAGTTGTTCAAATGCTTTACTTCAACTTGTGTTCTGTTAAAATTAATGTTTCAGCATTAAGTCCTGTGCATCAATATTACAGCCACATTCACACACTTGAGTGATAATCATCAATACGATTGTGCCAACTTCAAACTCTGAACAAGGCCACATGTACACATGACGTGGACAGACTATACAATTATTTGAATTAATGACTGCTCTTAATTATTATCCTTTGTAAAATGTAATCCGAGTAACGTGTTTCCCCCCCCCCCCTCCCCCCCAATTATTTTCAGCATCTTCGGATTTGTGGCAAAGAAACAGGCCAGCACGACGGACAACCTCTGCCATCTCTTTGCCGAGTTGGAGCCAGAGCAGCCAGCCGGCGCGATCGTCAACTTTGTCACAAAGGTCATGCTTGGGTCACAGAACGTGGCCACGAAGCCAGCGCCGACCCCGTGAAGAGTCCCTCGTGACACCAGCCCACCTGGCCACTCACAAACAGGACCACACTGCCAAAACATCTATTCAAATGCTGGGATTAGGCGGTTTGCTTAATTGGTTAAACGCAACGTTTAAACGTTTGTGCGGACACTAAAAAAAGCAATGACCTGAACTAAACGAAAGCTTTTACTCGAGGCACTTGTTTGAGATTTCCCGACATCTTGCTGCATCACGAAGCAGCAGCTAGCTCGGCTGCTGCTGCTGCTCAATAATGAGACACTAAAATTGTAATCCGCTTTTGGCATGCTTGGAAATACAGCAAATGAAATATGTGCAAGGTAGAAATATATAAAACGGTCAGCACTTTGCCAAATTAATGTCAAGAGCTTCAACAGTACGGTTGTTTGTTATTCAATTATCTTGTGTATTTAATGATTTATGTGTAAAATTCATGAGGAGAAGAATCAGCCTGTCATGCAGTAACCTGCAAAAATTTTAAAGATAATGTTGATAAAGCACTGCACCACATGATGTGGCTCTTATCAAAACATGTTTTACGAGAAAAGACAATTCCAGATCACACAGCCACACACCAAATCACGGATGTTGGATAAATTAAGCACTTGCATAATAACGATATGAGATTAAACCATACTCCTTGACCAATGCAACTGTCAAAGGGAAACCATTTTCACGAGTCGACGAAACATAAATTGATTGGGAATGCTCGTTGCATTCTCGAAAACCTGCATTTTGAAAGTTATATTTTTTGCCGGCATTCCATTTGAGTTGTCGTTTTTATTCCGAATAACTTTTTTGTACAAAACTGTAGTTTATTTAGCTTTATGATCATGTATTTGTTTGTGATTTTAACTTCTAGTATAAGCAAGACATTTGAAATGTGTGCATGTTAGTAAAAAGGTAGAAGTATTTTTTAATCTCTTCAAAATATATTTATTACGCTTTCCTGTAACACTGAAAGCTTCTCATAAATTGTGTATAATCTGTTCATAGCCAAAGTGCAAACTTTTTTTTGCTTTGCTTTGAAATTAAAAATCGTAATGGTTTTAGGTGGACGTATTCAGTCACCTTAGGTCACCCCATTGGGAAGTCAGCCCAGGTGAGAGCTAAACAACGCAGGAGTCATGTCAATCCATAACTAGTCCGAATATTATTCTGAAAATAACATGTACCTCCGTGTTGTACACGTGGCACAGGCTTTCACAAAGCAGAGGGCATAGTAGGTTACCATAGGTTTATATTTTCTTGTTCAGCCCATTGCAGGTTATTTGGGCACCTTTTGCTAAAATTCAAACGGATATTTTTGTTACCTTGTGTGAATAATGGATAAGGGAGGTGAGCGAGGTAAATACACTGGGTGGGACAGAACCGACGATTACTTGTTGTAAATATTTTAGTTTTATTTTACGATTCATAAAATGCGGTCTCATTAATAATTTACTTATATTCTACGTACACGTTTTTGTTATCGCTGAAAAAAAAAAGTAAAACGTAAACATTTCGGATGTAATATGCATGAACATGAGCGTATCACGATGGTTACCTGGGAAACAATCCGCAGTTCGTAACCACGAGGGACGCGTTCCCAATTCCCGATGATCCAAACGCGTTTTGTTTTCGCATGGAATCCGAAGGCGTGACGTCACAGGGAGTAGTGCCACTCCCTGTGACGTCACGTGCTCCCCGTTCGCCACCACGTGGTGGCGTCGACTCGCATCGTGCGAGGTCGCGCAAAAGGCAGGAGAGAGTTAAATTGTCAGTTCGTTGGTGTTATGTAACAAGCACATAATTGCACATTACCTCGCAAAAGGATCTGAAAGTGTCCTTGTTGAAATGCAATTTCACATCTGACACCCCATCCCATTCAAAATGTCATGATCTGCCGGAGGTTTCACGTTGTCTCTGTACGAAGCGATGCACCAAATTGGCAGTCTGCACGTTTGCCGATGCTGTGCGAGACGCACAGGGGTGGGTTAACCAAGAAGTAATGCTGTGGTCTTTTGTTACCGACAGGATGCCTGCACCTCGAAGCAAACGAGTGGGTAGTCTGCGTGAACACCGCTAACCTTACACCGAAAACACCGACTGCTTTTGTCCAATACACAGCGGCTGTGTCCCTCCGACGCTAAGAGTGTTGTTCAGTGTTCGTGGCTAATATAAACACGCCACATTATATCCATCCTATATATAAAACGCATGAACACATTACATAACCCAACAACCGTCTAGGATTTGAATATCAAATACAACCTCGTAACAAATGCCGCGCTTGTAGAGTGTAACCTTTGCACAAGCGTGGTAACAATGAAATGCGTGGAGAATGTTTTCAGAAGGTTACGGCAATGGATTTGACACGATGACAAGCATGCGTGATGTCGTTCCTTTCAAGAATAAATCGCAAATACCAATCTCATTTGCAGCAGGGGGGCAAGAGGGTGGACGAACAAAGTGAATGTTGTGCACAAAATCTGGCTCCTTTTTTACAATTGATCTCAAAATTGTCTAAATGTAATTTGAAGTATTTCATTAGCGCTCTCAATAATAAAATAACGAAGCAACTTAAAAGGGGGGGGGGGGGAGAGAAATAAACTATGATACAGAGATGCCCATGAGCCAGTGATATTAATTTAACGTTTAGGTTTAAAAAAAAAAACCAATGTACTTGGTTTAATGCGTTGTGGACGTGGTGACCGTGTAACTCTCCCCGGAATCGCTGCCTCTGATAAAATATTTCGCCCAGGGGCATAGCCACAGAGGCTCGCGGCTGCTGCCACCTGTGCACACGAATGTATGCAGATGTCTCCATTGCAGAAGCAAAGTGTGTTGTGTTTGAGGACGCAAAGGGACTCTCTGTTTAACACGTAGGAGGCTTTCACGACCAATATGATCCACAAGAGGTTTTTGGGTTCGATCGCGTCAATGTATAAATGTTGTGTCGTTAAAACCCGCCACCACCCGACACAGCCAACTAGTAAGGGTTGTCACGTAAACAGAACGTGCCAATTCGTCACTAGTACAGCACACGGGTGTGTTGGAGAGCCAAGCCACAACATTTACAAACCGAGTCCGACGTTTCGCCAGTAACTAGCTTCATCAGTTGGCTGTCGGGTGGTGGCAGGTTTTAACGACACATTTATACATTTACGCGATCTCACCCAAAAAGCTCTTATCAAAGGGACTCTGTGGTGGTGTCTAACACCCCGTTCTGCCCCAAGCCAAGCGGACGCTTGTTGAGAAATTTTTTTTACCCGTTTTTTTGGCTATGCTCCTGACGCGTCAACTCGTGTCATGTACTCACTGGATTAATCAGTGTTATTAGCAAACTGCTAACAGTATATATCTCCTTTACATTAAAAATCATGACACTTAAAATTGATTTATATTTATGATCTTAAGGCTTCATATTATATATCATATAGTTTATATTTTGTACTTTATAATAAAAATAGCAAACTTTAACTGTACAAAATGTGTAAATGAAAGCTGTTCTTAAATAGTGCCATGAGCTCTACTCCATGTAAACCCGTGCTTTGCTTAAATAAGCAGGAAATAAAAAAAAACATATTTAAAAAAACGTTCGAATGTTTTGTTGTCACTGCTGCAATGCACTCACAAAAACAAAAGGTGACATTAATGTCAATTACACCAGGGAGGTGGAACAGTGGTGTATCGGCTCGCACATTGAACGATGAATCTGGCAACCCGGGGTTGTGCCCCCCCCTCCACCCACCAAAAGCCTTTCGCAGGTTGCAGCATGGATACTGTGCAGGAGACATTTCGAATGTGCTTGGGGAAGATAAGTGCCAAGTTTCGGTGATGAGACACTTACACGAAACAACGGCTTACATCGTACAAAATACACAAATGGCATCAGAAGCAAATGCTCCGATAATATATCACTGCCTCAAAGTAAAAAACACAAAGTGCTGTTAAGGCCTATTGCCCAAAACGTTGCCTATTGTGTACGAGTTTTTTTTCCCTTTGTATTAACTATGCTTGTGCACGACTTCCAAACGCAATATCTCCAAATGTATTTAAGTAATCCCAGTGGGATGGGGAGCAGTGGTCTTGATTTTCGTGCACCAACACTAAACATGGCGATATCAAACTTGCCAAGCCCTTATCAGTGCCCTACCTTATCACAAATTCAGACCTTATTGGTCATCCCGTGCCCTTATAAATCGCAACGTTGATCCTACAAAGTCCCATCACAAGGGAGAAACTTGATTTTTGCTTTCCCCGTATTGAAACGGCTGTACGCCATATGGACATGAAAACTAAATCTCCCTATACAAGAAGAACACGGTTAAAGCGTATGGGGTTGACAGGTGTGTGACAGTCGACAAAAAGAGTGGGCTTGGTTATTTGGAGAATACTTGTTTTTATTCAGCTATGACTGGTGACCAACGCCCGCGAGGTGGTGGAAACCCGCCCCCTAGCGGAGAAAGAGCGACCCTGCCGGATTGTGGAATTGTGAAAAATAAGCACGAGCCCCTGAAAAGCTGATTTTCATTCTTGCACACAGCAGTATCGTGTCATTGGTTCCTGCCAGGGTTCAACTTTGTAGAGGCTTCAGCATGCCTGCACTTGCACGAGGCCTCCGCCTACTCCCCCCCCCCCCCTCCTTAAAATCTATCTCCGTGTCGCTCTCTCCCGTCTCGAGGAGAGAGCCACAACACCACCTCGTTCTGGGAAGAGGTTTGCCAACGAGGAGAACTTGCAGCTCACCAACCCGCCTGGTTGACGTGACAGCCAGAACAGGATGGTGACCTGGAGCGTGAGCCAGCGCACGTACACAGTGGGCAGTCTCCAATGGAGGCCACATGAGGCAGTGGAGGACCAAACGCGATCCCAGGTCAGGACCGACAGCGGACGCCTTGGGGCGATCCTGGGCCATCCCCTCCGTAGAATACCCCCGGAATGGGTCGTGGAAGGCTGAAATTGCCGACAGATGGACACTCATGGACGCAGTGAAGCACCCAGACGTGAACGCCTCCATGGGGTGTAGAGTAAATCGCAGGCACGGAGCAGGATACCGGATCCACGCTCATCTCAGAGCAGCAGCACACAAAGCTGGCTCAATGGCCACCATCCACCCCGTATCGTCGACTGCCTGCGCGGCTTCAACAAAAGGCCCTGGACAGGGACGGAAAACCCCTGGGCTGGTGAACCACCACCGCCGCTCAACAGCCTGGACCAAGGAGCCACCTCAGTGGTTGACGCCATTGACCCCAGCAGGATCAAGACGTCACTCGCCTGAGGGAGGGCATAGAGAAGCTGCCCACGCCACAGGGGACACAGGCACGCCACCTTGTCCGACAGGCTAAGCCCAAGTCCGTCTGTCGTACTGCCGCCAGGTGGAGAAGTTGTTGGGTGGGACTCATGGGGCATTTGCGATAATTCATCACCCACCCGTGAATCTCTCGGAGATGCAAAACCAGGGACGTAGACCACACCGCCTGGTCTAAAAGAGTATAAAAGAGACTCTCCCACGCGTTTTTTTTTGTCTGAACGTAGATTTAATTGAGACTGTACACGTATTTCTCTGCAAGTGTATTTACATTTACAGTATTTTACGGAGTTACAAGTAAAACCGTCAAGAAGAAAATAGATTGTTAAACCTAATCGGCAAAAAAGTACATTTTAATTGCAATTACAGTCTACGAGGACCATTAAAACATAGTTTTTTTAAACGGTATTTCGTTTTTAGCCGACTTTTATTTGTACGTGTTAAATGAAAATAAAACGTAGGCAGGAGTGTTTACCTGCGAGGGTAAAGTTAAAAGTACAAATGGCATCTTGGTGAACTTTTAACAGTAACATTATTGCTGGTATTTTCTTCATCCATCAAACTCATCGTGTCTCTCCTTCCATGATTTCTTCCAGTTCCAAGGATCCATGCACACTGCAAATGATAAAACACACTGAAGTGTGCATCACAACAGTGGCAGATTGTGATTTAATGAGACGGCTTCGCAAGCCACACGAAACTCTCCTGGCTGTTGGGGCAATTCTCTCGACGTTATCTTATTTTAGATGGTACCGTCTTGAACATTCCGTTGAACCCAATGAATCCTGTATTTTTCTTTCGTGCGGCCAAGTGTTCAGAGTTCCCAATGAGCCCTAAGAAGCCTAAATAAGCCTCAGGTTTGGCAATGCATTGTTTGGCATGTCCATGAAAACATGAGAATTTCTAAACATTGCATGCTTCGATTAATTTGGGGTCTTGGAAAACGTGTTCATTGAATCCTAAGAATCATCAATGTGCACAATTTGTTATGATTATCTGTAGATGGCTTACTCAATCTTTAGAATCTTACATTTCTTAGTTTGGCTCTTAGAATATCAAGAAATTCTAAGTAACAGCCTATCCCTCGTGCACCGAATCCTACGAATCTGAAATATACAAACGTGATTATTATTACAATTATTCATTTAACGTCTTACATAGCATCCATTATTACTTCAATAGTGTTTGTTACTGGCCAATTGGAATTTTGGGCCAATGCTAAAAAACTGCAATTAAATAACAACCCATATAAGTGTTTTCATATGCTGATAAATACATATGTATTACAATACATTATCTACAATAAGTTCCATTAATTATACCAACATAAGGTTGTATAGCAGACTTTGCGTGACAGACCAAGCAAATGACAGAAAAGTTTGGAGTGCTCAGGACACACGATGCCACAGCCAGTTACATCCAAGACCACGTTGAGACCATGCATAGCAAAGTGGGACAAAGAGGCACCGTCACATGAGATGAATGGCCAGGACTAAACTGCATTACACACAGTTGTGTAAAGGCTGTGGTGGTTTAAGACATATAAACAGAAAAACATTTGTGGGGAACTTGTCAGGGAAAAATTAACCCGTAAAAACAAAGTTTTTCACTATAAATCCTTTATATGCGTGGCGGCTAGAGTCCTCTCGTCCTCTGGCTTGAGATGGCTGCCACCTATGGGTCAGATGATTGCCTGCCACCATTAAGCAATTGGTAATTAAATATAATTTATTTTTTCCTAAAAAGTGTAAAATTTTAGAAAAATGTTTCACGAAAATAAATTGTCACGCACAACGAGTCTGTGTGCAAAATGTCAGCTCGATTGGATCACGGGAAGTGGGTTAAAAAACGACCGAAAGATTTGCACGGTCGTAAGCGCGCAAGCAAGCAAGTGAACTTAATATAAAGGATTTAAAAAATTAACCCGTAAAAACAAAACTTTTCACTCTAAATCCTTTATATGCGTGGCGGCTAGAGTCCTCTCGTCCTCTGGCTTGAGATGGCTGCTACCTATGGGTCAGATGATTGTCTGCCAGCATTAAGCAATTGGTAATTAAATATTTTTTAAAAATTCCCTAAACAGTGTAACATTTTTGAAAAAAATTTTCACGAAAATTAATTGTCACGCACAACGAGTCTGTGTGGAAAATGTCAGCTCGATTGGATCACGGGAAGTGTGTTAAAAAACGACCGAAAGATTTGCACGGTCGTAAGCAAGCAAGCACGCAAGCAAGCAAGCGAACTTAATATAAAGGATTTAAAAAGGAAGGAAGTGGATATGAGTGGTAGAAGCTATGAACCTTGAGCTTGTTCGGTGATGCAAGGTGGTGATCGATGGAGTTACCTTTGGCTCAACTTGGAGCACTGGGCGTGACTGGGCGGCTGTCACCTGTAGTCAGCCACACTGATGGACAGGGCGACTTCAGCTCGGCGGGGACGAGCGGTTGCAGCGCCATCACCAGCCGGTTTCTGTGACTTGCCGCTAATTCGCAAGTATAACAAATACATCAAATGACAAAACGGAACATGTCTTGGAACCGTTTAAACTACTGCAAATATCTCCACCTGATGATGCCAGTTGTAATTACTGGCGAAACGTCGAACTCAGATTGTAAATGTTGTAGATTTGCTCTCAAACACACCGGTGTGCTGTACTAGTAACGAATTGGCATGTTCTGTTTACGTGACAAACCTTACTAATTGGCTGTCGGGTGGTGACGGGTTTAACGACACATTTATATTTAAGCAATCTAATCAAAAAAACTTCTATTATGGATATTGGTCATGAAAGCATACGTGTTAAACTAAACTACTGCGTTTAACAATATTCCCTCTGAGTTTGTAGCACCCTGGACACCTTTGTAAACGAGATGCTCCCTCTCACTGTTATAAAACAGGTGATGTATTCAAAGAGATATGTAAACACCCGCCAATGTTGATCTAACATACTTACGTGGCAAGAGATATATGGGAGGAGGCGTATTGTCTGCTCATCTAATTTGATATTTATATTCTCCACAATTATTATTTCTGCGATGTATCCTTGCCTATAACACCTGACAATTCACAAGCATTGATTCAAGCCCAACTGCTGATAACACACTGTATGTCAAAACCAGTCAAGAGTTTGCATTATTTCAGCAGTACTATAAGCAAATAAGCACTCTCAGAATCTATATGAAAGACTGTCTGCTTATCTAGTTCGCTTCCTATATTCTCCATAAAAATAAGGATTATTTTGTGTAACATGCGGAGGGTGCTTTGCATACTCTTTCTGTTTTTTCTCCGTTTGTAGACGCAGATTTTGTTCGTCATCCTCGGCAGTCGAGAAATCTGAGGAACTGTCCACACTCAAGTCCTGGGCGTCGGCAAAGCAGGGCAGAAGCAAAGAACATCTTTAGTTAAAACCTCGGCCAAAGGTACACAATGCAATCTAGGTCAAGGCGAAGCCGGAAGAAGCACCGGCTCAATAACTTCGTTCAACCAAACGTATGTAAAACCAATTTATCCCGAACCATAATTTGTTTCGGGTTTGGCCACAAAAACAAATGTGGATCGTAGTATTGGCTACGAAACCTACGTTTTAAGTTTAAATTATCACGCAACATTATGCATTCGTATTTTCACTGCACGTTAAATGCTTGAAATTGACCATTTTCACACTGAAAGGTAAGTATTGAAATATTTATCCACAAAACCGTTCATCTGACCCAGGTACACCACACCCAAGGATATTAAGTGCAGCCTAGGTGGTTAATGGGTAAGAAAATTATTCATATTTTGTAAAAAAAATGTGCACTGCCTTGTCGATTTAACAAAAACGAAAACACTCGTCAACAACACTGCCTGACGTAAATAAACACGAGGTGATAATTGGGGCCACGGCCCTTCTCTACCACCACTCTGCTTGTGCATCACTGGCAACGTAGCGCCACCAAAAATGCACAATTATGGCCAAGGTGTGTCTGTGGACAGCTCCCCACCAGGAGAAAAGCCGACCAATTAAATGTCTTCTTGGTTCTTTCGGTAAAGTGACGTAGAAGGGAAGTAATAAAATAATAAAAATAAAATAATAAACCAGTCTGGTCTTCACCTGAAGACGGCTGCTTGCGTTGTGGCCGAAACGTCGTGAGAATTGTTTTATTATGTTTTATTTTTATTATTTTATTACTTCCCTTCTACGTGACTTTACCGAAAGAACCAAGAAGATGAATCCCTGCAGTCACGAAAGCTTTAAATCACAATTAAATGTCACCACATCTCTACAAGGCTCCCCCCTTGGTTAAATACTAATGCCACACATTTAACCGATATGCTTAATAGAGTGATGACATTTGTACGCTACTCAACACCATCGATTGTTAGGCAGAATAATAACTATATACTTAATGAGTACAAAGGTCACATTCATCGAATATAATAACTTACATTTATTCGTATTGAATGTGAATTCAATATCCATATTGAATGCTATTACAACAGTTGAATGCATCAGAATGGAAACCCACCTTGACCCCAATGGTGTCTCCGTCGTGCAAGAAGAAGGGAGATTGCCGCAGGTTCTCTCTGTTCTGCCGTCGTTTGCCCTTCCCCCCCTGCGGGCAACACAAGAGGAACCTTGCAGAGCAAACTCGAAGCTCAAGTAAAACTAAACTTTTCATTTCACCAAGGCCCAATGGAGCTATACAAGTCATTTTCAGAAGGGACCTGGCCACAAATGATAGCTCAGCAAAGTGACTCGTCATGTGGAAGTCGCAAGCAGCCAAATATTGTAAAAGCATGTTTCTGAATGTGAAGGGAAAAGCTGGAGGACCCGGATAAATATCCAAGTGACCACGGGGAGAGCATGCAAACTCCAAATATACAGCATGCATCAGGGTCGGGTTCGAACCCATAACCTTCTGCATACCAGGTGAGAGACATCACATCTCTTCACCGCAGCACTGGGTTAACACCAAATGCCTCCCTTCATGCTAAAGCGATGCCTGTTGATAGCACGTCTGAGCGATGGTTCATGTTTTATTTAGCATATCCTCTGTCATGACGTTAAGTGTCATTTTATATTATTGCTGTACAAGTACAATACAACAAAATCTCAATTGTCAATGAATATGGTACTAAGAATTATTTTTTTGTTAATATACAATCAGTGACGTTTCGGGCTATGAAGGATTGTGCTGAAACATCACCTATTGCATATTTATATTAATTCCTTTTAAAGCCACAGTATTATTGACAAACGGTGTTGACTTTTTACCATCTATAAAACATGCCTGCTCTCAGTTACAAGCAGACCTTCCAACTCAACCAAGAACACACCTTGCTGGTCTCCCAGATACAGACCCACTTGGAGGTGTCTGGGAAACGCTTGGCGAGTTCCAGTTGCTGAGCGGGTATTTGCAAGGTCTGTGCGACGGCGTTGCGGAGGGAGTTGACTGTGCAGCCCTGCGTTGTGTCCAGGATCATCTCCCGAGGGAGACGGTACCGCCGCTCCCCCGGAATGCGCAACTGCAGCTGCAGCAGCAGGTCAAATGGCCTGCGAAACGTAGCAGAGAAAAATCAATGGCAGATTTTAAAACTCGAGCACGGAGATTTGCATGTAAAAACAAAGCATGGTTTTGGCAATAACAGTTGAAATGCAACCGTGCAACGGTTACATTTTAAGTGCTTTTGACAAAATACTTAGATTTGAATGCAAAATGTTGTATATGCATAATATGAAAACTGCAATGCAAATTGGAAAGCGGTAATATGCATGGTGTGTGCTGCCACTCACCCTAATACTTCCTCTTGAGGGAGAATTTGAACACACAGCTTGGATGTTCCCCGCAGACCCAGATTTCTAGGCACACAGAGGGGAACCTCAAATGTGGCAACTCAAAGATGTAAGCATTTAAACATTCTAATTCTCAAAATGTATCATTATCAACAGCTATGTTCAGCCATTTTCATTCCACTGCTCGATGAACGCCTTCCCAAACCGCCAACACCCCTTCGCAATCTTTGTTATGCAACAATCCATCCAGCGCCTGCACACGAACCGATTTTGCCCATTTGAGAAGCCACGTACTGTATTTGCACGACGCGTTACACTAAACGGCCGTTGGCTTCGCTAGTTTGGCGAAAGTTTCCCCTTCTGAAGGCTGACCGACAGCGCAGCTCTCCCTCAGGAGGCATGGCTCACCTGAGTTGCTGTTGACCGTTGCGGAGGATCTTTCCGGGCTTCAAGCCCTCCTCCAGGAGTCGCACGCGCACGCACTGTGGGGACAGCGCCAGCGCTGCCGCCGCTGCTTCTGGCTGCACTGCTCCCAAGGAGAGGACCTGCAACAGGCCACGCTCTGTTAAGATGATTCGCTGCAGGGTTGACGATGGGGACAGTTCCGGGGTTTCCACATTCAGCTTTAGCACTGCGCAAGAAGCTAAGCGCACCCTGAAGTAGAGTTATCCTTACAAATGCCATGTTTGTTGTCCTTCCCCCCACGCCTTCGATTAGCACGATTGGCTACGTATGATGCAAAAGAAGTTTAACATACGTACGACATGTGACTCCAATGTCAAAATATAAAGTGATGACTCAAACTGCAGATTAATGTCCCCGTTGTAGAAAATGCCCTTGTGACCCTGCTGTGTATGCTGCCTTGCCACCACCTTGGTAAATTTAAGTACTTTAGTGACTGGTAAATTGGACGTAGGAGCAAAGATACAATTTGCAAGTTCATTTCTCAAAGTCTTATCTATTGCATACCTTGGCCCTGAGGTCATCTAGGAATGCCGTGCCAGAGATGTGCACGTCTCCAATGTGGCTCAGCCTTTTGGTGCCATCCTTGCCTGTAGGGAAGGAGTTGGTATCATTTGTTAAGCTGCATCAGAGAAGGGATAGGATGTTTCAGAGCGTAACTCTTGACATGCTTAAGGGGCAGCTGTGCATGTTAATGATAAAAGATAAAGGCTCATTGACACCAGGTAACTGAAAAGTATGTGGCTATGCTATTTGTTAAAACACCAACATACAAGCCAAAAATCCAATCACTCACCGATACCTGTGCCAGACAGCTATGGTACAGAGTAAGGGAAACGTGGATTTCTAGTCGCATAAGGTCCTAAGATCCTACCATGTTACGTGTGTAATGTTGCCAAGTGTGAGATCCAAGATAATCAGAACAGTATGATGCCAGCAAGCGTTTGATCCTGTGTAGCAGCATCAGGGCCCTCTCTGGCACCTCTTTCCACAGCTAAGAATCCAGTCGCAGGCTTGAGCAACCACAAGGACAAGGTCAGCAGGCCCTGCCAACAACCACACGGACAAAGTTAGCAGGCCCTGCCAACAACCACACGCGTGCCGTGCGCAAGTCAAGACCAATGCGTACATGGAGAGATTTATGAAAAACATCGACCGTTTACTCAGATACTTCCATTCAAAATGATAGCACACTTCAAACATTTATTGTATATTAATGCCACTTCATTGTACAACCTTCTTTATTAAAATGTTATTTTTGTAAATAACATTTAGTACGTATTTATTTCAGTTTCTAAACCTCAATTAAGGTATAGAGCAGCATTTCTAAAACAATGTACACAAACCACTTAATTTAACACGAAACAATTATCAAACACCAATTAACAAAAGGTGCTTACCAAAAAAAAACTAAATGTTTCGAATTGGGATTCAAACCACTCATGTGGGCATGATGGATGCTATGTGGCAATTAACAAAAACACATCGAGAAAGAACCCAAGGGAGAGTAAACACCAATGCTTCTCTTAGGAGGCAGGTCATGGTATAGATTACTCTTTTGCGCATCTAAGCCAGGTAAAGCCTCACCGAGTCTCAAGACTCATTTTCAAAAGGGTCCTGCCAAGATTCCACAGTAGGCGACAGACAGTTGCTGTTTTTTCCCAATTAAATAATTTGCATATTCTTTGGGTCTTTCGGTAAAGTCACGTAGACAGGTTCAAAATAGTTTGTAGAATGTTCCATTCCAGGTGAAGTATGCGTTGGTGAGGCAATGTCGGTACATCAGCATTTAATCCTTGTTGGACCAAATCTTCAATGATTACCAAGCGACATGTCTCTGACCGCATTCGTGGGCATAGGGCATATTTGAAACATGGGAGGACCAACTCTGTTGATAGCCAGTGGGCTATCAACAGAGTTGGTCGTTCATGAAGCCATCCGTATATAGACACAGACAATTTCAACCGAGAGGATGGGTACAAACTCGGCAATCATTGGAAGGGCATCATCAACCAGTTTAAGTCATAACTGGCTGTGACGTTTCCATCTTGTCACCTTCCGATGTTAGTTTAATCTGACTAATTTCTACAGAGCTCCTGCGCCTACCCTTCTCTCGATTCATTAACATAACCATCTCCGCTTGAAGTTGGGCAAACTACTTAAAAGTACAAAAAAGTTGTTAATTTCCCACATTAACGTCACCATCTCCACTTGTGCTGGCCCCAGGGCCCTTGTGACCCACCCACGCCGTTGGGCGCACTGCAAGTTGACACTTGGGCTACGTCCATCGTAAACCTTTAAAAACAGCTTGACTTTGGGACCTTTCCCCCCTTTATCCACCTGAAGACGATTGCTTGTGTTTTGATCGAAACGTTGTGGTTTTTTGTTTATTTTTTATTAATTTTGAACCTATCTACGTGACTTTACCGAAAGAGCCAAAGAATACGAATGACTCCAGTCACGAAAGCTTTAAGTCAAAATAATTTGCATATATTATTTGTAGGTGACGAATTTGAATCGTGACCCCTGGCACACGATGGCCGACTCTTCTTCGACGGCACAGGATCTATAATGTCCACCACTGTGGAGCAGACGATTAATACACCCGCAACATTATTATTTTCTTCGTTATGCTCGTTTAACCAAGAAAACCACACAGAGTACGCATCACGACCCTTTTTGAGGAATGTCCTGCAAAGTCTTCGCAGTCTAAGGCAATGAATGCTACGGAGATTCCCAAATGAGCGACTTGCGTATAATTTTTCAAAAGAAGCGTTACCTTGGTAGGTGGGGGTCCTTCTGTTAATTGCAGGACATCTCCACCCCGAACACCCTGCTCCTGTAGAGTTGCATCCTAGAACACAGAGTACACCACACACAATGCATTCTGCACACCTCCACCGCAACAAAAGTCCCCCATATAGTCTTAACAGGCAGTAGGGGGCAAGTAGTGTTAGCGAGCACCTATGAAGGAGGGCATGGCACACGAAGAGGGTGGGTGGCCAACACCACGCCCGGCCGCCTTTGTCTCTCTAGTGCTGATGTTTACACATCGCACCAGGTACCCATTTGAGGCTGAGTCGACCTAGGGGAGGCCCAGGACCAATTCAGATAGTCGTCACTGGTGTTGGCCGTGAGCGGGAATCGAACTCGAATCACCGGGTTCGTAGCACAGCACGCCAACCGCTACACTACCGCTGCCCACACCACTACACACAGTACAATTCATGCATCCGAACAGCTGTGCATAGCTCAGTCATGCAACCAAACATTTACACGCATCACAATCATGCACCCAAACCTCACCACACAGCTCAAATCACACAAAACCTAGAGTTAAAAAAAGAGTTACATTTATATATAGCACGTCTGAATGTGACAGCATCCCAAGGCACTGTATAGAAACTGCTATTGTTCTCACAAGGGCATGCTGTGTGTGATGATTACACATCGGCAAACATTTTTCTATTGCAAACCTGATTGTACAGTGGCTCTCCCACGTCTCCGCACCAGTTGACACGACGGAGATGCCAGTCACCAGCTGCATAAAGAACACACAACTCTCAGTTGCATACCCTCTACCGGTATAAAACTATTTCGTTACACACTCTTTCCTGTGTAAACGATTCACCGGCAAACACATTACAGTAAAACCTTGGATTGCGAGCATAATTCGTTCTGGAAACGTGTTTGTAATCCAAAGCACTCGTATATCAAAGCACTCGTATATCCGTTGTGATCACGTGACGCTCTGCAGACAAAGCGTACAGGTACTACTCGTATTGCAAGACCTCGCTCGTTTATCAAATTCATATTTAGTTACAATTTTTGCTCGTCTTGCAAAACACTCGCAGACCAAGTAACTCGCAATCCAAGGGTTTTACTGTACTAGCGTGATGATACGTTTATTAATGCACTCTTGATAAAAATACTGAATTGATGAAACAAATCACGACGTTTCGATCGCAACACACGCGGTCGTTATCAAGCCTTTTCCAGATCACGAAATCTTGCGGTGCGATCGATACGTCGTGATTTGTTTTATTTTATTTCTAACTACGTGACTTTACCGAAAGAACCAAAGAGTTTTGAATTGATAGTGTAAGTGAATTTTGGCAAAGCACGCCTACGCGCGGTGTTGTCCGTGACTTGGGGAGGCAGCCACTTGTCTGTGAAAGAGCTTCATAGCTCATCGGATTCCTCCAGTATAAATATTCTGATTCTGATTGGATGGAGGTTAGGGCCACAGACACTGCACATGTGCAGAGAGCAGTAGGACCTTTAAATGTGCTGTGCCTTTCATCGGCCCCAAGCATTAAACGAAGAGTGCAAAAATAAAGCATTCGTAAATGTACTTTACCTATATTCACAAGTCAATGGCAGGGTCTGGAGTAAAGTGCAATCGTCAGCATCGCAAGCCTTATATAAATTCAACATACCGCTTATGTTGGCTTTGTTGAGCACGAGCTTTGAACACTGGGAATACAAACACAATTTAAAATTACATGCGCAGAATACCCCGCAGTAATTTATATAATTATTACATTTAAAGACGAAATTGTCAATAGAAAGGCAAGTTAATTATGTGCATATAATATATTATAGTAATTATTTAAATTACGAAATAAAGGCTAGGAATGTCAACAAAATCCAATAAAAAAGCTACAATCCAATCAATGAGAAGGCCTTCAATGCCCAAGGTAGACACAAGCAATTACAAACCCTATTACTAAATAATTATAGTGAAAAAGTGTTTCGTGTAGAGTACAGTAACATGCGTTACTGGTGAAATGTGAACGGTGTCACTGCTGAAATGAACAGAGGTGGGTGCTCATACCCACAAGTGCTCCCAAGCGAGTGGTGGACATTCCACATTGCCAATAGTAACAGCCAATCTAACCATCGGATAAGCAGCGCCGACATCCCACAAAGACTAAATAACTTCATTCACCAAAGCAGAATAATAATGACGTCAATCCCCAACTGGGATTTAAAACGACCTTGCGGCATGCAGATTTATTTATGGTGCTGTACCAGCCTGTTGGGAAAACCGAATCATGTGAAACAGCAGTCTTAAAAATGGGACCAACAACTCTAAGCCGAGATCAAGCGAAGACATCTACGTCAGAGGTCGCGACCGGGTACCCGATACCCGTACCCTACCCGATACCCGGCTACCCGTCCCCGTACGGGTACGGGTACCCGTATGGGTACCCGTTTGCGACCCTGGTGCGGCCGGGTATGGGTAGGCCGTGAGTCACTGGTGAGTAACCGTTTGTCACTCATTTTGGGTAGGGTACGGGTAGGGAAGGGGTACCTGTACCCGGCCAGGTACGGGTACCCATTTGCGACCCTGGTGCGGCCGGGTACGGGTACGGGTAAGGAATCAAAACCCGTTTGCGACCTCTGACCTACGTCACACACAATGAAGAGACACAACGCCACTGGAGCTGTCGTCGAGTTTACGCGGGACACGGGAAGACGACAACGACGGCGCGAGGACAGCACCTCGCGTATGGTGGAGGTTTGCGGCACAACCAAGTCCAGCTCCAGTGAGTCCGGGCTGCCACTGACAGTGAAGCTCAAAAACAGCTGTGAAAATAATATGCAACATCATCAACCTCTGGTATCCGTGAGACATGGGTGGTAATGTGTTAAAGCACCTCCGATTGGCACGGTTGGCTACGTACGGTGCTAAGAAGTTTAACATACATACACACAAGAGCAATGAATTTCCAATCCTGAGATTTGGAGTGATACTGAACAAGATAACAAAGTGTTCCTCAAATTGTTTTATACGTCTTATTATTTAGTCTTCAGTTTTGGTATTCTGCAGCTCAAGATAACACTGAATAGTCCCCCTTTTGACTCTCTCCCTTGACTCTGACTCCGACTCCGAGGGATGCTACTTTGCAAATGTGACGCACGGTCCCCAACTCTTGAGCACGTATTTTCCCTCCATAATATCAGTTTCACAAGACCTCTATTGATCAACTTTCCAAATGTTTTTGTAGCAGAATTTTTTTAAATTCCAGGAGCAGAGTGGTGACCAAGTTGTTAGCACAATGTGTTATGCACCTGGATGAGTGAAATATGAAGTCCAAAACCCCTCCTCCCCCCCTTCACCAACCCCCACTGACCGGTATGGTGAAGTATTGTCAAACAACCACCATGACCAACATGGCGTGGAGTGGCCTTCATCATCCAGTCGTGGATTGACAAATGGATGCAAGTTAATATTTTATTTTTAATATTCAAAATGTCAAGGCCTAGTTTAAATAGTGAATGAGACATCTGTACCTCCCCAGAAGTTGGTGCCCTCCCAGAGCACAGCGTGAGCAACGCATCCTGCTGCAAGCCAGCATCACGCAGCATTGCATCTTCCCTCACTGCGTGCGGAACAAACAAGGAGTGTGCAGACAGAGCAGCGAGTGCATTTGCTCAACGAGTACGCGTACACGTGGGCAAGGAATTCGAAATAATAAGTAATATTCTACTCCAAAGCGAGTACAGGTACTCAAGAAACCGTACAAATACCCAAGGGCATTGCTGGAGCTTGTGATGGGGACAGGTTCTCGATGTACAGGGACTGGAAGTACTCACTGGGGGAGAGGAGACGACCCGTAGAGTCCACCATTCGCAAACAGTATCCATCTGGCGACAGCACGACCAGGAAAACAATATTTGTACATGAAATAGCTTTTGTATGAATATCTTTAAAATGCTACAATAATTACAAAACATATCGAGATTGGATAATATGCAAGTTGCAATTGAATAATTCAAATTTAATTTCAAAGTGTCAAACTTATAATATTTAAATATGGAACTTTTGTTTATACTTCAACGCTTACCTGCAGCCTCTGCTTCAAGGTGCATCTTCTCCAAAGCTAAAGATTTGATGGTGGAAACGACCTGGAGACGCCAGCAATAACAGGAGTCAGCGAGGTAACTTAATATCAATAGGAAGAGCTTTCACATCATCCGAGGTCAACCAGTGTGAAGACTCGCAGTGCAGACCGACACGGTCCACTGGCTCAGTATGGCACTGGGTCATCACACAATCTGGTGATGCGGTTCCACGGGGTATGGTGGGCGGCTGACATCTACCCACCGTGTCAACTCGGCAAGGTGAGCTCGACGGTCGACTTCTGCGCTCGGCACTCGTCCAGAAGTCCACTCTTAATGTTCAGTCGCAGGCTGGGGGTCTCCGAGCTCTGCTGGCCCTTGTCGCTTTGATTCTCCAGCTCCAGGCCACTCTGACAACTTCACAGGAACGGCATAGGGAGAGGGGCAGTGCCTGTCAGACCACGTTTGGGAAGACTTATAAGCAGGGTGTTAGTAACAGATTCGAGTTTGTGTTTCAAAGTATTGTTATACTAAAAATGTGGCATTCAATCTCCCCTTATGAAGAGTCAGACTTTAATGGAAATGTATATCTTCTAAATAACCATTGTAAGTGTATACAAAAGCGGTACAGATGCGCAATAGACCTGAAATCATCAGTGTTAAAAATAAATATGCTATTGTCTGCTTGGTGAAGACATTTTACAATGCAAAAAAGTTACAATACCAAATTATTGCTAGTCGTTACTCTATACCAATGCCTTGTATGTGTAAATTATTCAACAGCAACAGGGTAGACTTTGTTTGTAATCTACAAAATAAAAACACAACAATAATTTTTGTAGACAACCAAATTTTTTTAATAACTGCCAAAAAAACCCACAATATGCTAGCATACAAGCTCAAATACCACACCCCCGACAACTTGGTGACCTTTTTAGCACTCGCATGAACAACTCACGCGTCCTGCGTGCACTCTCTGAAGAGCATCAGCCGGTCGCCGTCCGCGACCCCCAGCGAGCCGACGGTGACCGAGTCCACCCGCTCTCGCTCCAGCCACACACTGCGGCCTCCTTGGCTCAAGGCCAGCCCCAGGGCCTGCGCAGGGATCCCCGTTTCGGCCGCCAACGTCAACCGCAGCTCCCCGAGGAGAAGGGCCTTGGAGAAGCCCCTCTGCCAAGAGGGGGAGGAGAGGAGTCCAGGCCGAGGCGGGGCTCACTGCCGCCCGCGCACGCCGAGGGGCCGCGTGGTCCTGTCGGCCTCGGCAGGCACCGCTCACGACCAGGTCGAGGAGCACCGGCTCGTTCTCTTTTCCAGTTGCAATTGGGACACCGCCAACCTTGCGGCACAAAATTGGAGGGCGCACAGGCAATGTGACAGTTAAAATATAATTAACGGTACAGCAGATTTTGTGCGAGTGTGTTTTTATACAGATGGCGATATCGACCATTCGCTGCATTAGATGTGCTAATTAGAGTAATGTACACGTGGTATGTATACTTATCTTGCCACCTAAGTCTCATATTTAATGCACACCCAACAGTGTTCATGATGAGTATTACTCATAAGACCCACTTAAATCGTTGTGTTAGCTTCCAAGTGCTCATAAAAACACACACGTGTCAAAGTTCGTAGAGTTATTCAACTGGCAAGTAAAGTGTTTTGTGATGCTGGATTGTGTACATTTGTAACTCACTGCGTACAAACACACGCTCTGCCACATGTGCTTTACAGTTACCGTCTACACACCTGAATGCCGTCCCAGATGAACAGGTTGCATCCATCCTTCAAGCCGGCCTCAGATAGACTCCTGTCCCCATCTGAACACAGTTGGAAGGGTGTGGGGTCAGACAAGGCCAGAACAGTTCCGTGTCATATAGCGTTTCGCTTGAGCCCTCAGCAGGGATGCTGTAAAAATACCAAAAGTGAAAATAAAATAAAAAGTGAAAACAGCATATTTGGCAGAAGAGGGAGTACACAATCAGTCTGATCCGAGCATAACCTAACCCTTGACCTTATCACTGACACCAACCCCACACCATGGCAAACAGCCCAGCCTCCTTTCATTTTGTGAGTTTTTAGTGCCACTAAAGGAGTATGCCTGGTTGTCGCCAGTAATTATTTTAGGTGAAGGAATGTGCACATATAAGTATAGAGGTTATGGGGATGGTGACCTCGGGGTAGTATTAGGGTGGGGACTAATGCAAGTGATTACAGTGTGTAAACAGGCAAACATCTAAAAGCTAAGGTTGAGGACTTAGCAGGGGTACTAATATGTATGTACGACTTCTTTCGCACCGTTCATAGCCAACCGTGCTAATCGGAAATGTAAGGGCATTTACACATTGCTGTGAAGGGCGATTGCCTGAAACAGCAGCGTTCCACAAACGGCAGGGGGCAGAGAGGAGTGAAGGGAGGTACGACACGCCGCCACCACACCGCAGAGAGGACGACCCGTTTTAAGATCTTATTCGGTCTGGTATAGATGCCTTGTTGGCATATAAGCTTGCAAGGATGTGAATTGCTGACGAAGCAGTGAAACCCTGACCTTGGAGTGGCTCGTAGACGTGCAAGCCGGCAGGCAGCAGCTTGGCCAGGCTCATTGCCAGAGGGCCTTCCCATGACTCGAGCAGCTAGTTTTACAAAAGTGAACACACACACGCACACACACGCACACACGCATACAGAAATTTTGAAAACAAAGTATTGGCTTACATAATTGTAAGTTTCAAAAACATGAGCACAAGCTTACATTACTTGATTTGCAGTCGTTTGTACAAAATAACTGCCCACTGTGGAGCAATGTGTGCAATAATACCCAGAATAAAACATACGATCAGACTTAACATTGCAAAGCGCAACAGCCACACTGCTCCAATGTAGGTAGAAACTATTGTGCCAAAAATAGAAGTCCAAAACATAGATAAAATTATACATTTTTTAATAAAAGGTAAACTATTTTATAAATGACTCCAAAAGGTTAAGACGCAACTCCAACAAGAAGAGGCACTACACATTCTAAGTGACATGTACTGTACTGTCATATATGCTACGCAGCATGCACAAGTCTAGAACAACAGCCTCTAGCAGGGACATTTTTTCCCTCTATAGTAAATCAATTATCCCGTCGACTGCAGCATCACATTAGTCCTAACGTCCTCATGTGGTTTCATTTTGGGAGGTGGGGGAGGAGCCGTAGCACAGTCACCGGGTTGCTACACTGTGCTAAAAACCCGGTGACCCGAGTTTCTGAATTCGTTTTCGAGTTACGGGTTAACATCAGTGGCGAGTAACATCAGAGCCAGTTCTGGACATGCCCCGATCCTTCGCCAACCCACAATGACCAACATGGTGAAGTATGGTCAAACAACTCCCAAGGCTGACACGGCATGGGGAAGCCTTAATCCACCAGTGGATTGAAAAATGTCTTTATAATTAAAGTAGTTTATATTTGTATTCGATTGAACCATAACAACTCTACATGACAAAGATACTCCGTATAGCCTGACCAGACTGTTGGGGCAAGTGCTGTTAGCGAGCACCGATGAAGGCCTAAACGGGCACACGAGGGGGTGGGTGGCCAGCACCACGCATGGCCGCCTTTGTCTCCCCAGTAGCGATGTTTACTGCACACCGCACCAGGTACTCATTTGAGGCCGAGTCAACCTAGGGAAGGCCCAGGACCGTTTCAGATAATCGTCGCTTGTGCTGGCAGCGAGCAGGAATCGAACACGGGTAACTGGGTTCGTCGTGCAGCGCACTAACCGCTACACCACCGCTCCCCACACACAAAGGTGAGAGTGCTCTGTGGGCTTGCTCACCTGCTCAATCTCGCTGCGCAGCTGCGTCACGCTAACGCGAGTGTCCGTGCACAGCGGCAGGGCGGGGTCTCCGTGCGGCGAGGCCGGGCGCAGGGCCCCCGCCTCAGCGTCCCAGCCATAAAGGGGACTCAGGTGCAAGTGCAACGTCAAGTTGTGCAGCTGCTGCTCGTGTTGCTTCCTGGCACACGTCACGCACATCGACGTATAATGGCCGCGGAAGTTCCGCAGTTACGACAAACGTCGATTAAAAATAAATGCTAACCATTTAACTTGCAAGTCGATAGCATTTTGTGTGCATTGACACAAGCCCCTTAGCAAAAGAGACCTGAATATCTTCTTGGTTCTTTCGGTAAAGTCACGTAGAAGGGAAATAATAAAATAATAATAAAACAAAATAAAATACAATTCTGTTATGTTTTATTTTTATTAATTTATTATTTCCCTTCTACGTGACTTTAACGAAAGAACCAAGAAGATGAATCCCTGCAGTCACGAAAGCTTTAAATCGAAAGAGACCTGAATAATCAAGGCCTTAAAAAACCTAACGAGGAAGGATTCTAAACTTACATTAGATAGCATTTGCTGCTGCTACGTGACCACACCGTGAATGTGTTTATCTACCTTTAAACATATAATCTTGACATTCCTCGTGATGCTGTCAAGTCATCTTCTTCGACAAGTTTATATTGGACATAACCATTCATGTAAATGCAACCACGTACACACAGAATGTTGCGAGTATAAAACACAAACTCTTGCCTGCGTAGCAATGCTGAAGTTAGGCTACTTGGCTCTATGTCTAGATAGACAGCAACAGGAGGCCACAGTAGCATTTGAACAGAGCAGAATAATGACTTTCAAAAGAGCCAAGGGCAGCCTAATACATAATTTAAGAAAGGATGAGATATATACAAAGCTGAACAAAAACACATGGCAAAGACATCTCGGATGAACACTATGGGGGTACATTTACCTTAACGCAATCAGATTGGTGTTGAGAGTGGTGACTTCATCCACAAGCCATTGCGGGATCTCAGACGACCATTTTTTCTTTGCTGGCCACACAGAGGTAAAACATCAAGCGTGATACCCAACCAACATCAAGGTCTCTATCTCCAATGCTTCTGTATTGTGGAATGGCTTTATTACCAAAACTGTTCAAAAGAATGCTTCACTTATATTTTTATTCTAGAATTCAATCATTGCAACAACAAAAAAACGAAAAAAAAATAATTTAATTTATCAATGATGTACTACACACATTTGTTATATTGTTTGGTGTTTAGTTTGTTGTTCTTCCCCCGCACCTACGATGACCACGGTTGGCTACATACGGTGCGAAAGAAGTTCAACAATAAACATAAATACACTTAACGGCAGAGCCCTCCCCATTTCTCTCTCACCACGTCGCGGCCGATAGAACAGCATGTAGGCACTTTCACGGCCTTCGAATTGCAGCGACAGCTCCTGCTCCCGGACTGGCTGCACGCAGCTGTCATCAAAGTCAAACCACTGCCGCTCTTCCATGTTGAAGGACCCATCCGCATCCGCGTCTCCCTTGCTGGTCACATTCGGTGCTTCCAAAGCGGAATCTGCAGACTTGGCGCACGCCCTTTCATTCCCTTCCTCGTTAACGGCGGCACAACCGTTTGACGTGCTTCTCTCCGCGTCGCCCGACACCGGGAACGACGTCGATGCGACGCCGGTGCTCAGGGAGACCCAGTTTTTTGCAGCATTGTAGTCAAAAATATGGGCATGGCTCTTAAGAAACTGAGACATAAAAAAATTAATTAAAAATAAAGTTAGATTACATGATGTGCATTATAACGACAAAAATATGTCAATGCAAGAGAATGAAAGTTGCGTGTACATTACCTTGGTGACTGGGCCATATCGAGCACGATGGCCTTTGTTCCAAGAAATTCCAGTTTTTTCCTGGAGGCGTCGGCAAAGCACATCCAGGGACAAGCCACAGTTTCCGGCCTGCACACATCCACACACGTTTACTGTTACTGTTACATGCTCGGTTATCGTTCAAAAGGGCGGCCAGATTCGCAGATCTCCTGCATGCAGTTACCTCCTCGTTCAGGATGGAGCGACATGCTTCCACAGGGTCTGAACACTCATCTTGACCATGTGCAGAACCATTTTCTACCTTCGGCTCTTCGTCAATCTATAACATGAAATCGCAAAAACAAGCCAAACAAAAAATTATTAGGAACACATGACAAAAATGTGATTAATTCGCAAGTGTCAGAGCATAGTTGCACGATTTACAGACTCATTTTGTGTCAGAGAATACGCACCAAGCCGGTCCAGACTCCCAGGTGGCTAACATCGCAGATGAGTGCATGGTAATGGCCTCCATGGCAACCCCCTTTATGGACAATGACCGAGAAGAGCTCGTACATGCAGTCTTCTCTCCCCAAGCGACCCATCTGAGAACGTCACGATAAAGGTACTTTATTTACATCATCATCATTTCCCTTTCACTTTCCAAATCAGATAAATGTGTAAATTTTTGACCAGCGTAACTGAAGTTATAATTGCATGCAATATTGCTCGTGGAAAGGGGGGAAAAAAACTCCACAAACGATTCTACTCCCCAATAAGAGCACCTACAATTGTTTTCCTTGAGATGTCTAAAAATGGGTGGGTGCTTTTAACGACGTCTGCACCTCGCAGTATGGGCGCATGTCGAGTAGCCTGGGGAAGGTGAAGCGCCCCGTCTCCTTGTAGCGTTCGCACTTGACAAAGTCGAAGCTGAACCTGAGCAGGGAAAAGGTAAGGATGGTAGGCAGGGTCCGGAGCTTGGCACTCTGTTGGCAGCGCAACAAACACAAGACCGCAAGCACCGTCAACCAGATCAGCGCACAATTCGGATCTAAACACAGCACTGGGCCACCATCACTACCCACAGCCTGCATTCCACTCCGGTGGAATTAGCCAACTGATGTGAAAATCATCACAATAGCAAGAAATCGAATGTGAAATTTATCGAAAATTACAAACAAATGTAACTTACTTTAATGTACTTTTTTTTCAAGCCGTTAAATGTAGAAATATGTAAATACAACCTGGTAGGTAGTGAACAATATTCTAGCACATGTATTGTCAAAAATTGGCCCTGAATTTGTGTTCATCTCTGTGGTTTAACGATTGAGAGGTGCAGTGATGCAAGAATGTAACGGCTTGCAGATTCCATGCCGAGGGGGACCTCGGACATCGAAACTGCATGGGTTTGAAACCAGCTGGTTTGTGACATCAGGGGCTCACTTCCATACGGGACCGAGTAAAGCTATTGCCTACGTAAAATAAGCCACGGGAATAAAAACAATCCAGACCCTAGGATTTCAGACGTGTCCCGTATTTTACGTGTGTGTGTGTGTGCAATGCAAGTCCTAGCGAGCACCTTGGTGGCACAGACGAGGCGGGCACACTCGTCGCAGCAGTAGCGGTTGTCCCCTTCCATCTCCTCACTCTCGCAATAGTAGCTGCTCAAGGCCTCCTCCAAACCACGATTGCCATGCACAGCCATCGTCAAGTCCTGGAAGGTCTCCTAGCAGTGGTCACAAACGATGAGTTTTATCGATAAGAACTACGTTCTTGAAATTTATCCGAGCTATAATTGTACAAATCAGAACTGTTTTAAACTCCGTAGCACAACTGTTTAGTACTTTGCACTGAAAGGTCAGTATCATCTTACGAGGTGGCTATTTTTTTCCGGAAGTATGCAAATTCCACCCCAACATTCACTCAGTCTGAGCATGTAACATAAACTGCACAGGAAATTGAGGATTGGTACACGTCAATTCAAAATACTTAATTTAGAATAATCTTGCATACAGACTTTACAATGGGCAAGTCAGAGAAATTCTGAAAGGCCTAGGTGAGAAAGCGTACAAGTACCATCTTTTGGCCAACAAAGATAGAGAATGATATCTTTACATATTCTCACACACAGTTTAGGATGTATTGCATGTGCTGCACCGCAAGTCGCAGATACCTCGCGCTCGTTGCGACGGCCACAATCACGGCAGGTGATCTGATTGACGACCGTGCCGTGGTAGAGACGAGAGATGAGGTCATGTCCCGTCGTGCCCACCAGCGAGCACTCGAGAGCTCCAAACAAGATGCGACTCAACTCCTGCACGTCATGCTGGTGCCCCTCCTGAGGACCCACACATTCCACTCGCTCACTGATCACAAAGCAACATTTCAATCATCATTTTCTCCTGCTGGTAACAAAAAATATACTCGAAAACAAGTATTTAGTGCTCACCGTCTGAAGTGTCACGGAAAAAATTATGATTTAAAGCCATATTTCAACTGTGAATAGGATTAATCTGTACTGCATCTTCAATTAGTGAGTATGTGTGACAATCAGCCACTGTAAAAAATAGTAACGCGAGATATTTTCCTTAATAATGACAACAATGTCAAATATCACATCAATTGTTTTCTCTGTACTGTATGTCTATCCACACATTTACAACCGTGTACATGCAATATTTAAATCACATCCGATTTCTGATGAGCATCACCAACCCAAAATCCAACACAATTAACTAGACATTTCTATTACAAATCATTAGGGGAAACCAACTTCAGATACAAATAAAAATTAACCCGTAAAAACAAAGTTTTTCACTATAAATCCTTTATATGCGTGGCATCGGTTTTATTTTATTATTCATTTATGTTTTTCTTGAGTAAGAGTTTCATTTTTATCACATTGGTATTTTAAATAAAAAATATAATATTTTTTTTCCTAAAAAGTGGAAAATTTTGGAATTTTTTTTTTCACGAAAATGAATTGTCACGCACAACGAGTCTGTGTGCAAAATGTCAGCTCGATTGGATCACGGGAAGTGGGTTAAAAAACGACCGGAAGATTTGCACGGTCGTAAGCGCGCAAGCAAGCAAGCAAGTGAACTTAATATAAAAGATTTAAAAAGTATCATGTCTGAAAGGAGCACTTCACAGGAAAGTGTGACATGCAGAACTTCTTTCGCACCCCAAGTAGCCAACGGTACTAATTAGAGGTGCTGGGGAAAGACAACAAACACAAAAAGCAGCTCTAAAGAAATTGGTTTTCAATTTAGAGTGGCGACATGAATTGTTGAAGCACGCACCTCTGTGTGCGTCCACCCGAAGCTGTCCGTGAGCGCAGCCGTGCTCACTGCCTGCTGATCGAGCAGCAGGAGTTGGGCAAACAAGCGCTGGAGTTGTAGTGGGATCACTCGCACCTACGCACGCGCGCACACACACGGCCAAAAACTATCAAAACACAACGTTCAAGGCAGACGCAGACACCCGCTGGGCCTGCTGTACAACGGTACAGCACTCGAACTATTGAAAATAGAACGCGCTTGGCTTGTTTATAATGTACCAGCTATTAATGGTATAATTTATGTCTATCAACACATACCACTTTTTAACACTAGACATTAATAAGTAATAACATATATTTTAAAATCTAGTCAGACTTAGGATATTTATATTGCCTTCAATTGTTACGAAACTGTTTTTTTCTTATATATATTCAGGCAACGACGATATGTATATCAACATTAATCAATGAATACAGATGCCATTTAGTCAAGTTTTAAAATAAGGGAAATAATACGAAAATACGAGTGGAATGGTGGCAAAGTGGTTAGCACAAGGCACTCAGCCAAGGCTAAAATCAGCAGTGAGTGATATCTGATATAGTCTTGGTCCGGTGCTTAACCGACCCATCCTGATCAGTGTGAAGTACAGTCAAACAACCCCCATCAGTGAGATGGAATGAGGTGTGGAGTCCTTCATCCAGCAGTGGATTGACAAAGGCCAGCAAATCATTGTTTATCAAAATGATTGCCAAACCAAGGCTATTTAAAACACTCATAAGCTGTCCAGCAGAAGCTACCTCCCCACCTGTCGACAGGCTAACAGAGAACATATTCTCGACAGTCAAAGGTGTAAAATGGTTAAGGAAAGCAATCTTATTTGGTACCTTAGCTCCAGGTTTGTCTTTGTCTGCAAGATCACCAAGTTCTTCCGGCTTCAAGCTAAAAATGGCTTCTGTCAGGGACATAGAACAGTTTACAAATGACAGCCAAAACAATAAAAAGCAGTACTTTATTTACAAATACTAAACACTGGGTGAAAAAATTTACCGCGCATCTCGGGTGTGTGGAAGAGAGTCTGCAGCAGCGAGTTGAGGTAGCATGTGGCCCCCAGATTCTGAATGCCACACAAGCACGTGAGTTCACGAGGAGCGGGAGGCAGGCTCCTTGCCGCTTCTGGTCTTCGGCCAGATGACGAGTTGCCTCCAGAATCAGGGCCGGCGTCTTCCACAAACAAGTCCCCAAACATGGTGCTGTATGCGCGTGGTGAGACAGGGTCAGGGGATAACGGCGGAGATCTTTTAAACTAAAATTGGAGGAACGTGGCAGGGCAGCTCAGGCCTCAGAACACTTCGCCGGCACTGCTGAGATCCTTGATTTTCAAATCCAAGCAGCCACCTGTCATTAAACTGAGTACTAAAGTGTAATCTTGATTTTAAGCTTTCGTGACTGCAGGAATCCATACCCTCTGGTTCTTTCGGTAAAGTCACGTAGGTAGAAAAAATAATAAAATAAAACACGACATTTCGGTCGCAACACGACCGACACGTCGTGTTTTCTTTCATTTTACCTGAAGACGGACGCTTGTGTTGCGACCGAAACGTCGTGTTTTATTTTATTTTATTATTTTTTCTATCTACGTGACTTTACCGAAAGAACCAGAGAGCATACTCAAGTGTAATTTATGTTTGGTCTCAGCCCGGTCACCAATGACTGAAAAAAACCTCAAATTACATATGGTTTAAAACCTTGACTAAAATTTAAGCTTTGAAAATGTTTCAATCATATTTTAGTTGGATTTCCAGGCATCCAATATTCCTATAGTGGGGCACATGAATAGCACAGAACTCCAGGAATTTTTCAAATGTTTGACATTGGCTCTGACATATGATCGCAACTGTATTTGCCAAAGCCAATGTGATACTATAAAATTTGGATTTACAGTACATAAATTATACTGGGAATCATATCTTCCCACACCTCACTGCCACGCTTCAACCCCCCCCCCCTCCCGTCATAATTTTGTTCAGAAAAGCCACTCCCCTGTTTTTTTGCCAGTTTCCTGCCTGGAGTGGAGGACTGTCCACCCCTCAGTGACTGCTGTCAGAATCAGTCCACCAGACCTCCTGTATTCCAGAGATCCAGGCGGTACCGGTCCAGCTCCAGACAGAGGAATGGGCAGCCTCTCCTCTTAAGTGAGGGTCCAAACATTCCTCGAGGGTGAGGGTTAAGTCTCCTGGCTCCACCCCTGTGTGAAACAGAGCTTTAACGCTCATCGGATTTCTCTAGTATAAAATTCTTATTCTGAAATTAGCAGACGCCCATCCCCCCAGGCATCCGGCACAAGCTTAATTTAATCTCGTCTGCGTGGTGTTTTGGTAATTTAGTTGAAGGTGTCAGCAGCCCCTCGCACTTTTACAGAGCCCCCGTTGGCCACCGTGGCGAATGCAAGCGCCATGAGCATATCAGTCGATCAATGAGCCTTTCCCCCAATGCATTGCTTACAGCCACCACAGCGATGCTTACAGCCACCCACCACAGCGTCACTGACTGGAAACCACCGAGCAGGTTAGGGGTTGTTTTGCCAGACAAACATCCCCCGTTTGGCCTTCACAGACTGTTGGGGCAAGTGCTGTTTAGCGAGCACCTATGCAGACCAACATGGCACACGAGGGGGTGGGTTGTCTCCCGAGTGGCGATGTTTAGACGCCGCACCAGGTACTCATTTGAGGCCGAGTCAACCAAGGGGAGACCCAGGACCGATTTAAATAATCGTCACTGGTGTTGGCCGTGAGCAGGAATAGAACTCGGGTCGCCAGGTTGGTCGTGCAGCGCGCTAACCGCTACACTACTGCCAGAAACACGCAGAGAGACACACACACATGGACACGAATACACTCACACGCACATACAGTGCAGAGACAAATATACACAGAGACACCAAAACACTGACGCGGTTGGGCTAAATCGTGCTCACGGATTTTGGCAAGCGTCACCCCCGATTGCCTTGTTCTCGGCGCGTTCACTCCGAACAAACGGGATCGTGAAATCTCTTTTCACTCCGCATCAACACATTCCCACGCACCCACACGCACACACGGTGACGTTTCTGCTCGGGCGCGGAGCCGATGAGTGAATGATCTTGCGAGAGGAGCTGCAGACCCGAGACCACGCGTGGAGTGGCTGTCATTTGGCATGAACTCGCGGTCAATCGATGACCCGAGACTGTTAAGGGGTCGTGATCTCTCGCGTGGGGAAGACGCGACATTGCAGACGGCTGGAGCAGCAGAATCGACGGAGAGGATTTTTGTGCGCGACGCAACTCGCCCGTCTGTAAAAGACTTCAACGCGACCCCCTCCACCCCAACTTGTTCTCCGACCAGCGTGGTGGTGAAGTATAATCCACGCATCCCCATCACAGACGCAATGCGTTGGGAGTTATCAATGGGGGATGAGAGCCGGGCGTAGCGACTACGCGCATTGTAACGCAGAAGTTACACGCAATAACAGCTCCAACAATAGCAACGGTAGTGCAATGTGCGTGTGACAACAAAGTATAATCCTGTCACTAACAACACCAATGCGGTATAAACAATTAATTATCGTCTAAGTTATACGAACGCTATGCACAGTGGACAAATACTGCAAATCCAGTTCAGCTAGAAGACAAGTGATGACAATGGCGATACGGCACGCGGTATGTATAGCGATGTTAGCGTACGACAATGACAATCGCGTGTAGTAATGAGATGGTAACCACAGCGTGGAGTAATGAGGAGATGGTAACCAGAGCGTGGAGTAATGAGATGGTAACCACAGCGTGTAGTAATGAGATGGTAACCAGAGCGTGTAGTAATGAGATGGTAACCACAGCGTGTAGTAATGAGATGGTAACCAGAGCGCGGCTTGCGTGAGGAGATGGTAACCAGAGCGTGTAGTAACGATGAGATGGTAACCCGAGCGTGTAGTAATGAGATGGTAACCAGAGCGTGTAGTAATGAGATGGTAACCAGAGCGCGGCTTGCGTGAGGAGATGATAACCAGAGCGTGTAGTAACGATGAGATGGTAACCAGAGCGCGGCTTGCGTGAGATGATAACCAGAGCGTGTAGTAATGAGGAGATGATAACCACAGCGTGTAGTAACGAGGAGATGGTAACCAGAGCGTGTAGTAATGAGATGGTAACCAGAGCGTGTGGTAACGATGAGATGGTAACCAGAGCGCGGCTTGCGTGAGATAACCAGAGCGTGTAGTAATGAGGAGATGATAACCACAGCGTGTAGTAACGAGGAGATGGTAACCAGAGCGTGTAGTAATGAGATGGTAACCAGAGCGTGTGGTAACGATGAGATGGTAACCGGAGCGCGGCTTGCGTGAGATGATAACCAGAGCGTGTAGTAATGAGGAGATGATAACCACAGCGTGTAGTAACGAGGAGATGGTAACCAGAGCGTGTAGTAATGAGATGGTAACCAGAGCGTGTGGTAACGATGAGATGGTAACCAGAGCGCGGCTTGCGTGAGGAGAACGCCTGCCCACAACTCACCCCTGCAGCCGTAGCAACTCTGCCCCGGGCAGCTTCAGTGCGCGCGCCACTCCGGGCGGGAAACACAACAGCGGCGTCTTCTGTTCCGGCTTCACAGTTCCGATGCAGCCGAGATAAACACTGCAGAGGCCCCCTCCCCCACGTGTACACGCCCACCCCCCGCCTCCCACCCGTCTCTTGTGTAGACCAGTCTTACTGGTAGGAACCACCTGGTTCCACCAGCCCACAGGGGATTATTGTGTCCGTCCGTCCGACGTGCATCCAAAATGGGAGGGGTGGGGCTGGGTGGAGAGGGGAGGGTGGGGAGGGGCTGGGTGGAGAGGGGAGGGTGGGAGGGGCTGGGTGGGGAGGGTGGGAGGGGCTGGGTGGGAGGGAGGGTGGGGAGGGGCTGGGTGGGGAGGGGAGGGTGGGGAGGGGCTGGGTGGGGAGGGTGGGGCTGGGAGGGTTGAGGGTGGGCTGGGGGTGGGTGGGGAGGGAGGGGCTGGGTGGGGGTGGGAGGGGAGGGGCTGGGTGGGGGGTGGGAGGAGTGGGGCTGGGTGGGGAGGGGCTGGTCACCCCGTGGTGCCCTTATAAAACTCAACGTTTAACCTACTCACGCCGGCTTGTGCCCGCCCTCACAAGTCGGGCATATTTGCGGAATACCCCACGCCGCCGTTGACCCTGGCCATTGACCGAGCAACCCAACGTTCCTACCAGCTCCCTCCGCAGGAATGTGTTGTAGTTACCCCGTTGGGGTCTAGTTGACTTGTGTACGTTTAGGTAGTGGCCCTGTTTGGGCCGTGTAATAAACGTGTTGCATCCAAGTTCAAGCGTGTGCCTCCGTGAAGAACACCACAATAACAAATTACATTTGTAGGGCGCATTTAAACCGTAGATCCCAATGCGCCGTGTATGGAAAGCAGGAAACGGAACCGGGGGAAACGGGCAGAACTAGGAGCTAAAGGTCAATTTAAAGACGTGATTTTTCACGACCGAATTAATTAGCTCTGACGAACCTGTCTTCTGAGCATAGGCAAAGCGTTCCATGTTCTGGAATGTGCACTGGTAAAAAAAGCCCGATCACTCAAGGAAATGAGCCTTGACCTCAGGGGTGCAGTCCTCAGAAGGCGATCCGAACATCTCAGAGCCCTCTGAGTGTAAGAACGGATCAGTTCCTGCAAATGTCGTGGGGCTAGCCCCTCAAGCGCCTTGCGGGTGAGCAGTAAGCAGCATGATCTTACAGTCCACTCGGATACTTCACTGGTAGCCAGTGCAAAGACAAGAGAACGAGTGTGTGGTGTGTTCACGAAACGGTGTGTGCGCTTTAAGGGGTCTTTGCAGCTGCATTCTCTGAACAAGCTGGAGTCGAACACGTGGTAGTAAAGCTTTCGTGACTGCAGGGATTCATATTCTTGGTTCTTTCGGTAAAGTCACGTAGAAGGGAAATAATAAAAATATAAAACAATAAAATTATCACATTTCGACTGCAACACAAGCAATCATCATCAGGTGTGAAAAAACAGGAAAAATGTCTTGCTGTTTTTTCACACCTGATGATGATTGCTTGTGTTGCAGTCGAAATGTCGTGAGAATTTTATTGTTTTGCATTTTTATTATTTCCCTTCTACGTGACTTTACCGAAAGAACCAAGAATATGTTAAAGGTGTTTGTGTTAGATCGCGTAAGTATAAATGCGTCGTAACCCTCCACCACCCGACACAGCCAGTAAGGTTTGTCACGTAAACAAAACTCGCCAATTAGTTACTTCAGCCCACCGGTGTTGGAGAGTAAATCCACATGTACGATTTGATTACGTTTCGCCCGACTATTCTGGCAAATCGCCCGATGATGCTGGATGTAATTACCAAATGGTACTCGGGAATATGAAGCTGTGTTCTCGAGTATGTTTAATGTAAAAAAAATTACAGCAAACTTTAGAGGCTATCTCTTTAGTGCAAGGGGATGAGTAACTCGCATTTTCAAACTTTTCAGCCAGCGTGTCAGATTCATTTGATTCTCAGAAGTTTTTGTAAATACATTTCTTTAAGTTGTTACTTCAGACCCATGTTATATATTTTTAAACTAATATTAACTATATTCTTGCATTTTGCAGAAAACTGATACAAATGCAGTTATACTCCGATTATAAATAAACGAAAATCACGATTCTTCAATGGATGGTAATAAGCAACGACAGTAGCTGTGAACACAAGAAAATACACGCACATTAACAAGTTTAATAGTTTACGTATGCGTTTAATGTAACATAAAAATTACAGAGCACTCAAAAATGTAGCAGTGGGCCCTCAGCAGATGTGCACACATGCTCCAGCACAGGCGCTTCAGAGATTATGGCTGCCCAAGGGAAGTGGGTAACAGCGCTGCTCTATAGTAACTTTGGTGCACGTGCGCTGGTCCTGTCACAAACTTGGGAAACGCAATTTAAAGAAATGCGCAGTAAAAGTACCATTTCGATAAAAAAAAAAACGCCGTAAAAATGTAATAACTGAAGAAAATAATGAGCCAGGAAATTTGGAACTGATGTGGCTTAACTCCAAGTGGTGGCCTTACTCTTACTGCTGTTTGTGATGATGCAAAATGTAACATTTCGTCGTGTAATTACACCGGTAGCACATGAACAAAATAACGCGCTCAAACCATTCTCCTTAACACTGGCAGTTTCCCAGCCATTTTACAAGGGAGATCCGCGTTGTGTGAGCACGGTTACAAAACATGTCGAAATTTCAGAGAGCAAATACAGGGTCCTTAAGAAATATTGCACAACAAACGAAATATTTAAGTCATAAACGAAACGCGCACACGGGGCACAAACAGTGCAAGTGTAATAGGAATATTTAGATACAGATGCACGTAAGATCTATTTGAGTCTAAAAGTAACATACACATGCGAATCGAAAGGCAGTGCAAACGTGGGAGTAAGGCGCCAGAAGGGTTCGGTACCAGTGCAAGTAGGCTCTGCTTTGGTTTAGTAGGAAAGTAAAGAGGGGTAGTGAAGGGAGGGAACCAAGATGGAGCCGAGTGGCCAAGAGGATTCCAAAAACGTGGAGGAACACGGAAATATTTTTTACCTAAGTTTTAGCCAATGAAATATTTAGTCGGAATAAGGAGGCACTTCTGATGCTACAGGGAGGAATTAGAGAGACAAAATGGTCCTTTAGGTAATTGTCAGATTTGTTAAAGATAATCTTTAGGTTGAAGACAGCCTGGTGATGGTCTCAAGATACCCAGGGGGACACGTAAAGGTTGCAATGATGACCCTATAGGGGGTATCAATAGCAAAATGGAGAGTGGAGTGGTATAATGGAATGAGACATTTAAGGTAGATTCAGAAGCTAGGCGGTCGATGGTGTCACAATAAAATATGGGCAGGATGGTGGCTTTAACTATATTCAGATGGAGTCGAGGTGGAATACAGCGTTTGTTTCTGTATAGGAATACAATTGTTTAATTTTGTCAGCCATGTGGTCAATTTGGGTCTTGAAATATATTTGTGAGTCCGAGATATGTTAAGTTGTTAACCTGCTCAATAGAGTGTGTCCAGAGCCACAATATGCATATAAATTAGCTATGACCAGATGTTTCTGTAGTTGTAGATGTAGCCGCTGTAGGAGAAGCGGTAAACTGGGCTTTGGCATCAGTGGCTTTAAAAGTAAAGCGAGCCAGCAGAGGCTTTGTAATCTTCATGACCAGCGCAGGGCAGCAACCAGTAACATTTGCTACCACGCAGACATGTAAAACCTAGATAACGCCTTTTTGATTTAAAACTTTAAGATAAAAAAAAGTTTGAGTAACATATAAAAACAGCCGTAAATATGTGACAGCAGTGCGTGGTAATAAGGCATAGCCAAGTGAAAGGGCCCCGAGGCCTTGATCTCGCTTCCTTCTTCACTTGTTCTTGAGGATGTCGCCGTCCACCGTCAAGTCGTACCTGCAGCGGTGACACCACACACGCGCCTCCACCGTGAGCTGTGTCCTCACAGCTCCACATAACAACGGGTCAGCCACTCGAATGGGCTGTACATGATTTGAGGCTATGGCAGTGAAAGTCACCGTCGCAGGAAATATAAATGTCTCACGATTAAGGAATAATCGATTAGTTTGGAAGTACTGCATGTTACAGTATCATTAAGTTTTAATTGTGATTTGTCTTACATGGCACCAAATTATTTAAACAAACCAAGCTCAAAGCAGATTCTAGAATAGGCAGAACATTATACAGACCCTCTCCATTCTAAATTGTAGATACCATTGAACTTGGTGTGTCCCTTCTACCTCAGTTCAACTGGAACAACCACAATAGTTTAATTGTGAAATTCAACAGAAAGACAGGTTCAATAGTGATAGCGTACATTCATGGGCTACTAATCGGTTGCAGAAGTAAATTATATGAGTGTGGGAAATGTGGAATTGGGCCCCTCAGCACGACCCTTTCCTTGTGAAGACTCGAGGCCTAATTCAGAAATGTTTGGCCTTGTATTATCCTGCAGCAGACGAAGTGGTGGCCATAGGTATGTAATAGCCGTGACGTGAAAGAGGAGCTACACTTGGGGTGCATGCAAGACGCCCTGTGTTCCACTCACCAGTTGGTGGTGCCTTTTGTCAGGTCAAGGGACTGCACGTCAACCTGAAGCTGGAGATAAAAGAAAGCATTTCCAATGAAACCATTGCTTCTGTCGTATGAGCAATATAGTGAAGCAAGGTGTAGCACATTAGAACATGGCGTCAATGTCTTTCATGATGCTTGCCTTTCCCAACAGTTCCTCCTTGGCCAGGAATCCCCCGTCATGCTTGACTGCCAGATCTAGAATGTGTTTTTCCTTCGCTTCGGCAAGTGTCATCGTAAACTCCAATCTACAATGGGTAGATAACAAGTATTATTTGGGTCTTTCGGTAAAGTAACGTAGACATGTTAAAATAATAAATAAACAAAAACTACGACGTTTCGATCGCAACACAAGCGACCGTCATCAGGTGGAAAAAGGGGGGGGGGGGGAGCCACTAAAGGAAAGCTGTTTTAAAGGTTTAAAATGGGCGTAGCCCAAGCGTCCTGGTATCAGAACGAAGTGGGTGGGGCACAATTGCCCTGGGGCCAGCACAAGCGGAGATGGTTATGTTAATGTGAAATCGGAGAATCAAGAGAAGGGTAGATGCATGAGCCGTGGATAAATTAACAACTTGTGGTACGCCCAATGCAGGGTGCGACACCGTAGGAACTGGAATTGCTTGTCCCGTCTTTAGTAAAATAAAACTAACATCAGAAGGTGGCAAGATGGAAACATCACAGCCAGTTATGACTTAAACTGGCTGATGACGTCCTTCCAATGATTACGGAGTTTGTACCCATCCTTTCGGTTGAAATTGTCTGTATATATGGATGGCTTCATGAACAAATCTTTGTTGATAGCCAGTGGGCTTGAAAAGTACCTTCGTCTTAGAGAAATTAATTTCATGTGAGCCAACGGCATTAAAACAATGATCAGCCGTTAAAACAATATCAACCCCGACTAACAAGTCGTCGGGAGTTGATAAGATAGGAATAAAGTTATCACCTTAGTCAACAAAGTGCACGATGACAAATACTTAAACAATTGAGTAATTCTTTCCCTGGTGTGCTTTCACTCACGTCTCATCGAAGACAGGGTTGATAGACTTCTTAACAGTCGAAGTCTTCCTTTTCCCCAGCCGCCTGCGGTTTGGGTGCATATATATGCGCACGTACACGTTTGCCCCTTCATCCATTGGTGTCAGAAGGTTTCTGAAGAAGATGGAAACATTGATGAGAACAAGGTAATGGTTCCAAGATAAACTTGCATGTGTCAGAACAAATGCAAATATATTAAGGATCTACATCGATTAGTGTCGCTTACTTGCATGCATGCACAACCACAACAAGCTGATTGCGCTGTGCACTGTGTCGGATGGTGAGCTGAATCTGCCCGAGAGGAGACTCTCCAAGACCAGTCCCACTGTTGATACAGACATGGTACATGCAACGAAGACAGCTTTTAGAAAAATGAGTTCAAATATATGGACAGTATTTACATCCAACAGTTACTTACAAAATGAATACGAGTGACATTGTGATTTGACTATTGTGACATCTACAGCCTAGCCTCTGAACTCACAATAAAAGGTCTTGTTCCGTTATACCACTGGTCCCTCCACTTTGACATTTGTCGAGAATGCCCTTCCCTCTCAGCTTGCGCTCGGCTCCCTCCCCTCCCTCCCCCGTTTAAAATCACTCCGAGCTCAGAATGCACTGTTTGGGCTGCACCTGAATCCAACTCGTTTGCCGTTACTCGTCGCATTCCCGTGATGGTTATAGTCACTCGATGGTGTTCACTTCGCGCTCATCTCCACTCTGACCATTCATTACCTAATCCTTGTTTTTGGTGCAGAATACCTGTTTTTGATGCAATGTGCCTGTTAGTACTTTATTTAGTTATTTTGTTCTTTAAGGACTTTTTGCTTGCACAGCTGACGCTTTCTGTTCCATTGTTGCCTGTCCTCTCTATCACATTGATGTTGTTGTTCTTGTTCTGATGCACCACAGATCTCCCTTACAAACTAGCTGAGCAACTGGCTAACTGGTACTTTCCTTGAAACAAATAAACATTTGAGTAAAAATCTACACGTGGCAGAAACTACGTGTGCACAAGCACACCACACTTACTCCTGCAGCTGCCGGACGCGGCGACGGAGCTCCTGCGTGGAAGCCGGCACGGATATATCTGACGCAATGCTCGGCGTTGGCTCCTTCCCTGGCCCAGCCGCGAGTTTCGTGGCCGCGTGTAATCCAGGTGAAGGCCCTTCCTGCGCATGGGGCCCCTCGCCTCCTTTGTCGGTAATTAGAGACGAGTGGGAGCCCCCTGCCCCTGCGGCCACAGTGCGACCCATGCCATTGGCCTTAGGGCCAGTCCCTGTTGAATCCTTTTTCTTGCCACGAGGCTTTCCTACTTTCTTCCGAACCAGGTTCTGCCCATCCTGAATGAAGTTTTCTTCCTTAGGCATCACCTTCAAAATCTGAAAAAGACATTTACAGACATTGGTGGCACCAGTTATTTATCCAGTGGCAAAAAAATGTCATGCAATTGTCAATTAATGTCTGTAGCCACTTGCTGTCACAAACTCGGGAGGTATTTTTTCAACCACTAGTGAACATTTGATAAATTATTTGAAACACGTTTCATTTGAAATAAAATAGTTTTGCTAAATTACATTTTTTAAAGCGTAAATGTACAACATAGATGGCTGCTAAACGTCTCTATAAATGTGATTTTTTAAGAAGAGTTTGTTTAACAAAATTTTCGTGAACCACAAATGTATATATAGAAAATATGCCGACCCTGAGAGCCAGTTTCATCTTGATGACGCTGTTTGGCCCAGAGTTGCTCAGCTGGAAGGCCTGGTCCAGAGTCATGCCATCGGCTGCGAGCAAGCGCTTCAGAGGCAGGTTGAAAGAGCCGAGGGAGCACTGCCGATCGTCGTCTTTCACCTGATGGCCACGAGGGGGGTAAGAAAGTCGATTGGAAACCAGTGTTTGTGTAAATGTTGAATTAAAAGAAAACCGATGTCAAAATGTGTTTCGTTTCATGCAATTTTGAAATGTAAAAAAACTATTTTTAGAAATAAATGGTGAACATGTTTGAAAATGTGACATTTTGTAGCATTTGTAATGTTTGATGGGCAGAATATATGAAGCTCACCTCGATGTCGAGATCTTGGTCAGTGGGGTTGTGGATGCAGAAGGTGAATGGCTGCTCCCAGACTGGGTCATTCGTGTTGTAACAAATCTGTCACAAAGATGTCGGCAAAGTAAGAAACACCGATTACCACACAAAATGTAACAAATGTGATTCCGACACGACATTTTTTTAGGATCAGATCAGTGGTCACACTCGTAGATTAATGAGTCCACTGTTTAAAAGGAATACAGTTTCACGAAACGGTTTTCAAAAGTGGATAAGGTGAATGTGTAGAGCCAATAATGTAATTCTGAACAGGTTGCCAATAAATGTCGCTCTCTTGTTATGTTTCATTGCAAACTTCCTTAAGAAGCCAACAGCAGTTGTTATGCCATGAATATAAAAGCTTTTACCGCATTGACTGCAGTTTGCCAGCAACATGATTAGACTTTGCCATTACATTACCCTATGAAGGCCGGCACAGCACACGAGGGGGTGAGTGGACCAACACCATGCCCAGTCATGTTTGTCTCCCCGGTGCTGGTGTTTACAGACTGCACCAGGTACTCATTTCAGGCTATGTCGACCTAGGGGAGGCCCAGGACCAGTTCATACATTTTCCACTGTTATTGGTTGTGAAAGGGAGTCGAACTCGGGTCGCCAGGTTTACAGCGCAGTGTGCAAAAAACTGCACTCGCACTCCCCATACTTTTGAATAGGCGCCCAGTGTTTCACAGGCACCTCCTGTATGCTCAGACAGTCGTAAGAAGACACGGGCGGTGGAAGAGCTCTACCTTGCTTTCAAATGTGGTGTGAGAGACGGAGAGCTGCACGAATGGGCTGGGCTCAAGGCTGGTGCCCTTCTTTCCAGACTGGAGACGAGACACACATCGCACGCACGTACACGACTCATTAAGCATTGCAAGTCACATGTGTGCGAATAAGCACGTGTAAACATCCCGAGGGGCGATGTTTACACACTACACCAAGTAGTCATTTGAGGCCGAGTCGACCTCGAGAAGGCCCAGGACCGGTTCAGATAATTGTCACTGGTGGAGGCCGTGATTGGAAATCGAACCCGAGTTCTCGGGTTCGTAGCACAGTGCGCTAACAATGACACTACCGCCCCCTATAACAGACTCTCACACGCTAACACAAACATAAAAATGTATACCATAAACAAAGAAGAAGCTATGAATTCATCAATGCAAACCTAATACGTTTTTTTTTTCAACATTTAACAGCAATCTCAAGTTATATGATGAAAGTTATGGTAACTAAAGCATTTATTTAGTCTAATAACAAATCGCATGTCTAATTAGTCAATGAAGTTTCAGTACCATTCATGACCAAATCACCCAGAATGTACCCCATCTCATTAGACCTTGGAAGCTAAGCAGGTTTGAGCATGGAAAGCGCTTGGATTGGTGACCACCATGTACAAACAATCTGTCATAAAAATGTGGGGATACATGACAAGCAGCAGAGAGAGGAGAGTGCCGCAAGGTCTGTTGTTGTTCTGTACTTCTAAACTTTCATGTTTATGCTCTACCCCTTCACCAACCCGCACTGACCAGCATAGTGAAGTATGGCAAAATAACCCCCATGGTGTGAGGATAGCATCATGCAGCAGGGGATTTTAACAAGAGCTGTGCCTTATGCATGATCCAACACTCGTTTTTTTAAGTGATATACATTGTTCATTATATATCAAATAAAAGGAATGTGACATTTCCACAATTTGCAGGGCCACCATTGGAGATAAGCGCTGTCACATTGCTTGTTTGAGCAGGTAATCACTTCAACCTTTTAATCACGTCACCAGTCAACTAAAACATGTCACAAACTTGCACCGATTACAATTCATATTTTCATATACTGGTGTCAAGGCTGACAAAGCACAACCCTTTTCTTTATCGTAAGATATTTGTAAAACACATCTTCAATTTCATTGTGCCAAGATATATATATTTTTAAGGAATATTAAATGTAACAAAAAAATCATAAAACTGACAGCATAAAACAACATGAAGGCGAAACACAGGCCTAATTTTCCAACATGTTGCATTATATAATGCACATTACAAAACCAGACAATGATCAAGTTGTGAATATGCAATGAGGTTGATTATTTGTTCATATGCGGAGTCATGGAGAGCTGATTTAAGTTGATCAGCTTGTTCGTTTAATACACATTACCATATATATATATATATATGCATACGAGTGTGTGTACATCTCTGGAAGGCCCTGGCATTGATTAGCAGGGAGGAGGCAGTACAGCACATGCAGAACAAGACCAAAGTAGACTCCAGTAAATACAATTGTTACTAAACTATTAAAATACACCAGAAAATGTCAGCAAGTAAAGCAATGCAAAGAGAATGTATAAACGTGTCCAGAAAGCAGCACACTGTTGCGTTGATGCAGCGCGAGTGGTTCCAGCAGTGGAAACCCACCTACTCATTCAACACACAAGTCACTACGCACAAACAAAATTAAAACAAACTCCGCATTGCCCAGTGAAAATGAAGGTGGCCAGGAGGATGCGAGGTGCAGTTACTTCTGGAAGACAGCGGCACACACACTCGAGCATTAGTGGAAGGTAGCCAGCCTCGGGTGAGGGAGCAATTCACATCGCCAAAAGCAGTGGAGTTGTGAAACCAGCTGCCCAGGAACTGCAAAGCGATTTAAAAGCACACCGTTAATTAAGCAAAAATGGAATGGAATTATGACACCCAAGAGGTGAATTGTGAGATGTTTTAGTTGATGATCGTTAGCGGTTACCTTGACAGACATATGTGCGGAAGGCTTCTTACTGACATTGAATTCAAACTCAAACAAATTTCGCTGTCATTGAAGAAAAACAATGGTGTTAATTGGATGTGGTCAGCATGACACAGTGCACGTGAACACATGCCGTGTCACAGTGAGCTCCGTGTCAAAGGTAGGCGGCATCAACACAAGCTGCTTCACACCACGGAAGTAAATACAGTTACATCACAGTGCGAAACAATGCACAGCAACCAGGGAGTAGCACGGTGTAACACCCTCCGTACACACACGCTTGTCAGAGACGTGGAACAATCCTGCAAAAGCCCCCTCTCAGGGTTGCTACACGAGACAAAAACAATGTGTAGATATCACAAACACGTCTGGAATTTCCACCTGCGATGTTTCCTGCTGAAGTGCGTGGGGGATCAGTGGCCAACTTGTGCCTAAAACACTTGCAAGTAGAAATCTGTCGTCACGCTCCGACATAATTCTGCTGCTGGTATTTAGCACTGAGAACCACATAATACAATCATGTTGTCCAATGCACACGCAGCATCAACTCATTGAGCACCAATGATGTGATTAATGCAAGCTGAAAGCTTAGCTCAGAAATAAACCATTCATAGCAGGCTCACAAGTCACAATCGTATTTCCAAGTACAATAACTTATTTGTTGAAGAAAAAAATTAGCGGGCGAGAATACAGCTGGTGAGTAAACAGGTAAAAAACACATTCTGCTACATTTCTATTTAAAGTTAAAATGGGAATTTGTCCGTGGAGTTTGTGTACCCCCTCCCTGCGTCGTGGTTTGTGCTCTGTAACGGGGCTCTGATTGAAATATGTAAAAAATATAATGAATAAAGCATGGGAATTTGTGACACTCGAGAAAACGTTCCACGACAGGTGTGAGAGAGTGAGCTGTGTGTGCGGAGCAGGACTTACCGGCAGGTTCCGTGCGCAGTCGAGGTACACGACGAGCAGGGCCGAAGAGAGCCCATCGTTGGCCTGACCTGGGCCGGCACGAATGCTGCCCAGAATCTGCGAGACCACACGCATACGTTTAGACATGGCAACGCCAACTGCGGAGCGAAAGCTATAGCACTACCAAAAAAACATGTGGCACCCATTTGATATCGCTAAATGTGTTTAAGCCCAAGTATGACCGCATTTTGTCATTGCTTGTTTTACGTATGTGTGCTCACGTTTTTGTGTGTGTGGGGAGCAGTGGTGTAGTGGTTAGCACACCGTGCTACATTCCTGGAGACCTGAGTTCGATTCCCGCTTACTGCCAATATCAATGTAAACATTGCAACTACGGAGACGAAGTCGGCTTGGCGTGGTACTGGCCACCCACCTCCTCGTCTGCTGTGCCTGCCTTCGTAGGCATTCCCTAAGAGCACTTGCCCCAACAGTCTGTTAAGGCTACGTGGGGGATCTGTCTTTTGCCTGTGTGAGTGCTAGTATTTAGGAGTACCTCGTTCAGGCTGCTGGCATCGGTGAGCAGTGAGAGCCACTCCAGCTTGAGGTGCAACTGCCCCGTGTCCACCTCGTCCAGCACAAACCACTGCACAAAAACACCACCACAAATCCTTCATATACACAGCCAGACCAACAGCAGCACCTCAGCCCAGACGCAAAGCTAATCAACCCTACATTAATCCACAAGCCAATACACCCACAAAAACTGCGTAAATATCCCTCACAAACTGTGAGCATCTCCAGAAATAAATTTCACCTATGCGATAGGATGTGTGCAATGTTGACTCACCTCATCCACAACACGCTCCTTTGCCACCTCATTCAAGTCAATAGTCAGACTGAAATACAACAGTAAGGAGGGACAGGCAGTGTTTTATAAGTTGAGTTCATGGCAGAGAATATGTGTGTGGTGCAACGGAGGGAAGGGCAAGGACCATTGTCAGGAGGAGGGATGCTCTTACCTGCCCAGAAAGTCATCCTTGTCAGGGTCCTCGTCAAACAGGGTGGCCTCCAGCTCCTGACCCGGAACCTCATGCACAATGGCCTGCAGGTGCACAAAACAGAGATCCCCCATATAGGATTTAACAGACTGTTGGGGCAAGTGTGGTTAGCAGGCACCTATGAAGGCCGACACGGAACGTGTGGGGGTAGGTGGTCAGCACCACCCATGGCCACCTTTGTTTTTTTTTTGCCTCGGGGTCGACTCAGAGGGCCAGAATCAGTTCAAATATTCGGCACTCTTATTAGTAACGAGTGGGAATCGAACTAGGGTCGCCAGATTTGCATACAGTATGCTAACCATTGCACTAGTTCCCCATAGTCACACATAAAGCTAAAGATACACAGTATAGCTTTGAACATACTTTTGGGGCAAGTGCTGTTAGAGAGGACCTATGAAGGCCAGAACGCACATGAAGGTATGGGTGGCTAGCACCACACCCTTCCACCATTGTCTCCCTAGTGGTGATGTTTACATATCGGACCAGGTACTCATTGAAGACTGAGTCGCAGTAGAGAAGGCCCAGGACCAGTTCAGATAATCATCACTGGTGTTGGCCGTGAGTAAGAATCGAACTCGGGTCGTCGAGTTCATAGTGCAGCGCGGTACCGCTGACATACTGTGTACACTGCCAGCCACACACATATAGCATGCAAAGCCACAGATACATGTAACCACATGAATAAAAACACAATCTATGAGGCAGTAGATGTACTTTCATAATTATGCAAGCAACAATATGATAAAAGGTCAACAACAAGGATTAAATTTCAGGCTTGTAAGCCACTGGGAAAAATTATGTTAGCGAGCACATATTTAACTTCAGGTCAAACACGGAACAATCGAAGCAACTGATATCCCCATGATGAAATACTACTGTACAGTGCATGTACATCAGCACTGGGTATAAAAAGGTGGCCTCACATGGTGCTTTCCACACCAGCTACATTTGTGCCATGGTGACCTTTAATAGGTGCTTGCTAACACGGACACATGGGGACAAACTTGCTGTTTTCCATACCTCATAGACCTCGTTCCAGACAGGGTGAAGGTTCTCTGGAATAGTCTTGCTCTGGAATCTTTGCGGGCCCACGTGAAGCACCGTGTAAGGATCAGACTTGCCCTTAATCATCCCTTTCAAAAGGTTGTCCTTCCGCAGAAGGTCACGTGCCCCCTTCAGGTGTATCCTCAGCACACCCTGCAGATGTGAATAACCGTATAGAGACTCAGGCATACGATTACAACTTGCATGCACCACCATGGTTCTTTATGACATACAGTGTGGTTTAAAGTTTTGTGAATGATTAGTTGAATTGTACAATTTTTGTGTACACTTAAAACTGCATCCTGTATACATTAATGCAGTCACTGTATTTACAAATTGAACCAGTTTAAATAAACCGAAAAACTACCACATGACGGGAGACATCAAGCACAAAATAGTTTACGCAAAAGCGTCACGCCACGTTGTTTTAAATGTTCACAAGGCAACAGACCACAAGAATTGGTAATTTCCTGCTCAAATGACTGGGTGGCTGATAAAAACAAATAAAGACCAAGCCGAGTAGCTCAGCAGAAATCCTGCTGACAGCTTTCACCGTCACCATATCCCCCCCTGCGCGAGGTCCACTCTTGGCTGCGGCACCCGGGGGGGGGGGGGGGGGGGGGGCTACTCCCCTTCGTTGTGCTTCTTTCCTGTGGTGCCGCCGCACCGGAATGGATGTTTGTGGATTTTGTATTTTATCCTGTTGTTGGAATCTCTCGGTGTGGCTTGCCGGGCCCACAAAAAGACATAGCGCACTGCTGCTGGTGTCAAATGAGATAAATCAAGTGGCAGGGAGGGCTGGGTATAAGGGTCAGAGACAGCTTACCTTGGGGATAGGAAAGCGGAGTTCCGCAAGCTCCAAGTCGCTCACGATGGGCACTGTGAAGCGGTTGGGCAGCACCATGAGATTGGCGATCTGGTCGGTAATCATGGAATCCGACATGTTGCTGGAAAAATTTACAAACAGGCAAACACGAGCTTACGTGACACAGAGTTCAAAACGAGTCACATTTCTGGGATCACAAAGAATGTGGACGAGGCGTTAAATTACTCGTTCCGCACAGGAGTGAAAACGAGCTGCGTGTTTATGTAACGTGGCCACATCTGGTTTGGTCACTGTTTACATTTCCCATCTACCCAGGACACTGTATCAGGCCTGAGCTGGGTTGGCCTGCTGGAGGTCTGGCATGAGTTGTATTGAGACCATCAATGGTAAACGGACTTACTTGAGCCCTGGGATGTCTAGCAGATTGGTCAGTCCTGTCCAGTTGATCTTCAATTGCTGCCACATAAGAAGGAAGAAGATTAGCATTAATAAGAAAAATTAACATTCAATATCAAATTATTGATTCAGTTACAAAAATCACATTAAGACAACCACAACCACAAAGTGCATTATACCCACAGCGAGCTCGTAACTTATCAGCACAGGTCAACTCATACTTTTCATCGCCGTGCATTCCGATAACACCATACGTACAACAGAAAGCTGATGTCACATAATGACTGATAAAAACTTTTTTTACAGTGTTTAAAGACAGCAAGTTGCAAGAAAGCAAAACATCAACAGAAGAATTGTCATGTAAAGTAATGAATTCTGAAAAAAAAATCTACATTATACAATATAACATTTGAAACAAAATATGTATATCTGAATTGGAATAGTATTTTGCAATGATTAATATTTTAAGATCCTCCTCAAGAATTTGACGTGAAAAATCTCGCAAATTTTTTATTTTTGAACATTGTAGACTATACATGCAACATTTTAGCCACCAAAACATATGGCCACAGCAGCAACAGCCTCTGGTTACGCCCTGGTCTGTCCTTGCAGAGCCCCCACAAGTTCCACCACCCTCGATTAATTCCCAATTATCCCATCCACCCATCAACTACTGGACTTGTACTCCTATTGCCCGTTGTGTGCGCAGGTGCAGACTACCCCCCAGTCATTACACCCCAGCCCCATCATTATCTTTGATATTATGTCCCAACAAACATATTACACTAATTCCATTCAATAAAATTACCTTGTCAAATTTGGGACGGTTATAGAAATATTTTTTTTAGGAATTGCTAAGTACAGAGCATAGGCATTAGTTTAAATCTTTAAGTTTGAGCTACTGAGCCTATTCTGCCAACAAGTCATTTTGCGACTCATAATTGCATTTCAATGTCAGTATGAACAAGAGCCGTGCACATTCCAGAGAAAGGGTGTGGCCGTTTCCTGCACACATTCCTGATAACGGAGCAGTAATGAGCCCCACCGCACTGCCCATGCACGCACACATGCCACCTCAACATCCATCTTCCTGCAGCCACACTGAGAACGTGTACAGCAAAAACCTTCATCACTCACATATATACCATTACCTACCCGTTGTTCTAAATACAATTTTAAATAACACAATTTTATTATTGGATCACAAATTGGCATTATTGTTATTATATAATTTACCCACACACTTGGGAGGATGATTACAATGCCACATAGTCGTGGAACTGCCCATTCGTGACTGCTTTTCCCATTACCCAATTCACCAATACATCACCAGGAAAACATGAAAACTGAAAGAATTAAGGATAGCCAGGCCCACGCAAGGTTCTATTGTGTGTGCACTCTGACACACCCTCTTCTGCCTGTCTGCATTCTCGAAGGTAGTGAGGGAAACCGCCTGAACACTCTCATTGCTTCCTCTTGCTTACAGGTACAGAAGAGCGCACCCTGCCTAAACTCGAGGCACCTTCCATTGTGGGGGAACTCACCGGCCGGCGGATGAAGAAGAACGTGAGCGCTCCGAAGAACGGCACCTGGCTGATGAGCGGCTCCAGGATGACGCGCAGGGAGCCATGGAGCTGCACACACACAAGCAAGCGCGTACGGAAATAAGTTCAGCACAAAAAAAATTAACCCGTAAAAACAAAGTTTTTCAATATAAATCCTTTATATGCGTGGCGGCTAGAGTCCTCTCGTCCTCTGGCTTGAGATGGCTGCCACCTATGGGTCAGATGATTGCCTGCCACCATTAAGCAATTGGTAATTAAATATAAAAAAAATTTTTCCTAAAAAGTGTAAAGTTATGGAAAAAAAATGTCACGAAAATAAATTGTCACGCACAACGAGTCTGTGTGCAAAATGTCAGCTTGATTGGATCACGGGAAATGGGTTCAAAAACGACCGAAAGATTTGCACGGTCGTAAGCAAGCAAGCAAGTGAACTTAATATAAAGGATTTAAAAAGGGGGCAGCTGCTGCTTCATGGCAAAGCAACTGTGGACTTTCCACCACAAGGAGCAGAGACACCAACATAAATGAGTAACACCCAATTGTTGTGTAGGTAGGAAGATGTTTTGATTTGATAAATTCTTGCTTTACGGAAGCTCATATTTATTGGAAAAAGATTTTGCTAATATAATGGTAAACGACTGTTTCCACATTTACACTAAAGGAGGATTAGCAAAACATTATAAGGCACGTGGAACTAATCTTCTGTTTTGAAAATCAGTGCGAGAACTTGTAATGTTATATTACTGTTGCACAATCCAATTCATTGGTATGCCATGAGCAGCACTCTTGCCACTGCAGTGCAAAGCAGCTCCACTACACTCCGAGTACAGTCTGCTGTGGCCATGTGACCCTTAAACAAGACTGGCATTGTTCAACTGCTGTCATTATTAAGTCACGCTAAAATACAACCAATAACAAAGACAATATTCATAAGTTGTATTCACGACAGAAATACTAAGACAGGGTTAAACCAATATTTGTCGGTTTAACACAGCTGCAATAAAAACACGCCTCTCTGCTGCTTACCTGTACTTTCTTGGCTCCAGCTTTGCAGAAGTACTTTGGGATTTCCACATTGATATCACAGTCACCGACGTAACTGAAATACAATTTCCCCCAACACCATGGTTAAGCTCTTTTGTAAACTACATACTCCGCTCATTAGCTGATGTCACAGATCTCTTTTCGGGATTACATATAATCAGTGCATCCATTTAGAATAAAAATATGGGTCTGATGTATTATATAAACATCAGCGTAATCTGGTCCAAAACCATGTGAGACGAGGCTCTAAGAAAAGCTGTGTCGGGTGTGGACCAATCAATTTCAAGGACAGTGCATACATTATCAGAGTTGTGTTTTTTTTGTTTGCATTCCGACCGCAGGTATTGTGGTCAATGCAAACATGACTCCTTGTAAATAAAGTGTCAGTTTTGTTGCCAGATAGAATGGTAAAAAAACTATTATCATTATTATCAGCTGTGCAATATACATACTTAACAATTGCCTGCTTTGGTTACATCACAATCATAACAATTTTAATGAGTAAAATGGGTTTCTTATTTATATTTAAGTTGAATCCAGTGAAGTACTGTAAACATAACAATACAAATCTAATTCCTAAACAATGTGAATACAATGGTAGATTTTCTCAAAAAATTACATTGGTTGAGATATACAATGCTAAAATTACATGAGTCAAAATTACACCGAATGGAACCATTTAAATGCATTAAAGATATACGCGGCACATCCAAATAATTATTTACCAAACATGCTATCTGTATTATACACTGAAGTTAACCATGGGACTTTGAAAACTGTGCAGTTTCAATAACAACTGCATTTGGACCACTGCATTGTGCAGAGTTTACACAGCAAGGAGCTCATCCTGCATTTACACAGCAAGAGTCTGCACTGTGCTCTCTGTAGACACTGCAGCTATGGTGCTGAGCCATTTACTGTGCTCTGTCACTACCCTCCCACATGCTGTCCGACACTGCATTTCCTTATAAGGCGTTTTTCAAAGATTTCTAGTACCTAGGCATTTCCCATGCTTATGCTAAGTGTGTGTGTGTGGATGCCGACGAGCACACTCACACACACAAGTATGAAGATGACTAAATACCCACAGGAGTGCAGAAAATACATGCGCACACAAACTACACCACACGAACGGACAGACGCACACGGAGTTTTGTGTGATGTGTGGGCACGTGGCGGCAACCCAGTGGCTTAGCCTTACCAAACTATTTAAGATTGTGTCCGTGTTAAACTTTCCATTTCAAAAATGTCACGCGATTAGTGCCATAAAGTGGTTCAATTTCTAACACAAGCACACGTACATGCAAACATAGGAGACAGAGCATACTTATGTCATAAACACATGTTTGGAATAAATTACTTCAGCATAAACTATGACTTGAGATCAAGATCTCAGTTCATATTTGGAAGAAGGGAAACACTTAACTGTACGTATTTTTTTTCTTCTCATAACATTCCCATTTGAGGAGCTATCGAGCGCAAGGGGCTGACGAGGGAGCAGCGTGGGAGTGAACAGACCGAGTGCCACACACACACAACACAGACACGATCTTCCCGCGTCTCTCGAGTAAGGGAGGGTTAAATGGCACAATTATCCGAGAACCAGTTCAACTCCTTTTCTGTGTCCATCCAATTTTAGTTTGTCAAACACAAGCCTGAGACAAAATGTATACTGTATTCCATGTCTATGCATTTTTAAATATCAAAGTTACTCTGGATGTATCGTCTGCAAGGCTTCTTGCACTCCACAAAAAAGCATCAACTTCATTTATTTTTAGCCCACCACCGAGAGATTACTCCACGTGTTCACTGCTGGCACCGTTAACTTGACAAGACGCCTCATCTTATAAGTGCGCACGGAGTGGCTTCGCTGCATCACAATTTACTTCGCCTACTTGTGCATATTCCCAATCCTCGAATGATGCAACCGCATCTAAAGTTCGTTATTACGATTATCAATACCTTTGCAGTTAAGAGGCCAATACAAAAATGGCAACAATGCTGAAACGTGCATAAGTAGGATCATGCCTACTTGTGACAACTGCAACAACAAGTTCGCACAAGGACCACTTCACGCATTTGTTAAAATGTATCAATCAACATACTACAGAATTGAGATGCTTATCAAGTACACGCCTATCAAATGAAGCACAAACATGTGTTCAACAGGAGCAACGGACAACGTAATGCCGTTTTCTCACTTCCATATACCACCATCTCTGGCAGTCCATAAGAGGTGTTTTGGGTTAGATCGCGTAAATATATAAATGCGTCGTTAAAACCCGCCACCACCCGACACAGCCAACTAGTAAGGGTTGTCACGTAAACAGAACGTGGCCAATTCGTCACGAATACAGCACGCCGGTGTGTTGGAGAGCCACCGGTTAGTGCTGTACTAGTGACGAATTGGCATGTTCTGTTTACGTGACAACCCTTACAAGTTGGCTGTGTCGGGTGGTGGTGGGTTTTAACGACACATTCAAATATTTACTCGATCTAACCCAAAAAACCTCTATTATAGATGATATTGGTCGCGAAAGCCTACGTGTTATCTCTGCCAGTGTTTTTTTTGCCCAGCAATGCTCAGGCGAACCCACACTCAACCAAAACAAAACACAATCCACTGCCACATGTACACCTGAAATCCCTCTATCCCTGGCTACAAGACAAGCGCACCGGTGCAAGGCCTGTGCACGTACACCTTGACAGGCAACGCACTCTGCGTACGTAGACGTGCAACGTTTGCTAAGGAAAAACCCTCAGCGAGTCACACGTGGGATGACCAACCTGATTTGCAGGTCAAGGATAATCTGCCTCTTGTCCACATTCTGCGAATATGTCTTTATTCCAGTCACCTTAAATGGCTGAAAAAGCAGACACACAATTCATTTTAAATGTTTTCCAACTTCATCTCACCCACCCTTATAAGGCAACTGTGATTCATTATCCACTGCATATTGACACGGGCGTTTAGGGCACTTGATGAGCAAAGTTCAAAGCCAAGGTTGGTTTTGATCGACAACGATCAGTTGTGTGGTGCGGCAAACAACCTCCTCTCCAAAGTGGAGCTTGGTAAAGGTGAATGTCTTAAGGTAATCGGTTGATCCACGCACAGCCGGCTCAATCGCCTGCCGGAACACTCCTTCCATGTAGCGCCCAAAGAAAGGCCACACTTGCACCAACACCTGCACGGCACACCAACCACTCCACTCCAGCACACAGCAGCTGTGCAACAATCAGATAAGATACTCGGCTTTCCTCGTGTCATTCATTTTTGTTCGTTTGGTCACTCAGGTCCCCCTGCCACAGGCAAACAAGACACCACTCATGAGCACCAAAGGTAAATTGATATTAATGTTATAAGGTATGTCGTTAAGAAGTTACTATTACAAGAATTGTATTTTATTATGTTTATTTTTATCATTTTATTATTTCCCTTCTACGTGACTTTACCGAAAGAACCAAGAAGATGAATCCCTGCAGTCACCAAAGCTTTAAATCGAAATATTACAAGACTAATTATGGGATTTTTGTGAAAAGCGCTAGATTAAATTACACCGTATACTGATTATTGATAATGATGTCATCAGAGAAGATCCCATACATTCACTTCCTGTGCAGCCAGTGCGGCGGAATGCAATGTCACAGCGGCTGGGTTCAGCACTCTGCTCCCTAATGCAGCATCACGTGCTCTAAACATGCATTTGTGCCAACTGGTGACACCGTGTGCACATGCATCCGCGTGTGTCTGTCATGTAATCGTACTTTGTTCAGCCATTCCACTCGCTCCACATCTGGGAATTGCACCTGTACAAACAACATTGACACAGCATCAGCATTGCACGAATATTACCATACTCCTGGTAAGACAACTCTCACCGGCTCGCATTACAGAACATACAGTGACTATGAGAACGTAAACTGTATCTAAAAACACATGATCACGGAATAAACATTCTTGGGTCTGATGTTTAAAATATTCCCGTGTGAGATAACTGCATTGATTGTCTGATGTCCTCTATTAAAACATTCTACCCCAATGACTAATGATGTATTTTGGAAGAGATGCCAAGCGAACTACAGTTACATGAGGAAAACATTTAAAATGTCTTGTGCGTTGTTTAAATACATGCCTCGGATCTTAGCTCCAACACACTACTTACGTGAATCATCATATCACATGGTGTTCCATTTCCACATCACAGCAAATGTGTTATTTGAGCAATTTTCCTATAAAATTCCAGGCAAACTGACCAAGTGGTGTGAATGATGGCCACGAGGCAGTCACATTTAATGCATCGCACATGCCAAGTAAAATTATTTCATGCATTATTTATTATTATGCTTGTGTACCGAAAAAAAAAACCTCATTGAGTCTCATGACATTTCCAGCAGGGCTCCATCAAGTGAAATGGAATTTGGGGTAATATTTAAAATAGGTTTAACAGCAAGATTAACATAAACTCTTACCTGAAACGGAGCAGTGATTTCTAAATTTTAAATGTTCATAGAATGCAACTACGCAAGTTACTCCTTTCAATGACAGTGCACAAAACATGTTGTACTGTACTATGAGCTCAATGTAAGGAGACACTCCCCTTCCAAACAAGATATGTTTAAGGGACTTGTCAGCGCTTGCCTTACACAGCATCAAACAATGCGCTACATTCAGGACTGCTCTCAAACACGACCCCATTGTGATGCCATTCCTGTTACAACATTGTACAAAGGAAATTCAAAACAGTAGATTAACTACACTACACCATCACGTGCAGTGCACGGTATACTTTATGAAGAGTGCACCACAACTCACTGGAGGACTTCCACTGATGCTGCTGCTTCAGCTGTCAGGAGATGACAACAGAAGTTGGTTGGCATGCAGAATCTCCCCCACATTCTGGCCACTACAGCTACACGAACTTCATCAACACTAATGAAACCAGCCAGGCAAAGCACTATGCTCCAAGACAAATGTGGCGGCCGGACACGAGAATTGTAGGGCCAAAACATGATCGAAGCTGTTGTTTTCTCCCTCCAGTTGCAGAGAAGAGTTTCTCACTTCGTCATCCACACCCTCAGCACAATCTCTACCTCATCAAAGCCGCAGTCTTCGTGGGCCATTTATATCCACGTGCTGTTACATAATGTACCACATTGTGTTGGCAGTGCGTAAAAGCACTCGTTGGAAAAAAACGATTTTACTTTTCGACATTTCAAGAGTATGGCAGTGTTCCTGAAAGCTCTGAAAAGAGCATTTTTGGCCCGTTTACATTGCAGCGCATTTGCAACACCCAGACACTGTGCTTACTTCTGTTAAACCGAAACAGACCAAACAGGATGTTCAACTCATTGGGTTGAATTAGAAGCACAGAATAGTGCATACATGGGATTATTGCAATTGGGAAAGCTGGCGTTGAACACATGGGGTGTACAGATCATGGAAAAATCTAGATGCCACGTCACCCTTAGCTAGGACGCTTTCCTTATATGTGCAATGTGATATATCTTGCGGCAAGTTGCCGTTATGAGCCAGCGTCGTCATGGTCCACGTTTGAAAAATTAAATTACGCGCAAATAAACTCATCTGGAATTCCATATTTGGCAGGACCCTCCTGAAAGAATTCAGGAGCCTCAAGCGAGGCCTCCCTTGGTAAACAAACATAACTATACTGGAGATACAGTTCAGGTTTTTGCAATTAAATCCAGATTCATTATTGTAATGTAATGGTATGTAAAATGTGTCTTGGCTTCTCCAGTTATCCTTTGCATGCATGGTCCCAGGGGCTCTTGCGAATGGGCCCTCCCTGCTCAGTGTCACACACAGCAAGAGAGAGACTGGGCACAGTAAGCATGGGTGCCGTGGTGGACATGGCTGAGGCCAGCCCCAAATACGAACCCAGGCGGGCAGATCCTGGTGCTTGATCCCGGAGCGAATGCACAACTCTTCAAAGTTGCTGAGCTGCTGCCTCTTGAGCAGCAACTGCTTCTTGTTGGCTCGAATGCGCTTGTACCCCAGCCACACGATCACTCCCAGCAGGATCCAGCTGAAGCTCATGCCCAGGTAGCCGGCCAGGTAGGTGGGGAAGAGGCACAGGAAGGTGCGAGCGAAGGCAAAGAGCAGCGACTGCAGCGCAGCGCTGGGCCCGTCGCCCGCGTAGCTGCCGGCCATGCTCGACACGGAGCCCCGAGACTCCGACGAGGTCGGTGATGAAGATGAAGTCTCGTTTGCCTCCTGCTCCTCTCGTTCGTCTGCTGGGGGCTTCATGATGACCGCTGCTGTTGCTGCTGTCCCACAGGGCACGGTCGTTGTGTAGGGGGCCCCCTTCTAGCTGGACAGCTCGCCCATGACCCCCTCCCGTGCCTGCAGGGAAACGGGGCAGCAGCGACCTCACTTCTCACTCAGCCTCCTCGTCCCCCCACCGTGTTCCTACAACTTAGCGACCGTGAAAATAAGAGATTCGTGGCTCGTCGTATTCCTCCTCCAGTCTAAAACACAGATTCTGATGCTGACAACTACCAACTGAAACCCAACTGGTCACCCCCCACGTGCGCTCGAGCTGGCCGGGCTAACCGCTGCTACAAACGATCTCATCACATCCACGGTCTACCCCAGGTAACCCTGGTTCTGCTGCTACCTCGGTCTCCCAGATCTTCCCGGGTCAACGTGGGTCAACTCACGCCCCTCTTTGTCTCCAAGTCCTCATTGCCTGCAGCGAGTCACTCAGCCCCGTCCCACCCCGACTCCGTTTGCCTCACACGCCTCTCCAGAATGCTCAAGTGCCCAGTGCCTCCAGTCGATCTCATCCCCTCGTCTAACTCCACCCCCTCGTCTAACAACCCCAGGTCCCCTCAACTCCCACAGCTCCTCTCGCAGCTCTCCCCCCCCAACTCACCTCAGCCACTCTTGCCGAACACCACCACCCCAAGTCGCCCTATCCCGACCCCCTTTGCATCTCCCCCAGGTCCCCCCGGGTCCGTTCCACCTCGAGTTGCCGTGGCCTCCTCAACCCACCTCTGCAGTGACGAGGATGAGGAGATGAGGAGGAGGAGGAGGAGGCGATGAGGATGAGCAGCCCGGCGTCTGGTGGTGGTGGTGGTGACCGTGGCGCCAGCTCCACCCCCGCGTCCCGGCCCCGTCACCGCTGCACTGGGCAGGGCTGCGCTCTGACGTCACCCCCACCCCGCGCCCCACCCCCCCCAAACAGCGCCCCCACCCCCCCAAACAGCGCCCCACCCCCAACAGCGCCCCACCCCCCAACAGCGCCCCCCCACCCCCCCCACACCCCCAAACAGCGCCCCACCCCAACAGCGCCCCCACCCCCCCCCACCCCGCGCCCCACCCCCCCACCCCGCGCCCCACCCCCCCAAACAGCGCCCCCACCCCCCCAAACAGCGCCCCCACCCCCCAAACAGCGCCCCCAGAATCTTTATTTAGACTCGAGGAGGAATCCGATGAGCGAGGAAGCTCTTTTTGTTGTTGTTGTTGTTGCAGATGGCGGCTCGGCGAGTTACACCCCCTCATCCACCAACCGCCTCGTCACCCAACCGCCGCCCCCCCCACCTCACTGGACCCCCCCCCCCCCCCCCACTGGACCCCCCCCCCCCCCCCACTGGACCCCCACCCCCCACTGGACCCCCACCCCCCACTGGACCCCCCCCCCCACTGGACCCCCACCCCCCACTGGACCCCCCCCCCCACTGGACCCCCACCCCCCACTGGACCCCCACCCCCCACTGGACCCCCCCCCCCACTGGACCCGCCCGCCCCCCACCCCTCATTGGACCGCCCCCCGCTGGACCCCCCCGCCCCCCACTGGACCCGCCCGCCCCTCCCCACTGGACCCCCCCGCCCCCCACTGGACCGCCCCCGACTGGACCCCCCCGCCCCCCACTGCCCCCCCTCCCACTGCCCCCCCCCTCACTGGACCCCCCCCGCCCCCCACCTCCCTTTGCTCCCCCTCCCACTGCCACCCCCCACTGGACCCGCATTATGTCCCCGCTAGAGGCGCTGCACGAGGCGGTGGCACCGGCAAAGCTCCGGCCGGCAGCACCGGCAGGACCCGAGTGACCCGACCTGACCGGGCGTCCGTGCGGTCCTCCTGCAGCAGGGAGCCCCCCCCCCCCCGCGTGGCAGCGATGGCGTTTTCGCATTGGGCGAGGCCTGGCCATGCTGGCTGACTTCTGCTGTGCCCACTCCACCAAATCCCACCTTCCACCCTTTTATTGACCATCTCGCTTCAGGACAATATAGAGCCCCCACTTGAACAACACACGGACAACACCTTTGTCTGGGCTATATCACATCTTATGTTGCCCACGTGTAACACGTGTCGGGCGGGTTCTTATTTTGTATTGTTGAATTGCTATAAATATTGTGCTGTTATTCTGACACTGGTTGAGACTTTGGCATTGATAAAAAAAAAACCTAGATTAGACGAGTCTTGGTGCTGGAGTGTGTGTGTTTTTTCTTAAGTCCATATATTGTGTAACTCGATTCTGAGTTTTTTTTGTAGGCGGTGAGATCTATGAATCTGACACTTGCGGTATCGTTAATACATAAAAAAAACATACCCATAAACAACGCGACTGCGGGAAAACATTGATCATATTATTTAATTACAGGGCCTACCCACTCAACAGCAGATGTTTCTGTAGTTGTAGATTATGGCTGATGAAGGAGAACCGGTAAAGCTGGGCTTTGGCGTCAGAAGCTTTAAAAGTAAAGAAAAGCCAGCAGAGAGGCTTGGTAATTGTCATGACCAGCGCAGGGCAGCAGCGACCAGTCGTAACATTTGCTACCGTGCAGACAAACACGGAAGTATGTAAAACATACGTAACACATTTTCGATTTAAAATTTTAAAATAAAAAAAAAGTTTATTGCGTAACCTATAAACAGCCGTAAGTATGTGACAGCAGTGTGTGATAAGGCATAGCCAAGTGAAAGGGACCCCCCGAGGCCGTGATCCCGCTCCCTTCTTCACTTGTTCTTGAGGATGTCTCCGTCCACCGTCAAGTCGTACCTGCAGCGGTGACACGACACACGCGCCACGTCGCAACGGGCCAGCCACTCGAGTAGGCTGCACAGGATTTGAGGCTATGCCAGCGAATGTCACTGTCACGGGAAGTATATTAATGTCTCTCACGATCAAGGAATAATTTCTTGGCCTCGAAGTATGTTAGAGTGCCATTAAGTTTGTATTGTGAATTGTCTCGCATAGCACCAAATAATTGAAACAGGCCAAACTCATAGGAGATTCTAGAATTCACACGAGATGCAAATGTACGGGCAGAACATGATAGAGACACTCTCAATTCTAAATTATAGGCAACTTAAATTCAAAAAGATCAGTTTTTTTATGTTACAGTTACTTACAAAAACGAATACGTGTGACACTGTTCCTTCTAACTCAGTTCAAATCGAACAACAACCAGTGTTTGTGAAATACAAGCAGATTCAATAGTGATAGTGCATGTTCACGGGATACTAATTGGTTGTAGAAGTTAATTTAGTGAGTCCAGGCAAAGAGATGCTGGGCATCTGAGGAAAATGCAGAATTGGGCCCCTCAGCATGACCCATAGTCCTTATTCAGAAATGTTAGGCCATGGATTATTCTCTAGCAGTAAAAGGGTTGTAAAAGTCGCACTGGTGACCATGGATAGGTAATTGTCGTGATGTGAAAGAGGAGCTACACTTGGGGTACATGCAAGACGCTCTGTGTTCCACTCACCAGTTGGTGGTGCCTTTTGTCAGGTCAAGGGACTGCACGTCAACCTGAAGCTGGAGATAAAAGAAAGCATTTCCAATTAAACCATTGCTTCTGTTGCATGAGCAATATAGTGAAGCAAGGTGTAGCACATTAGAAGATGGCGTCAATGTCGTTCATGATGCTTGCCTTTCCCAACAGTTCCTCCTTGGCCAGGAATCCCCCGTCATGCTTGACTGCCAGATCTAGAATGTGTTTTTCCTTCGCTTCGGCAAGTGTCATCGTAAACTCCAATCTACAATAGGCAGACAACAAATAGTCGGGGTTGACGTGTTAGGAATAAAGTTATTACCTTAATCAAGAAAGAGCACAATGAAACATAATTGAACAGTTGAGTAGCTGGTTCTGTGGTGTGCTTTCAGCTGAATTCTGCCATCCCTATTTTCCACCCACTCACGTCTCATCGAAGACAGGGTTGACAGACTTCTTAACAGTTGAAGTCTTCCTTTTCCCCAGCCGCCTGCGGTTTGGGTGCATATATATGCGCACGTACACGTTTGCCCCTTCATGCGTTGCTGTCAGAAGGTTTCTGGAGAAGATGGAAAAATTGATGAGAACAAGGTAATGGTTCCAAGATAAACTTGCATGTGTCAGAACAAATGCAAATTTATTTAGGGTGTGCATCGGTTAGTGTCACTTACTTGCATGCGTGCACAACCACAACAAGCTGATTGCGCTGTGCGCTGTGTCGGATGGTGAGCTGAATTTGCCCGAGAGGAGACTCTCCAACACCAGTCTCACTGTTGATACAGACATGGTACACGCATTGAAAACAGGGTTGGCCACTTTACTTCAAATATATGCAAAGTATTTACATCTTGCAGTCACTTACAAATTGAATGAGTGGCTGTGTTCTTTCTCTCTCTGTTTTACTCTTGATATAGTCAAAGCAACCATCCTTTCCATCTTTGACCATTGCGACATTTACTTCCTAGCCCCTGAAACCACTATAAAAAAAATGCCACTCAGCTCTACGCTTTTCCATTGATGCCCCTAAAGAACGCATCATTGCAACCTCTAAATCACATCCAATCGCTCTCCCGCTATATTTTTTCACCTGATGACGATTGCTTGTGTTACGATCGAAACGTCGTGATATTTTTTTAAATTATTTTTCTATCTACGTGGCTTTACCGAAAGACCCAAGGAATATGAATTCCTGCAGTCACGAAAGCTTTAAGTCAAGATTTGTTACTTTTACTTTAAGCACTATTTTTTGCTGCACCCGACGCATTCTGTTAGGTTGATGCCTGTTCTTCTGTATGTATCACACTGTTTTTCTTGTGCTGTGCTCATGTACCACGGATACTAGCTGGGTAACTTGCTAAATGGGACTTTCCTAGAAACAAATAAACATTTGAGTAAAAATCTACACGTGGCAGAAACTACGTGTGCACAAGTACACCACACTTACTTCTGCAGTTGCCGGACGCGGCGACGGAGCTCCTGCGTGGAAGCCGGCACGGACATATCCGACGCAATGCTCGGCGTTGGCTCCTTCCCTGGCCCAGCCGCTAGCCTGGTGGCCGCGTGTAATCCAGGTGAAGGCCCTTCCTGCGCATGGGGCCCCTCGCCTCCTTTGTCGGTACTTAGAGATGAGTGGGAGCCCCCTGCCCCTCCGACCACAGTGCGACCCATGCCATTGGCCTTAGGGCCAGCCCCTGTTGCATCCTTCTTTTTCTTGCCACGAGGCTTTCCTACTTTCTTCCGAACCAGGTTCTGCCCATCCTGAATGAAGTTTTCTTCCTTAGGCATCACCTTCAAAATCTGAAAAGGACATTTACAGACATTGGTGGCACCAGTTGTTTATCCACATTGGCAAACAGAATGGCATGCAATTGTCAAGTAATGCATATAACCACTTGCTATCACAAACTCAGGAGGTATTTATGTTCTCCCAATGGTGAAAAATGTGAAACTTATTTAAAACATTTCTCGATTTAAAGCTTTCGTGACTGCAGGGATTCATATGGATTCACATGTTAATTTGAAGTAAAATAGTTTTGCTAAAGTACATTATTAAAGAGTAAATGTACAACATAGATGGCTGCTAAACGGCTCAATAAATGTGAATTTGTAAACAAGAGTTTGTTCAACGAATATATTGGTGAACCACAAATGTATATATATAGAAAATACGCCGACCCTGAGAGCCAGTTTCATCTTGATGACGCTGTTTGGCCCAGAGTTGCTCAGCTGGAAGGCCTGGTCCAGAGTCATGCCATCGGCTACGAGCAAGCGCTTTAGAGGCAGGTTGAAAGAGCCGAGGGAGCACTGCCGATCGTCGTCTTTCACCTGATGGCCACGCATACACACGCACAAAGCACGAAGTTGGCATAAAACACACACACTATACTGAGATACTCCTTGCCCTGAGGTGTTGCCTGTAAAGGAAATCCGACCTGACGTAAGTTACATCAAGCCACAATATTAAATAATCCAGGTTTGTGGTGGCTGAATGTACTTCACACCTGCTTTCATGTCAGATGCAACTTTGCTTATGTGGATTTTATGTAGTGCTTTGATCCAGTGAGTTTCCACTCAGGCTGGTAAAACATATCAAGCTGCCAATGCGTAAATGGTGCCCAGTCTAAGAGACAGCTCCGATCTTTCACAGAATATATAAACCCATGCTGCAGTGAATTACGTACGAATTCAAATCCCATCAGTCACTGCACTCGCTGTGTTCGCCGTTAAGGCAATTGTAAACATCTTGTGAAAACAAGTATATTACGAAATATTTGTAGTTAAATATGAAACGTAACATTCATGGGTTCTGTTTTAGATATGAAAACAAGTACCTCAACAATTATTTTGCTGTCCATCACAATTCCACTGGGTGTTTTTTAGCATCGCGCCCTGAGTTTGAGGGATCCGGAAATGTTGAAGTATGTGAAGATGTCATTATGAACCTGAAGTGTATTGTGGGTAGCCTGATAGCGAGTAAAAAAGTTGATTATAAAACAATGCTTGTGCAAATGTTGGATAATAATATATTGCATTCCAAAAATGCTAATGCAATTATAAAATGTCAACAACTCATTTTCAAGATATAAATGGTAATATGCGTCAAAATTTGACATTTTATAGCATTCGTAAGGTTTGATTGGCAGGAGATATGTATTACCACCTTCACACGGGCATGTGGAGGTGGTGGTAATGGTCGTATCTCACCTCTATGTCGAGATCTTGGTCAGTGGGGTTGTGGATGCAGAAAGTGAATGGCTGCTCCCAGACTGGGTCATTCGTGTTGTAACAAATCTGTCGCAAAGATGTCGGCAAAGTAACAAACACCGATTACCACACAAAATTTAACACACGCGATTTCGACACGACATGGTTTAAAGATTAGATTCTTGGCCACGTTCAGACTAATTAGTCCACTGTTTAAAAGGAATACAGTATTCAAAAGTGGATAAGGTGAATGAGTAAGGCCAATCAAATTTATGAATAGATTACAAAAAAATGAGCTATATTGTTACGTTTCATTTCACATTTACTTGAGAAGCCAAACAGTTGTTATGCCACCAATATGAAGCTTTTACCATGTTGCCTATTACTGTCGTTTGCCAGCAGCATCATTATACTTCACCATTACATGACTCATTACCATGAAACTTGCAATTTGTTTTACTTTACAAGTGCAGCATAGTTCCCAAAATATTGCTTAATAGAGCATTACATTTTTGTTATGCTTTAATAGCCAGATGCATGCTTTTGAACACAAAAGACAGATCCCCTTTAGAGCCTTAACAGACTGTTGGAGCGAGCACTATTAGTGAGCACCTATAAAGACCGGCACAGCATACAAGGGGGTGAGTGAACCAACACCATGGCCGACCGCTTATGTCTCCCCGGTGCTGATGTTTACAGACTGCACCAGGCACTCGTTCCAGGCTAAGTCGACCAAGGGAAGGCTCAAGACCAGTTAAAATATTCGCCACTGTTATTGGTTGTGAATGGGAATCGAACTTAGGTCACGCGGCTGACAACTGCACTCGCACTCCCCATACTTTTGAACAGGCGCCCGATGTTTCACAGAGGCACGTGCATCCTCACAGTCGTAAGAAGACATGGGCGGTGGAAGAGCTCTACCTTGCTTTCAAATGTGGTGTGAGAGACGGAGAGCTGCACGAACGGGCTGGGCTCAAGGTTGGTGCCCTTCTTCTTCGGCTGGAGACCCGGACACGCATCGCACGTACATGTCTCATTAGGTGCTTGCAAGTCACACGTGTGCGAACGAGCAAATGTGACAATACACAACGGAGACTACGAATTCCCTTTCAGTCTGGACAGAACGCCGGGGGGGGGGGCGGGGGGCGGGACAAGTTTTGCAAGTAAACGCACTTAAGGATGACACAGCACTCTCGGCGGCAGTGAACCCAGCACCACACCTGGCCTGCCTGTGTTCTCCCAATGTTGATGGTGACATATTGCACTCGGTATATATTTATTAAAGAAAATCAACAAAGTGGAGACCTCAGGCTGTGATCAGATACTAATTGCCAAGGGTCAAGCACACCTCACATGTGCACACGTCACACGTGCAAAAGATGGACTCTTTAACAGACTGTTAGGGCAAGTGCTGGTAGCGAACACCTATGAAGGCTTTCATAGGAAGAGACTATGAAGGCCTTAATACATGCACCCACGGTGTCACAAACGTCAACAATGATACCATACACATGCACACACACCCACACGCATGCACTGGGATTGTTCAAAACTATTATTTAATTAATGCAACCCTAAGTAATACTACTTATTTAAACATTTAACAGCAATCTCAAGTTACATCCTTAATGTTATGGTAACTAAAACATGTATGTAGTCTAATAACACATTACAAGACTTCGTATATGAAGTTCTAGTGCCACTCATGACCAAATCACCCAGAATGTACCCCATCTCATACACTTTTGGAATCTAAGCAGGATTGAGCATATAAAACCCTTGGATGGGTGACCAATGTTTAGCAGAGGGAGTGCAGCAAGGTTATGCTGTAATTCTAAGCTTTCATGTTTATATTCTCCCCGTCACCAACCTGCACGGACCAGCAGAGTGAAGTATGGAAAGATAACCCCGACGATCCGCAACGCGTGGGGATAGCATCATCCAGCAGGGGATTTAAATAAGGACTGTGCATATGCGTGATCTATAACCAGTATTTTTGTAATGTGGTATAGGAATATAACTCTTTTAAAACTGACACAGCATGAAGCAACACGAATGCCAAATACCGACTTTGTTTTCCAACATGGTGCGTTATATAACGCAGATGACACACAGGTTTGGAACACGTAATTCGCTGGGTGATTATTTTATTAATATCTGGTGAGTCACTCGACTATCGCCATATCTGATTGAGGAATGTCACGGTTTATAACGTGTTTGTTTACTGTGGGGCTTGGAACACACAATTGCATTACCATTGCTCCTTTCCAAAGCACTTCCACGGAAAGTGGAAATTGCATGGTTATATTAAGCAAATGGAAGTTGACAGGTCCCATATTTTCAGTGATGGGCCATTGCTCATAAATATCAAAGACATCACCAAAACTGAGGACCTGTATTCAAGCAAGCAGGGGCAGATAGCTGATTTATGCTGGTCGGCTTGTTCGTTTAATATCCATTACTATATACATATATATGCGTGCGAGTGTGTGTACATCTCCAGAAGACCCTGGCTCTGATTAGCAGGGAGGAGGCAGTACAGCATATGCCGAGCAAGACCAAAAGAGACTCCAGTAAATACAATTGTTACTCCGCTATTAAAATACACCAGCAAATGTCAGCAAGTAAAGCAATGCAAAGAGAATGTAAAAACGTGTCCAGAAAGCAGCACACTGTTGCGTTGATGCAGCGCGAGTGGTTCCAGCAGTGGTAACCGACCTACTCATTCAGCACACAAGTCACTACGCACAAACAAAATAAAAAAACAAGCTCCGCATTTCCCAGTGAAAAGCAAAGTGGCCAGGAGGATGCGAGGTGCAGTTACTTCTGGAAGACGGCGGCACACACACTCGAGCGTTAGTGGAAGGTAGCCAGCCTCGGGTGAGAGAGCAATTCACATCGCCAAAAGCAGTGGAGTTGTGAAACCAGCTGCCCAGGAACTGCAAAGCGATTTAAAAGCACACCGTTAATTAAGCAAAAATGGAATGGAATTATGACACCCAAGAGGTGAATTGTGAGATGTTTTAGTTGATGATCGTTAGCGGTTACCTTGACAGACATATGTGCGGAAGGCTTCTTACTGACATTGAATTCAAACTCAAACAAATTTCGCTGTTATTGAAGAAAAACAATGGTGTTAATTTCATGCGGTCAGACAGAAGGTCATTATTTGCAAAGCATTACACAGTGCACCTGAACACATGCCGTGTCCAAGTGAACTCCGTGTCAAAGGCTAGTAGGCATCAACACAAGCTGCTTCACATCACAAAAGTTAACACGCTGTCACAACATCACAGTGCAAAACAATGCACAGTGCCAGGAGGTAGCAGGGTTTAACACCCTCCTTACACGCACGCTTGTCAGAGACCTGTTTGAGGCCGAAGGAACAATTCTGCGAAAAGCCTCTCCCGGGGTGGTTACATGAGAGACAAATACAATGTATCACAAGCACGTGTGGATTCTCCACCTTTGTTGTTTCCTGCTGAAGTTCGTGCAGATCAGTGGCCAAATTGTGCATAATTACAAAGTGAATACCACTTCCAAGTAGACATCTTTCATTGCGCTCCAACATAATTCTGCTGCTGGTATTTAGCACTGAGAACCACGTAACACGATCATGTTGCGCAACGCGCACGCAAAATCAACACATCGAGCACCACTGGTGTGAGTAATACGAGGTGGAAGCTTAGCACAGAAACAAACCATTCACGGCAAGATCATAAGCCACAATCGAATTGCCAAATACAAAATATATCTGTTGAGTAAACACCGGTCAGATAAAAGATAGTTAGAGGGCATGTAAATCTGTCAGACACGAGTCGGGTAAAGGAAAACCACCGCACTGCATGTTGGAAGTGAATGCTTTATTCCCATGACCCAATTTTTCCGGTCCAGACCTTGACTGTAGATACATCTGAATGTGGAAGGGGCTTTTCCATGCCAACCCCAGGCTGGCGAAGGAAGCCCTCTGCAGCGTCCACTCACCTTTAATAATACTGGCCTCAACCTGCCGTCAAACCCATTCACCCAGGCTTTGCTTCATGTTTAAGAGATGAAGTGAGTAGACCACCATCAATAATTCTCATACGTCCTTTTACCATCTGCCTTGCAAATCCTTATTTTGTTAAAGGTTCCAATTGCCATTACATATTATGAAATAATAAAGACATTTTAAAAGGTCAGAGTCTTAATGTAAGGTTAATTGTGGTTCATGTTCAGACCAAGCCATGTGAAAAGGTTAGGCCAGTTTTGGGACTGGTCAAATGGAAATTTAACTATTGCTAGGGTCCGGACCCAGATATGTCATGGGAATTAGGCTCGGGAGACTCGGGACTCACAAACAGTGCCTGTGACATGCTGCTGGTATTCTCACAAAACACCAGGCCGGACGCTCGCCGGCCCTGCAAGTAGCCACAGCCTAATGTCCCAGCAAACACACTCTTAGGTGTGTAGCGAAGGAAGGTGGACGGGAGACACAGGTAGGAGGTGGGGACCAAGAGGACAAATTAGAAATGAGGTTACACGCTTAATGTCTTTCATAGAACGCCGCAAAAGAACAACACTCGAAACCAGAAGGCACCATCAAGCAGAGGCCATGCCTACAACAACACACGTACCCCTTTTTCATGGAACACAGCACTCAGAACTCACTGCTTGTGAATGAATGCAAAATTGCTTACACATCAGTACTGTTCAACTGCATAGGAGTATACACTGTGCACACATCTAAGACTCATTCACTAAATGCACTTTACGTAACTTTAAATATTGCTGCGACAGTGATTTTACGGAATGGGCTGGATCTAATTTTGTAGACGTACACCTGGGATGTCTTACACAAGTTTTAAACATTGTTCATGAGAACTAATCGAAGGTAAATTAATAGTCAGGCACTCAATTAAAGAGCTCCAATGGTGTCACAGAGACGTTGCTCCCAACATTTGGGAATACACAAATGCAGTAAGTTGCAAGAGCCCTTGTATGGAGCGCATAACTGTGACTTTAATCATTTGTCACGTAGAAAAATATGGCACAACCTACTTGGTTTTTCAGCAAACCAGAAAACTTTTGCAAATGTTGGTGAACTAAAACAGACTAGCTATGCATTTCAAACTTTGAGAGATATTTGTTTTTTTGCTGCATCATCCTTTAAAGTTAAAATGGGAATTTGTGACACTCGTGAAAACGTTCCACGACAGGTGTGAGAGAGTGAGCTGTGTGTGCGGAGCAGGACTTACCGGAAGGTTCCGTGCGCAGTCAAGGTACACGACGAGCAGGGCCGAAGAGAGCCCATCGTTGGCCTGACCTGGGCCGGCACGAATGCTGCCCAGAATCTGCGAGACCACACGCATACGTTTAGACACGGCAACGCCAACGGCGGTGCGAAAGCTGTAGCACTACCAAAAAAGCATGTGGCACCCATTTGATACCTCTCAATGTGTTCAAGCCCAATTATGACCGCTTTCTTTTCATTGCTTATTTTAAATGTGAATGTAGATGTGTGCTCACGTTTTTGTGCGTGGAGAGCGGTAGTGTAGTGCTTGGCACACTGTGCCACGTTTCCGGAGACCCGAGTTCGATTCTCGCTCATGGCCAACATCATTGATGAAAACTTGAACCAGTCCCATTCCTCCCCTAGATCAACTCGGCCTCAAATGATTACCTGATGCGTCCGGGCGATGTGTAAACATTGCTACTACAGAAACAAAAGTGGTCGGACGTGGTGCTGGCCATTCACCACCTCGTGTACCATGCCAGCCTTCATTAGGTGCTCACTAACAGCACTTGCCGCAACAGTCTGTTAAGGCTGCACTGGGGATCTTTGTCTTTTGCCTATGTGAGTGCTAGGAGTTAGGAGTACCTCGTTTAGGCTGCTGGCATCGGTGAGCAATGAGAGCCACTCCAGCTTGAGGTGCAACTGTCCCGTGTCCACCTCGTCCAGCACAAACCACTGCACAAAAACACCACCACAAATCCTTCGTATACACAGCCAGACCAACAGCAGCACCTCAGCCCAGACGCAAAGCTAATCAACCCTACATTAATCCACAAGCCAATACACCCACAAAAACTGCGTAAATATCCCTCACAAACTGTGAGCATCTCCAGAAATAAATTTCACCTATGCCATAGGATGTGTGCAATGTTGACTCACCTCATCCACAACACGCTCCTTTGCCACCTCATTCAAGTCAATAGTCAGACTGAAATACAACAGTAAGGAGGGACAGGCAGTGTTTTATGAGTTGGGTTCATGGCAGAGAATATGTGTGTGGTGCAACGGAGGGAAGGGCAAGGACCATTGTCAGGAGGAGGGATGCTCTTACCTGCCCAGAAAGTCATCCTTGTCAGGGTCCTCGTCAAACAGGGTGGCCTCCAGCTCCTGGCCCGGAACCTCATGCACAATGGCCTGCAGGTGCACAAAACAAAGATCCTCCTATTTGAAATTTGATCAAGTGCAACAGAATCAAATGATATCCCCAAAATTAAATACAACGACTGTACAAATAACACTGACTATAAAAATGTGGCCTTACGTAGTGCTCTCCACACCAGATACTTTTTGTGCCACGATGACCTTTAATAGGTGCTTGCTAACGTGGACAAGTGGGGACACCCTGCTGTTTCTCATACCTCATAGACCTCGTTCCAGATAGGGTCCAGGTTTTTTTGAATAGTCTTGCTCTGGAATCTTTGCGGGCCCACGTGAAGCACCGTGTAAGGATCGGACTTGCCCTTAATCATCCCTTTCAAAAGGTTGTCCTTCCGTTCCAGGTCACGTGCCCCCTTCAGGTGTATCCTCAGCACACCCTGCAGATGTGAATAACCGTACAGAGACTCAGGCATACGATTACAACTTGCATGCACCACCATGGTCCTTGATATCTCATACAGTGTGGTTTAAAGTTTTGTTAATGATTTGTTAAATTGTACAATTTCTGTGAACACTTAATACTGAAAGCGTTCCTTTAACTTATTGTATTTACAAATTGAACCAGTTTGAATAAACAGAAAAAACTACCAGATGACGGTAGACATCTGGCACAAAATGGTTTATGCTAAAGCGTGATGCCACGTTGTCTTTAATGTTCACAAGGCAACAGACCACAAGCATTGGTAATTTCCTGCTCATATACTGGGTGGCTGATAAAAACAAATAAAGATCAAGCCGAGTAGCTCAGCAGAAATCCTGCCGACAGCTGTTCACCTCCAACATGAAAACGGTTTACGGTATGAGCAATGGTGCCAGACAAATCAAACACAAACACACGACACAATGACAAAGAGTGTTACTGGAAGGGTGGAAGGGTGGTTGGCAGTTGGGCTGAATATTCGGAGCAGTATGGAGTAAGAGGCGAGGTTCATTTAAAGGTGGGGTTAAAAAGTCAAAGTGTGCCTTTGAACAAATAGGCATTTAAAAGTGCTGTTCTCTCCATTATTGGAGTCCGGGAATGGTGGCGCAGCAGTTAGCGCACTGCGCTACGACCCCAGTGACCGGAGTTCGATTCTCGCTTAGCAGGGCCAACATCAGTGACGATTATTTGAACCGGTCCTGGGCCTCCCCAAGGTCGACTCAGCTTTAAAGAAGTACCTGATGCAGGTGTGGAGTAAACATCGCCACTGGAGAGACAAAGGCGGTCGGGCGTGATGCTGGCCACCCACCCCTTCGTGGATAGTGCGGCCCTGCAGAGGTGCTACTCGTTAACAGCACTTACCCCATGTGTCTAAGGCTATAAGGGGGCTCTTTAGTGTGGAGTCCACATTTCTTTGGTGAGTATCAATCTGACCATAGGAAAATGTATGCTGCTTTCCCACAAAAAGTGGTGCTCATTTTATAGATCTAGGGCGGATAAGAAGCCAAATCGACTTTGGATCACAGTTAAAATTAAGACATTCATATTGCTAGCACTGCTGCTGGTGTCAAATGAGATAAATCAAGTGGCAGGGAGGGCTGGCTATAAGGGTCAGAGACTGCTTACCTTGGGGATAGGAAAGCGGAGTTCCGCAAGCTCCAAGTCGCCCACGATGGGCACTGTGAAGCGGTTGGGCAGCACCATGAGATTGGCGATCTGGTCGGTAATCATGGAATCCGACATGTTGCTGGAAAAATGAACAGTCAAACACGAGTTTACGTGACACAGAATTCAAAAAGAGTCATATTTCTGGGATCATAATTGACTGAGAACGAGGCGTTAAATGACCGGGTCCGCAAAGGAGTTAATACAAGCTAAGCGATTATGTAAGGAGGCAACTTCTGATTTGGTCACTGTTTACATTTCCCATCTACCCACTACACCAGCGGTAGCCAACCGGCATCTCCCAAGCCACATGCAAATCTCTAATCCACCACATGCGGCCCTATCGAAGGGGCATAACGTAGAACATACTACTATCACAGTAGCAAAGAATAATTAATGTCTCCCGTGCTGTGCCGAAAACTATGAAAATATACACACCTATATATACCACTTAGCTTTTGCAGAAGTCATGGCTACGTTTTGTCTCTTGCTCTGTTAGAGGTTGGCCATCTCTGCACTACACTGGATCAGGCCTGAGCTGGGTTGGCCTGCTCGAGGTCTGGCATGAGTTGTATTGACGCCATCAATGGTAACCAGACTTACTTGAGCCCTGGGATGTCTAGCAGATTGGTCAATCCTGTCCAGTTGATGTTCAATTGCTGCCACAAAATAAGGATGAAGATTACCATTATCAAACCACTGATTCAGTTAGAAATGTCACGTCATTTTCATTGAAACAATCAAAACCACAACTGTTCTCGACATTCAGGGTTAACATGGTGCATTATACCAACAACGAGCTCGTAACTTATCAGCACAAGTTAACTCATACTTTTCATCACCGTGTGTTCCGATAATACCGCTTTTCGAACAGAAGTTAAGCTCAAAGCTCATGTTACACAATAACTGATTAAAACATTGAGAGTATTTAAAACAACCAAGTTGCAAGAGAGCAAATATCAATAGAGAATTGTTGTTAAAATTAAGTAATGAATTCTGAAAAATAATCTACATTATGCAACTTACATTTTTAAACAAAATATTTATTTCTGAACTTTGTTTGGAAGAGTATTTTGCAATGTGTAGTATTTGAACATCCTCCTTAAAATTATCAAAGAAAATTCTCCCAAGATTTTATTTTTGAACATTAGTTCATTAATTCAATATTACCACCCTCTTGTGCCACTATTGAGTAATAAGCATATTGCACTGCTTCCAATCAATAAAGTTCAGTTGTCAACTCTGGGAATGTTAACTGGAAACGTACAAGTGGACAAATGATCATGGGTTGAAAAGTACACAGCACTTAATAACTCCCGTTGTCAATCAATATTCAAAGGAATTAGTTTCACTTTATGCAACGAAGTTGAGCTCCTGGGTCCATTCCACCAACAACTAATTTGCATCTCAACATTAAATTTCAACGTCAGTATAAACCTACAAGAGCCGTGCACATTCCAGAGAAAGGGTGTGGCCGTTTCCTGCCCACAGCCCGGATAACGGAGCAGTAATGATCCCCACCTCACTGCCCATGAACGCACGCATGCCACCTTAACATCCACCTCCCTGCAGCCACACTGAGAACGTGTACAGTAAAAACCTTCATCACTCACATATATACCATTACCTACCCGTCGTTCTAAATACAATTTTAAATAACACAGTTTTATTATAACCAGCACTCGGACCACAAAATCGCATTTTTATTAAACAATTTACCCACACACTTAGGAGGATGATTACAATGCCCCATAGTAGTGGAACTGCCTATTAGTGACTTATTCATGAACCAATTTATCAATACATAATCAGGGAAACATGAAAAACAGAAAGAAGTGTGGATATCCAGGCCCACGCAAAGTTCAGGGTTGAACACGTAAGACTCATAATGACAGAGGGGCATTCTATTGTGAGACACCCTCTCTTCTGGGGCCTGTATTCTTGAAGGTAGTGAAGGAAATTTCCTGAACACTCTCATTGCTTCCTCTTGCTTCCAGGTACGGAAGAGCGCACCCTGCCTAAACTCGAGGCACCTTCCAGTGTGGGGGAACTCACCGGCCGGCGGATGAAGAAGAACGTGAGCGCTCCGAAGAACGGCACCTGGCTGATGAGCGGCTCCAGGATGACGCGCAGGGAGCCGTGGAGCTACACACACACAAGCAAGCGCGTACGGAAATAAGTTCAGCACAAAAAAGGGGCAGTTGCTCCCACATGGACATTTTTAGATGGATGTTGCATGTCATAAACCACTCCCGAGATTTTCCACAAATGTAACGATGTAGATCAACATTTCAAATGTGTTCATGTTCATTTTAGATACATTATATATTTTATCATTGAAAATACATTTATATGCAGTCAATTCTTTCCAAAAATGAGTGGCCTAATTCCTGTGCAACCAATTTGCACCACTGGCAGAGTGCAGCCACGTTCAGAAAGATCGTCCGAAATGTGTCACGTACAGAAAAGGAGACCTAAGGCCGATCTCGAGTGACCACCGACACTGCACCATCACTCGCTGGTCCCTAGCAAAGCAACTGTGGACTTTCCACCACGAGGTGCAGAGAGACCAACAGAAATGAGTTAACGCCCAATTGCCATTGAGGCAGGAAGGTGTTTTGATTTGTACAATTCTTCCTCTATGGATGCTAATATTTATTAGAATAAATTGTGATAATATAATGGCAAACGAGTGTTTTCAAATTTACTCAATGGAAAACTAAGGCGATTATCGAAACATTATCAAGCACATGGACTAATCTGTTGCCTTGAATATCAGTGCAAGAACTTTTAATGTTATATTATGGCTTGCACAATCCAATTCATTGGTATGCCATGAGCAGCACTCGCCACTGCAGTGCAAAGCAGCTCCACGACGCTCAAGTGTACAGTCTGCTGTGGCCATGTGACCCTTAAAGAAGAATGGCATTGTTCAACTGCTGTCATTGTGAAGTCATGCCAAAGGACAAAAAATAGCCAAACTGACAGCCAAACTGACAGTCAAAAGAAAAAAAACTAAGACAGGGTTTAAACCAAGCTTTGTATGCTTAACAAAGCTGCAATAAAAACACGCCTCTCTGCTGCTTACCTGTACTTGCTTGGCTCCAGCATTGCAGAAGTACTTTGGGATTTCCACATTGATATCACAGTCACCGACGTAACTGAAATACAATTTCCCCCAACAACCCGGGTAAAGTTAAACTTTTGCAAACTACACACTCAGCTTAGCAACTGGTTATATCTAAATCAGTGCATCCATATAGAATGAAACAAAGGTTTGCCGATTCTCGAATGTTGTTAAATTCCGGTTTACGTCAGCTGTGCAATATTCGTGAATAAACAATCGCCTGCTTGAGCTACATCACGAACATAAGAATTTCAATATATAATAAGTAAAGTGGGTTTCTTATTTATATTTAACCGGAATTCAGTTAAGTAATGTCAACATTATACCAATAACAAAAAAAACAATGTGGATAAAATGACAGATTTTCCAAAAAATCTAATTGGTTCTGATATACATTGCTAAAATTATACGAGCAAAGAGTACACTGAAGGAGTCATTTACATCCATTAAAGATATATGCAGCATATCCAAATAATCACATTAACTCCTTATTCACCAAACATATGACCTCAATTATACACTGCAGTTTAGCAATGGGACTTTGAAAACTGTGCAGTTTAAATAACAACTGTGAGCAGTGAACCACATCCCTTTCAATTGTGGTCCAAGTTTATTTGGACCACTGCATTGTGCAGAGTTTACACAGCAAGCAGCTCATCCTGCATTTACACAGCAAGTGTCTGCACTGTGCTCTCTGTAGACACTGCAGCTATGGTGCTGGGCCATTTACTGTGCTCTGTCACTACCCTCCCACATGCTGTCCGACACTGCATTTCCTTATAAAGGCATTATTCAAAGATTTCTAATCCTAGCCATTTCCCATGCTTACAATAAGTGTGTGTGTGTTGATGCAGACTCGCACACTCACACACAAGTATGTTTATAACTAGTTAAATACCCAATGCAGCGCAGAAAATACATGCGCACACAAACACACGTGCACTGATTTTTCTGTGTTGATGTTTGAGCACATGACGGCAAGCCAGTGGCTTAGTCCTTACAAAACTACTTCAGATTGTTTCCATGTTAAACTTGACATTTAATAAATGTAACGCGATTAGTGCCATAAAGTGGTTAAATTTCTAACACAAACACATGTTATGTAAACGAAAACATAAGAGGCAGTGTAAACATACGCCATAAACACTTGTTTGTAATACATTACTTCAGCATAAAATGTGACTGGAGATCAAGATCTCAGTGTTGTATTTGGAAGGGAAACGCTTTACTGTGCGTATTATTATTTTTTCTTCTCATAACATTTCCATTTGAGGAGCTATCAAGGGCAAGGAACTGATGTGGGAAGTAACATGTGAGCTATCCACCCAGATTGAACAGAAGGTGCCACACACAGGCACGGTCGTTCCGGGTCCCTAGAGTAGGGAGTGGCCCTTGGGGGGGGGTGGGTTAAATGGCACAATTATCCGAGAACCAGTTTATATCCTTTCATGCCTTAATTCAAATTTAGTTTCTCAAACTCAAGCCTGAAACAAAATGTATACTGTATGCCATTCATATGCAATTTGAAATATCAAAGTTACTCTGGACGTATCATTAGCAAGGCTTCATGCACTTCACAAAAAATGCATAAACTTCACCTATTTTTAGTCGACCACCGAGAGATTATTCCACGTGTTCACTGCTGGCACCGTTAACTTGACAAGACACCGAATCTTACAACTGCACACGCAGTGGCTTCACTGCTTCACATCACCGTGCGTATTCCCAATCATCAATTGATACAACCACATCTAAAATGGATTACTATAATAAAAATATTTGCAGTTAAGAGGGCAATGTCTAAATGCGAGCATAGTTGAAACATGTATGAGTAGGATCACGCCTACTTGTGACCACTGCAACAACCACTTCGCACAAGGACCACTTCACACATTTGTCAAAATGTATCAATCAACATACCACAAAATAGAGACGCTTATCATGTAGACGCTTATGAACGTCACCACAAACATGTGTTCAACAGGAGCAACAGACGATGTAATGCTGTTTTCTCACTTACATATACCGCACCTGCCATTGTTTTTTCCCCTATCACGGTAATATATCGTCAATTATCAATCTCACCATGACATTCATTTAGACTGCACACAAGCAAATGTTGACTTGAGGTTAAAGTTGTATTTCTGGTCATCAACAGATGGCTGACAACCACTATAGGCAGTAAAACTTAAGCAAATCATCAACTGCAGCAACCGGAGATACTACATAGCAATGAAACAATACCAACATAGTACCAGCAGGCCTAAGAAAAGCTGCCCACATTTTGACTAGAGTTACTCAATACAGGGGGATAACAATAGCACCGCACCTGCCCAGCAATACTCAAGCGGGCCCGCACTCAACGAACCCGAAAAACATTCCACTGCCACATGTACTCCATGGAACATAAGCTAACCTGAAATCCCTGCATGCTCGGCGACATGACATGCGCGCCCGTGCAAGGCTTGCACGAGCGGACACGTGCACAGATATAGCTCTGGCACGTACACCCCGACCGGCAAAGTTTGCCATGGCAAAATCCCTGGCGCGTCATGTTTGCGATGACCAACCTGATTTGCAGGTCAAGGATAATCTGCCTCTTGTCCACATTCTGTGAATATGTCTTTATTCCAGTCACCTTAAATGGCTGAAAAAGCAGACAATTTTTCGTGAAGAAGCAGAGTACAGACTCAGTGTCATCAGGCTATGTTATTCAAATACTCTGTAAGTAGAATTTGTATTTGTTTTATTGTTGAAATATCCTATGTACAGATTATTTGGCTACTATAAAATCCCGCATATGATGATAAGCCACTTCGATGTGCTATCATAAGTGGCCAGGTTGACTGAAAAATAACTAGTAGCTCAGTGGGCTTCACCTGGTAAATAAAATAAGTTTAGTTTTAGCAAAAAAAGTATTCGGATAGAACACAATAAACTAAAATGTTACTTGTGCATTACTCTGAATAATGTCCAGTCAGTGTATGCAAGCCACCTAAAAATGCTTGACCCATCGTAAGAACAAGTCAATTAATTTAAATTTCATAATGCAACTGTGATCCCTTGTCCACTGCACATTGACAGAGGAGTTTGGGGCGATGTTAAGCACTTGATGAGCAAAGGTCAAAGTCAATGTTGGTTTGGATCGACAAAGATCAGCAGTGGGGTGTGGCAAGCAACCTTCTCTCCAAAGTGGAGCTTGGTAAAGGTGAATGTCTTAAGGTAATCGGTTGATCCACGCACAGCCGGCTCAATCGCCTGCCGGAACACTCCTTCCATGTAGCGCCCAAAGAAAGGCCACACTTGCACCAACACCTGCACGGCACACCAACCACTCCACTCCAGCACACAGCAGCTGTACAACAATCAGATAAGATACTCGGCTCTCCTCGTGTCATTCATTTTTGTTCCTATTCTTGGTTCTTTCGGTAAAGTCACGTAGAAGGGAAATAATAACAAGAGCAGAGCTGTCGAAAAGACAGCGTCCTAATGACGCTGTCTTTCCGAGAGCTCTGCTCTTCACCTGAGGACGGCTGCTTGCGTTGTGGCCGAAACGGCGTGAGAATTTTTACTATTATATTTATTATTTCCCTTCTACGTGACTTTACCGAAAGAACCAAGAATATGAATCCCTGCAGTCACGAAAGCTTTAAATAGAAATTTAAAATCATTTTTGTTCCATTTGATCACTCAGGTCCCCCTCCCACAGGAAAACAAGACACCACTCATGAGCACCAAAGGAAAATTGATATAAATATAAGGTATGTCATTAAGAAGTCACTATTACAAGATTAATTATGGGACTTTTGTGAAAAGCGCTAGATTAAATTATACTGATTATTGTGAATGATGTCATCAGAGAAGATCCCATACATTCACTTCCTGTGCAGCCAGTGCGGCGGAATGCAATGTCACAGCGGCTGGGTTCAGCACTCCGCTCCCTAATGCAGCATCACATGCTCTAAACATGCATTTGTGCCAACTGGTGACACCGTGTGCACATGCATCCGCGTGTGTCTGTCATGTAATCGTACTTTGTTCAGCCATTCCACTCGCTCCACATCTGGGAATTGCACCTGTAAAAACAACATTGGCACAGCATCAGCATTGCATGAATATTACCGTCCCCCTAGTAAGACAACTCTCACCAGCTCGCATTACAAAACAGTGACTACATGAAAGTTAAATACTGTATATGACCACTGATGAAATGTTCTTTAGTCTGACATTTAAAACATTCACGTGAAGAAAATAACTAGTTTGACTGGCTTGATGTCCTTTATTAAAACATGTGCCATTCCAATGACATACAACGTCTTTTAGAAGAGGTGTTAAGCAAACCACAGTTAAGCAATAATTCCAATTTGATGTGTTCAATGTCCACCACGGCAAACAGGTTACTTTAGTAATTTCCCCGGAAGATGCCAGGCAAACTGACCAAGTGGTGTGTCATGAGTACTGCCACATTAATACATCGCGTATGCCAAGTCAACATTATTTCATGCATAATTTATTACTATGCTTGTGTACCCATAAAAATCTCCTGAGACTAATGACTTTTTTCAGGAGTGTCCCGACAAGCTTAGTGAAAAGGAATTTGGGGGTAAGATTTAATACATCGGGGCACTAGATACCTGAAGCAACCACATTTGAGACCCGTATTCTGATTGACCAATACATGCTTAGCGGTGCCAAACGAACTGCTAATTACAAATGTAAGCACATGTACTTGTGTACTGTGGTACTTAATCTCTACAGCACTACTTGATGATTGACACTAATGTGTTAATAATAAGGGATAATACCATATTAACGATTTAAACCATTAAGTGGCCAATGTAAAGTGTTTAATGTTCAGGGTCACTTCTCTACCGAGCACAACAACCGATAACCACCCATTTGAACACTTTGATGGCATTAAAGAATGCAGTCCATTTTCAATGGTCAAACAAGCTGGAAGTTTAACAGCAAGATCAACAGAAACTTCGACAAGAAACGGAGCAGCGATTGTTTTCTTTCAAATGTAAAAAGAATGCAACTACGTAGGCTACACCTTTCGATTGCAGCGTACACGAATAACGTTGCACTGTAGTTCAGTAAGTACTGTATTTCTGACACCAGTGTAAGCTGCCACCACTATACTATGTTTACGCTGCGGGCCCACCTTACAGGGACTTGTCAGTGCTTGTCTTACACAGCATCAAACAACGCGCTGCATTCGTAACAGCTCAAACACGACCCCGCTGTGATGCATGTATGTATGTAGTGTGGAACTTATTTCGCACCGTACATAGCCGACCGTGCTAATCGGAGGTCCGGGGAAGGTCAACAAACTAAACACAAAAAACAGCTCTAAAGAAATTAGTTTTCAAAAAGAAATGTGTTACCACTGCAATACAGTATTGCCAAGGAAATTAAAACTCAAAACAGTAGATTACCTACAGTATACCATCACATGCAGTACATAGGATACTTTAAGAATAGTATGTGACCACGGCTTAATAGAAGTACAGTAATTATTGCTGCTTCAGCTGTCAGAGATTAAACAGACGTTGGTTGGCATGCAGACTATCCCCTACATTCTGGCCACTGCTGCTACACGAACGTCATCAACACAAATGAAACCAGCCAGGCAAAGCACTATGCTCCAAGACAAATGTGTCGGCCGGACACGGGGAGCATTGTCGGGCCAAAACATGATCCAAGATGTTGACTTGTCCCTCCAGTTGCAGGGAAGAGTTTCTCACTTCGTCATCCACACCCTCAGCACAATCTCTACCTCATCAAAAGCGCAGTCTTCTTGGGCCATTTATATCCACGTGCTGTATTTACATCAAGTGTGCGGTTACTGCACAACCACAGTAACGCAGTCGTTTACCCACCTAATGTCGTAACCAATATTACGGGCGTGTTCCTCTGCATCCCTTATTGCAAGCATTTTGTGAATAAATTATTAAGAATGCTATAACCATGAATAAACAAATGTTGCGATTAAAAACGATTCATCTAGAGGCATATTGAATATGTATAAAGACGGATGCAAATAGACAACATTCTGGGCAATGTCCTTCACAGAAAATAGGACGTATGTACGTTCTCCGTCAACTCCGCATTATGTGCTGATGGGTGGAAGAAGGCAGGCGGGCGTGTTTCTTTTGGAGCGTGCGCGTGTTGTGTGGCGTGCCACACTCATAACGGAAAATACGACCGACCTTGACCTTCTTTTTAGCTGGTCCTAAACTTTTAAACGTGTGACTATGAAGGCCCCTAGCCCTGCTCACATGTCTGTTGTGCGATCATGAAAAGTCACATGAGCGGCCACAATGGAAAAGACCTTTAAGAATTCATCTCAGAATAACGTATTTGAGATACGCGCAGAACTACTAATGACAGTGCATAACGGGGTAGGGTAAGTGACCTTGCCATTGATCACGTAACTTTCAACTAAGAGCTATTCCACCACAGACTAGGGCTGTTCAATCAGCACAAACGAGCCACAGTACGGGAAATCAAACTGAAGTAAATCATCCCGCTTGGGCAATACATGCACACTGTCTAGTTATGTCTTAACACATTTGCTTAAATGTAGTGGATATGCACCGTCTCGCTCGTATATTTTCAATGGCACAATCTCAAACAGAATCTACCATATTGTGTTTACATTTACTTTTCAACATTTCAATGGTATGGCAGTGTTCATGGAAGCTCTGGATAGAGAATTTTTGTTTATATTGCACCGAATTTGCAACACCCAGACTGTGCTTTCTTGTTAAACCGCCACAGGCCAAACAAGAGGTTCAACTCATTGGGTTGAATTAGAAACACAGTATAGTAAAACGATGCCCTGTGATACGTGGGATTATTGCAATTGGAAAAGCTGGATTTGAACACACGGGGTGTACAGCTCACGAAGGAATATGAATGCCACAATCTTTACAGCTGTCCTTACATGTATCTCGCAGCGGGTTGTACACACACTGGCGTATACACGACCTTTAATACAGGCTGAGATACACTGCACGCACAAGGCCATTGTAAAATCCACCCTACGTAATGATGGCCGTGGGGAATTTATTTACAGTTTCCCTGACGGTCAGTGCAGGTTGGTAAAGGCGGGGAGCAGAGATACAAGGGGTGCCACGGTGACGAGAGGGTAACTACCTCGCCTGGTATGCAGGAGGTCGTGGGTTCATTCCCTACCCTGACGCCTGCGGTATATTTGGAGTGTGTACGTGCTCCCCGTGGTCGCGTAGATTTTTCTCCGGGTCGTCTGGTTTTTCCCTCCACATTCAGAAACAAGCGTTTAGAGTATTTCGCTGCGATAAATTTCCACGTGATAAACCATTTTGCCAAGCTCTCATTTGTGACCAGATCGCTTCTAATAAAGAGATTTCTAGCTCAGTGGGCCTTATCTGGTAAAATATAGTTTAGTTTTATATGGGAGTATGCAAGTACAAAACAATACTTTATTTTGTTGCATTGGCCACGACTGCCCATAACGTAGCCCCTCAAAAGCCCATAACACCTCTTTTGCATGGTGCTCACCCATCCAAACACTATCCAGCCATGATTAGCTACTGAGATTTGCTGAGATCGTGCGAACTCTGCGTGATATGACCATGAGAATAAATTATCAGGGTGTTGACGTAGCCCTAGCGGAAGCGCATTCACCACTTATTTCATGGGTTCATGGTTCGATGCAAACGGCCGCCCTGATTATTACTCGGAGTTTATCGACCATAAAAAGACACTCCGTGTGCTTCAAAGTGGACGTTCGTAAGAGGCAGGTGTGAACCGGAATCATTGTCCAAGTATGATAGAAAAAAAAACCTGCAAAATACTAATTTGAGATTATATATGTATGGTGAACTTCTTTCGCACCGTACCTAGCCAACCGTGCTAATCAGAGGTGCGTGTACTGTACACAACAATTATCGCCACCCAATGCAAAAACTTGCGAGGACCCTTCCTGAAAAAGTTAAGAGCCTCAAGCGAAACTTCCCTGGGTAAACAAACATGACAATACTGGATATATATTTCAGGTTTTTGCAATGAAATCCAGATCAATTCTTGTAATGTAATGGTAAATAAAATGTTTCTTAGCTGCTCCCTCTATCTCTGTGTGGTCCCAGGGGCTCTTATGAATGGGCCCTCCCTGCTCAGTGTCACACAGCAAGAGGGGCACAATAAGCATGGGTGCCGTGGTGGACATGGCTGAGGCCAGCCCCAAATACGAACCCAGGCAGGCAGATCCTGGTGCTTGATCCCGGAGCGAATGCACAACTCTTCAAAGCTGCTGAGCTGCTCCTCCTTGAGCAGCAACTGCTTCTTGCTGGCTCGAATGCGCTTGTACCCCAGCCACACGATCACTCCCAGCAAGATCCAGCTGAAGCTCATGCCCAGGTAGCCGGCCAGGTAGGTGGGGAAGAGGCACAAGAAGGTGCGAGCGAAGGCAAAGAGCAGCGACTGCAGCCCAGCGCTGGGCCCGTCGCCCGCGTAGCTGCCGGCCATGCTCGACACGGAGCCCCGAGACTCCGACGAGGTCGGTGATGGAGATGGAGTCTCGTTTGCCTCCTGCTCCTCTCGTCCGTCTGCTGGGGACGGACCGCCCGCCGCTGCCGTGCTCGTCATGATGACCGCTGCTGCTGCTGCTGCCGTCCGGGGCTGTCCCACAGGGCACGGTCGTTGTCCGTCAGCTGCGGTGCAGGGGGCCCATTACCCCCCGTTCCTGCAAGGAAAGGGGACAAGCAGCGGTCTCACTCTCGCACGCACTCAGCCTCCTCGTCCCCCCCCCCCCCGTGTTCCTACAACTCAGCAACTGAAATCCAACTGGTCACTCAGGTCTCCACGAGCTTGCCAGGTTAAGCGCTGGCTTCACAGGTACCACCGTCCACCTCCAGTCCCCCATTGGCTTCTCAAATCCACGGTCTAGCCCAGGTAACCTGGTCTCCCTGGTTCTCCTACCTCGGCCTCCCAGATTTTCCCGGGTGAACGTGGCCAACCAACGCCCCACTTTGAACCCAAGCCCTAAATTGCCTTACTCCTTCCCCAAGGTCTGCCAGCACCGCTTGGCTGGCTGGCTGACCCAAGGAACTGAGGACAAACATTAGCACCGAAGCAATGAAGGCCCTTGTCGAAGATTCTACCCGTCCGCCTGGCTTCACCCTGCCAGAGGGCCTTGATGAGCACGTTCCATGACAGGGCAATGTCTCCCGTGCAGCCAACCTCCACCACGGTTGTTGCTTGGGGTCTTCGTTACCCTATTTGCATTTTTGTAATTTTATATTGCGTATTATAGCTATTGTATATTTTATTTTATTCAATGTTTACATACTTTAGCTCCTTAGTATTAGTTAGACGTTGTACCTTTAGTATAGTTAGACTCGTACACCACTTATTTAAGATTTAGGAGTCCTACATGTTGAATGTATGCACCTTCCTGCCAAAGTAAATTCCTTGTCTGTGCGAACTTTCATGGCGAATAAAACCCTTTCTGATTCTGACGACCACACTGCCGTTGTGGCAACGTGAATTGTTGTTGCGACGACTCTCCAGCTCTACGAGGACTACACACGGAGGACACGGAGGCGATGGCATGGCTCGGGGCTAAACGCCTGTGTCTGTCAAGGTCCCCAGTAGCCTCAAGGCCTCCCCACGACCTCGCTCCCCCTTGCTCCCTAGGCCCCCCTCGTCCAACAACCCCAGGTCCCCTAAACTCCCACAGCTCCTCTCGCAGCTCTCCCCCCCCAACTCACCTCAGCCACTCTTGCCGAACACCACCACCCCAAGTCGCCCTATGCCGACCCCCTTTGCCTCCCCCAGGTCACCTCGGGTCCGTTCCACCTCGAGTCGCCGTGGCCTCCTCGACCTCACACAGCGGCCCCGACAGCGCAAGAACGCGCTGGCACTCGGGGAAACCCACCTCTGCAGTGGCGAGCAGGAGGAGGAGGCGGCGATGAGGAGGAGCCCGGCGTCTGGTGGTGGCGGCGGTGACCGTGGTGCCAGCTCCACCCCCGCGTCCCGGCCCCGTCACCGCTGCCTCGGCAGCACTGGGCAGGGCCGCGCCTCTGACATCACCAGCCCCCCCCAACGCCCCAACAGCCCCCACCCCGACAGCCCCCACCCCGACAGCCCCCACCTCTACAGCCCCCACCTCTACAGCCCCCACCCCGACAGCCCCCACCCCGACAGCCCCCACCTCGACAGCCCCCACCTCTACAGCCCCCACCCCGACAGCCCCCACCCCGACAGCCCCCACCTCGACAGCCCCCACCTCTACAGCCCCCACCCCGACAGCCCCCACCCCGACAGCCCCCACCTCTACAGCCCCCACCTCTACAGCCCCCACCCCGACAGCCCCCACCTCGACAGCCCCCACCCTCGACAGCCCCCACCCGACAGCCCCCACCTCGACAGCCCCCCCCGACAGCCCCCACCCCGACAGCCCCCACCCCGACAGCCCCCACCTCTACAGCCCCCACCTCTACAGCCCCCACCTCTACAGCCCCCACCTCTACAGCCCCCACCTCTACAGCCCCCACCTCTACAGCCCCCACCTCGACAGCCCCCACCTCTACAGCCCCCACCTCTACAGCCCCCACCTCGACAGCCCCCACCTCGACAGCCCCCACCTCGACAGCCCCCACCCCGACAGCCCCCACCTCGACAGCCCCCACCTCTACAGCCCCCACCCCGACAGCCCCCACCCCGACAGCCCCCACCTCTACAGCCCCCACCTCTACAGCCCCCACCTCTACAGCCCCCACCCCTACAGCCCCCACCTCTACAGCCCCCACCCCGACAGCCCCCACCCCGACAGCCCCCACCCCTACAGCCCCCACCTCTACAGCCCCCACCCCTACAGCCCCCGCCTCGACAGCCCCCACCCCTACAGCCCCCACCTCTACAGCCCCCACCCCGACAGCCCCCACCTCGACAGCCCCCACCTCTACAGCCCCCACCCCTACAGCCCCCACCTCTACAGCCCCCACCCCAACAGCCCCCGCCTCAACAGCCCCCACCTCTACAGCCCCCACCTCTACAGCCCCCACCCCAACAGCCCCCACATCTACAGCCCCCCAACCCACCCGAACCCCCCCCCTACACCCCGTGTGCGCGGCATCACATTGATGACAACAAAAATAATAAATAAATATTGGTGGTAAAAAGTTATGCACAATAAATGTTTATATAATACATGAATATGTATTTGTACATACAATCAATTATTATATAATACATGCATATTTATTTGTACATACAATTAATTATTATATAATACATGCATATTTATTTGTACATACAATTAATTATGATATAATACATTCATATTTATTTGTACATCATAATAATAAACCCGCGCCGCTGATGTCGTGGCGGCCATCTTACGCAGGGTGACGCCGGCGCCGTCGTCATCACGGAGTGACTGCCCCCCCCCGCCCCTACGGGACGTGGTCCCTGAGTAAGATGGCCGTGATAGCTCACACGGAGCGGGGCCGCCCCCTCCCCCGCGCCCCCTCCCCCGCTCCCCCTCCCCCGATCCCCCTCCCCCGCGCCCCCTCCCCCGCGCCCCTCCCCCGCGCCCCCTCCCCCGCGTCCCCTCCCCCGCGCCCCCTCCCCCGCGCCCCCTCCCCCGCTCCCCCTCCCCCGCGCCCCCGCCCCTACTGGACCCGCGATCTCTTCCCGCGAACGGTGCGAGAGTCGCAGATATCGCGATATCGCCTGGCACGGCACACGACGCGATGCGGCCTTGCACACGACACGGTATCGTGTGACGACACGATATATCGTGCGAGACGATATCGTGAGAGGACACGATATCGTGAGACGACACCGTGTGAGACGACACGATATCGTAAGACGACACGATATATCGTGAGAGGACACGATATCGTGACACGACACGATATCGTGTGAGACAATACGATATCGTGAGACGACACGATATATCGTGAGACGACACGATATATCGTGAGACGACACGATATATCGTGAGACGACACGATATATCGTGTAACGACACGATAACACGTCACACACAACCACGTGGTGGCGGTATTCTGCGCTGGCAGTGGTGCACAGGCACAAAGAGAAAATAACAATTTCGTCAATAACAACAATGTGGCCTTAAAAGTAACAACAACATAGGACAGGCGACGTTTCGGGCAATGTCCCTTATTTATAGGCAAGATACGAGTTATTGCCCGAAACGTAGCTTTTTTTTATTTTGTCATTTTCAAGCAAGTTTTTTTTCATGATAAACTAGCAACCCGCACGTACTTTGGACGTGTGACTGTTCGTCCCACCCTCCCTCCCAGCCAGCCAGCCAGCAAAACTTTTAACCTTATGAAATAGAGTCCACATGAGTCGTCCTGCCATGGGAATTTTATTGATACAATAAACACCAACACGTGTAGTGCACGAGCCCTCTTGTTGACGACTCAGCATCGCCAATAGGCATCTTTCTGGGGTTTACTCCCAATCCTCTATCGCCTTTTCCCCGTCTTCCTTGTCAATCACGGTCCCTTGTCCCATTCTTGACCCCCCCCCCCCACACACTCAATCACAACGACCACACAATAGGGTAAAGCGTGGGTGATCCCACCTGCTCTGTTTGGAAGAGTAGGCCAAAACACCCTCTCGAGCTCCCTCTAGTGGAAGCCTCTCCAGCAGAAGTGGACGTGAGCCTATTAATGTACTTCAAGTACAAACGAGACAGATGCACCCATAATAGAGGTTTTTTTGTTGTTAGATCGCGTAAATATAATATTGTGTCGTTAAACCCGCCACCACCCGACACAGCCAACTAGTAAGGGTTGTCACGTAAACAGAACGTGGCCAATTCGTCACGAGTACAGCACTAACCGGTGTGTTGGAGAGCCAAGCCACAACATTTACAATCCGAGTCCGACGTTTCGCCAGTAATTACAACCAGCTTCATCAGGCGACAGACAGATTTGTGGAGAAGCCTTCCTGTTTTGTTCCTCTATGAGACAGATGCAGCCCCTTAAGTGTCACCGTCATGGATCTGACCAAGCCGACCCCCCCCCCCCCCTCTTTGCAGTGGTAAATTTGACTCCACCCGCACATCGAGAGGCACGCGTCACAACACCAGGCACGCTCAGAGGATGAATCCTGAGAGCTTAATCCGCCAGGTTATTCCATGCGGGCACAGGAACCCAGCCAGCCCCGCTGCGCGCAACGGAACTTGCCACCCGCGGTGTTTCCATTGGCACGTGGGTCGTGACGGTGATACACTCGGCGTAAGCGTGTCTCCTGCTACAAATCCCCTTCCTAATGTTTATTTTTCTACGTTTTCCATGTAATCTAAGTGTAGCTTATCCATTGTCTTACATACGCGGAAATGTAAATGTATTTTTTTACATATTTGTTTTATTTAGACCTTGCTGTATGAGACTGGCTTATTGCAATTTTCCACTGAGTCAAATTCCCCTTCAGTGTGCAGTCTAAATAAAAAATGATTATTTATTCATTAGATATTCCCAGAAACTGATTAATAGTTTGGTCGATGGTATGGAAACTTATCCTAAACCACAGAATTATTCACTACAGTTACGTTTTCTCCAATGAAGGGTCCAGGAAAATTAGCAAAACAAGTCACGCACGTGAAGTTAAGGAACTGAAAAACCGTGTCCCCAATGAAGAATATTTCTCTGAGCAAATATTACCCACTATAAAGAACAAAGATCCCCCGTACAGCCTTAACAGATTGTTGGGAGCAAGTGCTACTAGCGAGCACAATATGAAGGGGGTGGGTGGCCAGCACCACGCCCGGCCACCTTTGTCTCCTTCGTGGCGATGTAGACACACCGCACCAGGTATTCATTTTAAGGCTGAGTAGACCTAGGGGATGCCCGGTTCAGATAAGTCACTGGTGTTGGCCGTGAGCGGGAATCGAACATAGGTCGCCGCTGTTTCTCAGTAGGGCACCATACTCAGAAACATGCACTTTGACAAAGACCATTAAACAAAAGCTCCCACGTGCTCCAAAAAGCATGAAGAAATGCATATTTTAAATTATGCAAGTGAGACAGCGTATTGACAATTTTAAAAATTAAAGGCGGCTTGGGCAGGCCACGTCATGAAAAGTAATGAAGGCTAGTGGTCAAGCCTCATGACGGAATAGCAGCCAAAGAAGTGAACCATGCTCCAGGGGATATCCTTGGATATGGAGCGGTGGTTATCTCATATGCAAGATTGCTCTATCGCGAGACCACGAGAGACGGGAACAGCTGCAGGTCTTCATCAAGCAGGGGAATAGATGAAGGCTGATGGCAGTAATATTCAATAAAAACACATTCCTGCGGAGGGAGCTGGTAGGAACGGTGGGTTGCTCGGTCAATGGCCAGGGTCAACGGCGGCGTGGTGTATTCCGCAAATATGCCCGACTGTGAGGGCGGGCACAAGCCGGCGTGAGTAGGTTAAACGTTCAGTTTTATAAGGGCACCACGGGGTGACCAGCCCCTCCCACCTAGCCCCTCCCACCCCCACCTAGCCCCTCCCACCCCCACCTAGCCCATCCCACCCAGCCCCGCCCCTCCCACCCCCACCCAGCCCCACCCAGCCCCGCCCTTCCCACCCCCACCCAGCCCCTCCCTGCACGACGGACGGACACAATAATCCCCTGTGGGCTGGTGTAACCAGGAGGTTCCTACCAGTATAACTGACCAAGCATCCCAATTGCAGGACCCTCATGATGGCGAGTCTTGGGCCTTACCAACGCTTTTCCAGAAAAAAAATATAATCTTAATTACAAAGATGACAGCCCCTTGTCAATTCACAGCTGGAGGCCACCCTATGCCGTGCGAATCATGGTCGTGTAACCAGTCAGTGTGGGATAACGAAGTGGTTGGGGCCAAACCAAAAACCGGCTCCGATTTGAATCCCTACCATCAG